TGCAAGGAAAGTGACTATCGGATGATGATTAATTTCCACTCAAAATTGAGGAATAAATTTTCCCTTTATTTATAACATCTTTCGATTCTCTTTTAATTTTCCTTTCTCTGGTCTTTGAAACGAAACTCTTTTTAAGTTGTACGTATGAATAAGCCAGTGAGGCATCTCGGCGTGAAAAATTGAAAGGAATGTTAAAAGCGCCCTACTAAATGTCAACAGATTCGTTTAAAACAAAATTTTATCATCTACAAACGACAATAAACAATAGCGTAATTTGCTCGTGATACCTTTATAGACATATTAATATCGTATATGTACAAAATAAAATATGATGATGAGTATACTACAAAGAATTCGTGCAAAATCTGTCGTGTTGATTTCAGTTTTCGTGAGAAGTGTCCAATCTCGATCGGAGATGAAATTGTTCGGGAGAGTAATAATTCGAATCATGATCGAAGCTGCTGTAATTTTGAACGAGAGCAAAGGACGACGTTCGTGGCGGTTCTCGTAGCGTTCTCGAGGCGGAGGAGGCGCGCTCGCGCGAGAGCGAGAAGCAGGAAGAGAAAGAGAGAAAAGGAGAGAAGGGGCAGGCCGATGGAATGGAATTCAGCAATCAGTTAGGCATTTGGCTCTAGGATAGCGTGCTTCGGGCGGTATAAATCGCGGCCGTTTGCGCACAGGGATATATCCGAGAGACGCCTTCCGCCTCCTCTTCTCTCGTCTCTCTTCTCCCTTGTCGTCCCTTCCTTGGTTCGACGACGCGCGGCTTTTCTTCCATCTCGTATGATCCTGCCACATCTTCCTCCCCTCGTATCCTTCGAGATGACCTTTTGTTTTTTGTCGTGCTAGGAACGGTATTAGGCGGCCCGCTTGGAATGCGGCTGTCGCCTGAGAGCCTCTTCTCGTTCTTTCCTTCTTTTCAATTCTCTCGAGACAAGAGAAATGTCCTAGGCATATAGAGGATGATAGCGAAAAGTAGGGATGCGAGATAGAGCATTTCAGCAGGATGATAAACAAAACGATTGTAGCGAACGAGGCCTAAAAGCTTATACTATAAAGTCAAACGTATATTGCGTTCAACGATTTATATATATATCTTGCGTTTCCTTTTATTTTATTTCTGCCGAGCAGAAAATTCTGTCGCTCTTAAATCAAGTAGAATTTATTGTGGAAGAGAGCTTCATGTTCTAAAATTTTGAATTTTTCAGATTAGAATGACGAATGCATTTTGTATCGCATTGACAAGTATCGAAGATAGCGAAATAATGAGATACGATATTGCTGAATTTGCAAAATTTAGTAAGGAGTAGAGCAATGTCAAGGACATACATCAGGAAAGAATGTATCGACAATTTTATATATACACATTATAGAAGAAGATTGTACAGTGGAGAGAGTGACGATTGGAATCTGAAAGCAGACTTGAAATTTCCTGTCGGAAATTAGTTTCCAGGGAAGAAAGTCCACCAGACGAAAAAGGACGCGTTAGTCGGAGATCGTCCGGCTGTCACGTCCCGATGACGACGACGAGGACGAGGACGAGGACGACGATGACGACGACGGCGAAGGAGGAATAGAAAGAGGAGCGGGGAAAGAAGACAAGGATGAGGTGAACATAAAGAAGACGGGAGAAAAATAAAGCCCCTTTCCGCGGAGCGGACGAACCGGCCCGTACTCGATACCATCTGCGTGCTCCCTCGACAATAATAGTATAGACCGAGAAATATGCGCGCGAGGCGTCGTGGGTTCTCTCCGACGTTTCGAGGGCGAAAAGAAAGAGATGATGAGGAAGGGCGGAGGAAGGGAGAGAGGACCCGTGAGGGCACCGTGCGAAGGATGGGGAAGAAGAAATCCGTGCGCTCTTCCCCGATGCACATATCGCTGGAGCCCCATGGGCGAGCCACTCCGCGATTGGCAGGGAGTGGTGGGGCGACGCGCAACGAGCGAGGCCCTGGGCCCCGGGCCTGCTCTTAGATGATCGGAGACACGGCTGATGGGCCAGTAGGGGCCCCAGAAATTCCAACAAGGACGGGGCATAATGCGCGACTCAAGGTCGGTTCTACTACCGACGGCAGGGCCTCGACGGATGCGCGACCACGTTCAGCAGGGTCGTACCGTGACCTCGCCGGATCTTCTCCTCCTTCTCCTCCTCCTCCTCCTCCTCCTTCTATTTCCTCGCCCTTCCTCCCCCTTCGTTCGTTCGTCCTCGTCCTCCGCTGATACCTCTGCGATCCTGGCTACCTCTCCTCTTCTTCACCCCCCTTCCTACCCGCGCGCACGCTACGCCCCACCAATCGTGCAGGATCATACATTCGCCCTCGGGCGCCCTGTGCTTCTGGATCGGACATTCCGCGGACCTGAAAAAAATAATAAGCGCTCTCGAGGGCTACAGTGGTGATAATAAGCGTGGATTTCCGCCCTGCGCGCAATGACCATTAGAAAAATTTCCTCTATCGTCATTAATAATATTTTACAGCTCTTTTTACTCATCATTTTTGCAAACATCTCGCGTGCATCGCCAAATTATAATTTTTGCCGTTCGATAAAAATTGTGGCAATAAATAAATAATATGCACATGCATACACACATATATGTATATGTATATAATATATTATATAATGTTATATATAATATTTTAATATTTTGTTGCAAAATTGAAACATGTCAGTACGAGTTGCATGTCAGTCGCGTTTCCTTATCTGAAACGCATTTTCACTTTAATTACTGACAGCTTGAAAATATCTCAAATCGTAGCGCGAGCTTAATTAAATGATTTGTTTTTAACGCGAGACATTATTTTGCGCCATTCAAATTTTATAAAGCACCTTCTCTAATCCGAGTTTATCGGAGTTCGGATTATGACGATCCTATCGGAACTGCCGAGGGCTGTCTTTTTACGCCGAATAAGAAAGAGGCGCTCGAGGGTGCCGAGAAACGAGAGAGAGAGAGAGAGACGGCACGAAAAATACGCGATGAAGAGAGCTCCGGAATGAGAGAAGAGATGATGATGATGGAGAAGATGAAGAAGAAGGAGAAGGAGAAGAAGAAGAAGATGATGATGATGATGATGATGATGATGATGATGTTGATGATGATGATGATGATGATGATGATGATGATGATGATGACGACGACGACGACGATGGTGATGATGATGACGATGATGATGATGACGATGATGATGATGATGATGATGAAGGAAAAGAAGAAGAAGAAGCAGAGGAGGAAATAAAGAGGGGAAAGGGGGAGTTCGTGGAGCCAGTTCGTGCTTCATTCCGTTGAAGAGAGGAAAGAGGCTGTGTGCACGAGGTTGTAACGGTGGGGGTAAAAGGGGTGTCGGAGGAAAGGTAGGTAGGGGCATCGAAGAGGGGGCAGGCAGAACTGGCTGGACGATGCAAGAAGCGAAGGAAGAGAAGGCAAAAAGAGGAAAAAAGGTGGGATCCCTTAAAAATTGAGACCCACGGAGGTGGGGATCGGAATTTCGGGCCCCGTACACCGGCCAGTCTCGAGGAGGCCTTCGCGAAGATGAGGTGAGGAGAAAAGAGGAAATAGGAGAGTATACGAGCGCAGGAGGGCACGAGACGGGATCGAGAGGAGGAAGAGAAGAAACGGCGAAACGAGAGAAGGCGGAGAGAAAAAGAGAGAAGGTGGTGGAAGAGAAATAGGAAGAGGAGAGGAAGAAGAGGAAAAAGCAGCGGAGAAGAAGGAAGAAGAGGAAGAAAGGCATCGTTGCGTAGCCGCAGAGAGTGCGCGCAGTCCACCGTGTACCCGGCATGGACCGTCAGTACACCCTCTGTGTACTCGTACCGGCGCACCAGTACCGTAGTTACGTGGACAATTACCATCATCAGCAGGCGCAGCAAGAGCAGCAACGCAAGATTCTGCAACGTCCGTCCCCGACGTATCTCCAGTATCAACAGCAGCAGCAACAAGAGCAGATCTACGAGAACGTTGTGTCGCAGTATCGCATGAGGATGTGCTATCATAACGACTACGAAAATGATGAGCAGATACAGAAATTCTACTGGGAACAGTGTTACAAGCGCGCCGATGACGCCGATGCAACGGCGTATTATTATTGCGAATATGTAAGGATTCGTTTAGGAAGAAATTGTAGTTCTTAAAGTTGCGTTCTTCGATTTAAATAACACGCAAGTGCGACTCGTACCTCTGTGATTCAACGTGCAACGTAAAATTACGTTTCCCTCTTTTAAGGGAGATGCTTTGCAAAATTTACCGCCAAAAAGCGTTGAAGCTGTAATTTTTTTTTTTCGCGTCAAAACGCAATTGTGTCGATATGAATCTAGTGTGATACATTTATTGCGTTGGAAATGGTGCAGTTCTTTTAAATATTGGAATAAGACAACGATATATTGGAATATCAGAAGAAATAATCCATAAATCTTAAATCAATCATTAATCTAAATCATCATTAATCATGTTTTCCGCCGTTTCATCAGATACTAGTTGATAAATATTACATCTATTTCATTCCAATTATCTATAAAAAAATGAAACGTTTTTCGACAACCATTTGAAAGGATCTTTTAAAGTTTTTATATTAGAAAAAGATACATTCTTTGCTTTATAGATTCATCTTTTTGGCAAAAATTCTGTTTAATTTTCAACTGTATATGTACACGTATATATTTTTCGTTTATACTTAACACTTGATCGTACACAATTTATGATAAATCGATAAATAAATTATTTAAAATCAGTAATTTATATAATACAAATTTTTTACAATTTCAATAATCATTTGAAAAAATTACACAATTTACAGATTATTCCCCCTTTGTAATTATTATCTTTTTAACATATCTACCTACTTAATTCATCTTAACACGTTATGCCAAAAAGTAAATAGTAGTTTTACCGCTTAGAATCAATAAAAGAATGAATGTATCATATAATGTATTATATAATATAGATACGAGAACCAGTTGTGATGACAGTTGTTTTAAAAAAGATCTTGTGTAAAATTCTTGTGTTATAGGCGAAGAAGGAGATCTATGACGTAAAACAGCAAAGGCTCTGTCTGGCGCAGGATGAGTACAATCATCTTAACAATGCCCTGACTACCCTTGGCGCATCGCGTACAAGTTGTGAGTAATTTAACAGAAAATGAATATGTTTTTCTATAGTTTTAATTATTTGTTTAATGTAATAAAAACAAATTTTAACCATTTTTTCCTAAATTAAGTCATGCTTATATTATGTGTAGTTATCTATTTCTCATCGATTATGTCATTATTTAAAAGTATACCGTCTATTAAAACGAAATTATAAATTGTACATTTAGAAATTTGATAAATTTAAGAAATAAGCGACGGTTTTCTCTAATCTCGTATTTTTAATACACGATAAATATTTAATCTAAATAGATTGCAATATATAAATACATGTAGGTAAATTATGTCGAAAAGTACTGACGAATATTTGTGGTTCACAGTATGTTCCAGCTCGAGTTCCTTGAGTACCAAATACGACCCTGACCTGCTCAAGTCCGACGTGGCACTCGCCAGGAGCCGAGTTTCTCGATTAAAACGAGAACTCGAGCAGATTCGAGCGGAGATGAACTGCACGCAACGAGGAGTGGATACTCTCGCCAGGTATAATGCGTGTAAACCTTAATTGACGAAATCAGAAACAAGTTTTTATATTGTTTTATTTTTTTAATAGACAATATTAATAATTTAATGTTGTCTTATGAAATATAAAATCTAGTGTAAATCTTTATAAAAATTATTTCTATCCATTTTGTTAGAAGAATCTCGGAACACAAGCTTTTGACTTGTGCTTTTTTTTTAATAATAAATAATATTGTTTCATATACAAATTGAAAAATTCTAAAATATCAGTATTGCTCGTATTATATACAAAATGTTTTTTACCAACAATTATTTACACAAATGTTTAATTATTTATGACATTTATGAATATTTCTAATTCTTGTCAATGGTTTCTTTTTACAGTGTGGAGCAAAAATTGAGCGGCCATCATGGATGCTACAATATCATGGAAGCACAAGCCATCATGACCGAACTCCGTAATATCCAAAAGTCCTTGAGTTCCGGAGAGAAAGAGAAGGCCGAACTGATGCAGTCGCTGGCGCAACTCAAAGACGAATTGACAAGGCTGCAATTGTGTGAGGGTAGTCCGGAAGCTAGCACGCTCAGTTTGCCGCAAGAAAAACTTAGCACGGCTTCTCAGACTGATCTCTCGGGTGAATTGGTACCGATCGGGACCCGATTGGCCGAAATGGCGCGCATAAGATTGCAATACGATGAGGCGAGAAAGCGAATTCAACACATTCAACAACAGTTGGCAGATCTCGAAGAGAAGGTGACGCCGGGTCAAACCGAGAGCGATAAGGATAAGCTACTGCTATTCCAGGAGAAGGAGCAGCTGCTGCGAGAACTGCGGAGTATCACACCGCGCACGAGAACGCAACAGGATATGAAGAAAATCCAATGTGAGATTCGTAGGCTCGAGCAGGATCTTAATACTGCTTTTGAACTATCGAACAAAACCATCACCGATCGCGTACGGCTCCACGAGGAGAAGCAGTTGTTGTTGCAACAACTCAGGGACGCTCTGCGATCGATGGCAATGCTAGAGAGCCAGCTAAAAACATTGAGCGCTAGCACGTTATCGGTGAGCAGCAGCTCTAGCCTCGGTAGTCTCAGCACGACTAGCAGCAAAGGTTCCCTCAGCTCCGGGCTTAGCTTCACGGACATTTACGGCGGTCCACAGTGTCTGGGTTCTGTCGGCTCGCAACAAGAACGACCGGTCGACATGGTGGATCTGCACAGACGCGTCGAGAGATTGTTGCGCGGATCCGAACAAAACAATCTCGTTGGCACGCCTTCGCCTGGTAGATCTCAGCCCAGTCTCTCACCGAGATCGAGTCTGTCGAGTGTAAGTCCGCCGGTGTCACCGTTATACGAGAATGCACCGATGGGTCCACCGCCTACCTACGAACAAGTCGAATTGCAGAGGAGGCAGCATCAAAGAGTAGCGCCCGTGGCAATGACAACGGCAGCAGTGACGGCTAGTGGCGGTGCAACCGCTGCGTCGCATCTCGACGGGAATCAACTGGAAGATCGTTTGACAGAACTCAGATTCAGTCAGCAGCAGGGAGTACCGCAACAGCAGGAGCAATCGTGCTCTTCCAATTCGCAGGATCGCCTAAAGCTTGTGGTTGGTCCGCATCCGCCCATCGAATTGCAGTCGTGCAACATGTCGCAGGGCAGTGGTCTAGGCAGGCCTGGCGCGTGTAGTGTGCAGTTGCTACAGCTGCAGCAAGCGCCACCACCACCACCTCAAGAGCCGCCCCCGTTGTCGCCGATCAGCGAGACACCGCCGCCGACTGGGATTAGGTCAAGGGCCAGCAGTTCTGGCACCAATACTAGATCCGTTTCCGCTGCGGTTTCCGACGAGAGCGTCGCCGGCGACTCGGGTGTTTTCGAGGCTTCCAATCGGAAAAGATTGTCCGGGCTCATCTCCGATGTGGACCCATTGGCTTCTGGCGAGATGAGCTTGGAAACGGCGCAGGTGCAGATCAAATTGAGGTGCGTGTGTTTCATAGCATGTTTATTTATTTTTTTATATTTACGAGTTTATAAATGTCGCGAGCAAATAAAAAATATTGCATATCTAGAAATATCAAAGTGTTAAAAAATATGTTTGTCTTGTATCCAATAAAATAAATTTTTTTTTGCATAAAGTTATATATATATATATATATATATATATATATATATATATATATTTATAATGAGATTACGAATAATAAAGTATACGTTAAAATATATTGTATAAAACAAATACATACGTAATAAACAAAAAGATGCAAAAAAACACTTCAACGTAAAATATTTTTTTGTTCGATAATGTACAACATATGTGACTTTTTATAGATGCTTTTATATTGCAAATTACATTTTGTAGGATTTTGTTTGTATCGAAAAGATGCAAACAAAATTTAAATCTTGGAATGAATTAAGATTTATGTTATGTATTTAGGTATTCGGTGAGCGATGGATTGCTTCATGTTGGCATCGAACGCGCGAGAAATCTAGCCGCGCTTTTCATACCCAATAATGCACAAGTGTGAGTAGCTACAAGATTTTTCTAATTATTTTCAAGCAATATTTTATCTTATCGCAATAGTCAGTCGTCGTATTGTTTATTTCCAGTTTCTATTCCTCGTAAAATTCAATACAAAGATTTTGCATTTTCGATTAGTCAACATTGCATACAGTTTAACATACACAAATATTGTCTATAGGTCGAATTAAATCCGCGAGTGATGTCTCGCTTTCAAAGATAACCGATTAGATAATTTAATTGCGCAATGTTGAGTCGACTTGCTAATAAAGTTACACAAATGCATTCGACTTTTGTCTATTTGTCGAATTAGTTGCTTAATCAATCACATTGGAGCTTCCAGATATTGGCGTATTTAAATGAAATTAAAATATAATTATGAAATTCTTATCGCGTTCGTGTTTAGATCATTGACCAACGAATGTCGCATTCACTTTTGTTATGTAAAATAACAAAAGTGAATGCGCCCGCTTATTATCAGCGATACTGTGATGATCTCGCAATCAGTTTTACGACTACTCGGGAATTTATTGCCGCAGCCATTGTGTCCGGCTATCGGCTATAAATTCGCAAAACGTGGTACGACGCTTCGATGAATAAAGAGAGGGAGAGGGTTTAATGTATAGTTGCATGTTTGATTAATGATTCATCTTTCACACGATGATGATGAATCAACATTTCCAATCTTAAATGGAAAGAGAAAGAAAAACAGAAGACAGGACTATATACTATATACGATTCTTCTCGTAAATTTTATTTTGCATAATTGTTGTAGAACCGCCATTTTTGTGTCAAGCCCTCCTTTTTACGTAAAAGTAACGTTTCTCTTTCATTTCATATTTCAGATATATCAAAGTCGCTTTGTTACCGATGCAACTGCCCCTCAGTCACATGTGTTGCACAAAATCCGTCATAGATTTGCGAAAACCGACCTTTGGAGAGACATTTCCGATCGCCGTACCGCTCAACAAATTGTACACAAAGACTCTGCAAGTGACACTTTGGTGCACCGAGGCCGAAAAATGCTTGGTATGTTTGTCAAACTTATCGTATTTTACAAGTTTTTTGCTATTTAAAGATCTTATATTCTATTACAATGCATGTCTCATCAGAATGTACTCTAAATTTGAGACAAATTTCGAATCAACATTTCTATGTTTCATTTAAGTGAAATTAATAAAAGTTTAATCTTTTCAAAATAAATAATTAAATCATACTGGACATTGATTTCATTACAGGGTTCTGCACAAGTCTCGCTAGCAGACTTCAGTCCAGAATCTCCTAGCGTGAAATGGTACAATATACTCTCCTTCCGCTTCATGCAACCGTCCGACACCAGTCCTAGTACTAGCACCAGTAATAGCGCTTCTACGAGTGTCATGAGGCAAACGAAACACGACAAACAGGAATCAGACATCTCAATGTATAGAAGCGCACAAAATACAAAAGAAGAGAGTAGTGACGAAAGTACAATAATCAGTTCTCAGACATCTACCTTGACGAGGAATCAAGGCTGTGACGAGTTACAAACAGCCGTAACGCTGAGACTCGAAGAGCTCGCCAATTGTTTGGGTAGTCCAGAAGAAGAAGATGAAGACGGCGGTGGTAGCGAAAGCGGAAGTGAGGGCAGCGACGAAGAGGGTATCGTTGTAGAATTTATAATGGAGGACAATATTTTGGAGGATGTTTTGGAGCACGAGGTAACTAAGATTTATTTATCGCTTACAAATCGTTTGTCTTAAAGCTACATCAAACTTGAAATTCAAACATATCTTCTTTCAATAGATAGATTATAAATTTTATTAAATTTTTTTTGTCCAACATAAGATTTTTAAATATATATTTCTAACGGTTAAATTTATAATATAATGTAGGAAGAGGAAGAACTGAATGAGGAAACGTTGAAGCAAACGCAAGATAAGGAAACAAACACCGAATGCGTATTCATTCCGGAGCAAGGCAAGCAAAGAAAACTCTCCGCGGCTGGCGTCGTGCCTGGCGCTATTCACGACGACAAAAACTCCATTGTAATCAAGAGGAGCCAGACATTTTCACCGAGCGCGGCCGTTAGCAAAAATCATTACATCTGTCGAGTGAGTTTTAATTAAATATAATTTGCTACTATATCTTATTTACTTATTTTGTTATTTACAATAGTTTTTCTATAAAATGCCGTGAGAAAAAAATTTTAAGTTTCAAGTTTTATTTTCATATACAAGAAGTTTTTAAGCTTTAATCACGCGTAAATTGTAAACAAATAGTTAAAAAGAAACGATTATACATCACATACAAATATACACATCCAGTAGTATTAAATACACTCAAGTACATTTTATATACGAGTGATTAAATTTAAGAGTTGAAAAATTATCATTTGGATTGAAAGATTACAGACATTAATTTGTTACTTGTTTTTACTACACTATAATATTTTGGAATATGATTTTTAACATCTTGTAAAGAGTCTATTTCTTTAAAAATTAAGTTATTCTCATTTATTTTTCATGTTTTATCTTTGCACAGCTTAATCGTAGCGACAGCGATAGCAGTATGCCGCTTTATCGCAGAGGCGGACCTTTCCAACGAAATTCAGTGGAGAGACGTTCCCTACGGTGGCGTCGACCATCCTCCGCTCTCAGTTACAAAACCACGAAGAAATCGTCTTATTTGCCGCCCACAATGAGAACGTCATTGGATCTTGAATTGGATCTCCAGGCGCAGCACGCTAGACTGAATAATCTCCAAGATGAGCTTAGTAGGTTACGGGAACTGAAGCAGCGATTGGAACAAGCACGCGAGAAAGGTGATACTGATCTGGCAACGTGGCTATTGGAAGATCAAAAATTCCAAAATCTTATGGTACAGGCCGAAAATGGCAAAAATGGTAAAAATGCCGAAGAGAAGAAAGTGGAGAAGATGATGAAGAAAACATCGAAAGAGATTTATAAATTGAGGAAAACGAAAGCTGGGAAGGGAAAGCCCGACATCATCTCTTTCAAGTAAATAAGTTTTATTTTATCCCAATATTGTTTATTATCATGATTATATAATATATTCCAACAGAGAAAAAATCTTTTTGTATTATTACATTTAACGCATATTTTTTCAATTTCTTTGTTATTTAGAAATATTATAATTGAATATTCAATTATTTAAGAGATTAATATTTAAAGTAATACTAGGGGTAATATCCGAAATCAATATTTTAATTAATATTAATTAAAATTTAAAAGTATTGAATCTTTAAATAAATTGCAAGAATCTGTGATTTTTTCGATTGTCTCGAGGATTATACCAGAAAGAAGGGAAAGTCATCAATATTCATGAAAATCATATTTGATAAACTATGCTATTTTCTTTTTTTTTTCAGGGAAAAGATGGCCTTTTTCACGCGAGTGAATTTGAACGTTCCTATTTTGCCACCCGAGGACCTCGGAAGCGATAATACATGTCCTACGGCATCGCACACGCATAGAAGATACGCGTCAGAGCCCGTTACCAGCGCTCACGGTATTATAAATTCAACGATGCGGCCAAACAGCATTCCCAGCGCAAGCGTAACATCCGCCGCGAGAAGTAGCAGCGGCGTCGCAGATCGGAATGCGAGCGGAATTATCATCACGAACGTTAATGAGGATGAAATCCCAGTGATGAAAAATACCGATAAGCCTGTAAACGCTAAAGGTCGGCCAGCGACGGAATCGAGCGCGCAAAATTCAGAAAACGGCGAAAGCGAGGCTCCATCTAAATCCTCCGAGAAAAACGAAGGCAACGAGGAGCCGGCAAAGAGATACGAATACGTCGTTGACAGGGTTCTCGGTGTAGAGGTGTAAGAAAAACCGAAAAAAATTGTGCGAAGAATATTTTAGGCTTCTACGCGAATCGCAATTTAATCGCGTCACCGTAAATCTGCCTTTTTCAATTTCAAGCAGCAAGGATAAGAAAAGAACAGAGTTGAATCACGGAAATCGTTGCTCCTTGAATCCTATTCTGAATCTTAGGTGCCATGTGCAGATTGCAAGGACGCGCGCGTTGAAGGAATAAAAGACATAAATGTCATCGAATGTGCTGCTGTAGCTGATACGGTCAGTCGTAATGGCTATATTCGCAACGCGTGTGCCAATGCCGCTTACTAGAAACAGCCTTTCGATAGATATGCGGTAGCGAGATTTGCGCGCAAACGCGCAAGCGCGATGTGTATATACGAAAACGTAAATTATTTAAACGGTACTCCATACACGATAGGTTATTTAATTGTTAATTACGCGACTCCATGTCCGAGTCCGTGTCGCGACCGCAATATAATTGCGTATTATATTATTGTTCGTTTCCTTTGTGCGTCGACCCAATACATGACCCACCGAGCAGCTGGTCTGCGACTCAAAAGTTTAACAAGAAAAGGCTGCATCTAGATTGGCTGGTGAATTTTGTTCCGATCTCGGTAATGCCGTTTTCAACAATAGCATTCAGTTTCCTGACTTCAAAAGAGCTCTTCATCCAGTGGAAATGTATCCAAGTATCCTTTACACACTTATCGATTTTAAAGACACGAATCGATAAATAACGTGCCTTATCATCGAATTCGTCGCGCGGGAAATACTGTGACGATTCTGATATAAATTATCGTGGTACAATTAATTAACGGTAATTCCTCATATAAGAAGAAAAAATAAGTAAAAATAAATGTAAAATATAATTTCTTTTTAAATTGCACATCATTTTTCAAGAATTATGACTTTTTATAAAATATAAAAGTAATATACGGATATAACATAACATATTTAATTATATGTTGATGTTAAAATTATAATTGTTCCTAATAAGCTTTGTTATACATATATAATTAGTGTACCACGATTTGCTAAATTGCGTTCAATAATCTACTTATTACAAAAAAAGAGAAAAGAAGCAAAGACGTTTGCTCTTTTTTTCTAATGTTACTACTGAATTGCCACTCTATCCTGGCTTATAGATTTTTGAATGCAATTCTGAACAATCTGTACTTTATAATGCTTGTGTTATTGCATCAAAAACGAGCATCTGAATGAAAACCATGAAAATCGAAAATACTCACTGCTATTTTCGCGAATAAGCGACGATTCGAGTTAATTACAGCTGTGTCCAAGATGTCCGGTGCTAATGACATTATATAGAAAATAATCCAAGAATTAACTATACATAGTAGTGGCAATGGTTGCTTCATGATTAGATAATTTTATCCTATGATGTTGATTTATTTCTCTACATTATTGTAGCTGAAAGAAAAGTTTAAAGTATTTTAAAAGGTTTTAAACATTTAAATTTTATTTATATAAACTTTTTTGAAAATAATTTTTTTTAATGCAGTTTTCTGCATCTGATTCTTATATTGTTATTTATTTTATAAAAGATTTATAATTGACAATTCAATTCATCAAATTGATGCAATTAATATCCTAATAAATAAAAAACACAAGATTATTAAATAGATTGTGTAATCAATTGCTGGCATTTCAGACTCGTAGAGAAAAGAAATTTTGAAAAATTGTCATCTTTAATATCATAATAATTGTTTAATTTGAACAGTCAAAGCCTTTCCACATTTTGCTTTAGATGAGATTTATAATTCGAATAGAAAGTGTATTTATAATTTAATATGATACATATATTTTGATGTGTGTATATTATGTATTTTATACATCTGTGTGTATTTTTGAAAACATTTTTGTAACGTACAACACAGAAAAATTATATATACAATTCTATTCCGAATTTCATAAATTATAAGATTGTCTAAAGTGGGCTTAACAAAATTTGACAACTACAAATTTTAATCGACGAAATTCTTTAGTGATGCACAGTATACATGTATAAAAAAAATAATACTTTTATTGCATTTGGGATAAGAAATTTTTAATGAAAAAAAAAGAATCCAAAATAAGAGATCAACAATTTTAAGTTGTTAAAAATTCTACGAGAGATTTCAAGGTAACGGATGCCATATTATTTATATGTTGACAAGCCCAGTGTGAGTTTTAAAAGAGAATTGAAAGAGAGAAAGGAAGCTTAAAAAGTGAAATAAAACTGGGAGGAATTTGTACATATTTTTGTATATATGCATCTGGACGATTATATGCTTATAAATTTACACGCTTATAAAGATAATGTATAATTATATATACATATATATATATATATGTGTGTGTGTGTGTGTGTGTGTGTGTGTGTGTGTGTGTGTGTGTGTGTGTTATGTATATGTATGTAAACATACACACACACGAGATAGAAAAAAAGAAAGTTGAAGTATAGTGATGAATTCACTCCGTTATTTAAAAATGTATTGTTATCAATGCGTTCGATTTTACAGAGCGTCTCGTAAACTTGCAAATTCAGAAAGCAAAATTAAACTCAGAAATATATATATATATATATATATATATATATATATATATATATAAAATTGCCTCAGCGCTCATAAATGCTGAATTTATCATGCTCATGTATTTAATTAAAACTATATATTATTATATTATTTACATTATCGCATAGAGCCTTATTGTATCAAAGTATAAGTATAATAATAATAATAATAATATCAATAACGTTAATGACGTTAATGATACCGCTAAGAGAAATGCTAAATAGACGATAAAAATAAAATATTATTTCGTAAACAAAACATATTCACGTGCAGTTACACATACACATCATAACATGAGATACAGAAGTACAGAAGAAACAATCACACATTCACAGTTTGATTTGTAAGTAACGGTTCGTATGATAATGATTAAAAGGACAAAATACAATATATTCTCTTGCCACATTTATTTGCGTTGAATACCTTTTCTCATATTTTGCGTCTCATATCAGTCAATTCCGCTATTCTGGATACAATTACGAGTTTAATTAGAACCAATACCTGAAAAAATTTATATACAAAATATATTTTAAGAAACGGAAATTCTCTCTTGCGAAAGGAAATATTTAGACTCAAAGTTTTCTAATCAGACGGCACTAATAATTTTTAAGCTATTAATCCATTAGTATTAATGAAATAAGTTTGAATAAATGACAAAAAGCTTGTTGTGTTTATTCACCGTGTTCAATTTTAACTGAACTTTGACAGATTAAAAATTATGAAGAAATTTTAATATTTCAAGAAAATTTGAAAATAAAAATACAACAAAAAATCATTCAGATAAATCAAAATTTTAAGAAAATTACTATGTAAATACAAATAACTATATAAATACAAAATCGATTATATGCAAAAGATGCGTATAAATAACGTATAAATGGAAAATTTATATTCAATCTACATACATATACATTTTATATAGGTTTCTCGGAAATACGTAGACGTATATAATATTACCTGGAATATTTCATCTGCGAAAATTTCTGTAAATTGATGATGACAGAGGTAATTAATTTTCTCCCGCCTTGCAAAATCCCAAAATAAAATTTTAAAAATTTTATGATTATAATGGTTACGTTTTCTCATTCGATAAATGCATACAATTTTTGCAACTGTAGGTTAGGTAGAATTTATACTGTTTCAATCTCGATATTTATCTAGTACCTGTTTTTTCTTGCCTAATATCGCTACTAGAGGTCAATGCTATCGCTTAAATGACGCGCTCTGACGTTGTAAGCGAGAGATATGTTAAATTCAAATTGTACGCACAAAGTTAGTCACGACCGTTACGAGATAAGAGTCAGAGACGTTAGAGATGGTGAGGAAACGTAAACCTTGGCCTAAAGAAATATATGTTGCCGTTTTATGAATATAACACGCGCGATTGTAAGCACGTAATTTAAGAATGATAATGAAGCGAAGCAATCAAATCGCATTCGTTTGTATTTACTGACAGTTATAGTAGATGAAAGTGTAAGGAGCAAGTTTTTCGCGTATTTACTAAGTGTGAATAGGAAAAAAAAATCTCGTTATATCGTGATAAGAGTGACTTACTTATCGCGATCTACTTCACTGGAAGCAGAATAAAGAGGAACATGTGAAATCTTTTTTCCAGTTTGAGGACATTCGAGGTAAGCGCGTTATTAATTGCGAATTGATAGGATTAAGAGAAAGATAAATATAAAATTTTATTATTTAGCTGAAACTGCAAAAGTTATGTCGGAAGAATCAACGTACTTTGAATATAAGTTCCCTAAGCAGTTCTCCAAGGAGAAGATGGAGTTGGAGGCAAAATTGGATGAGAAAAAGAGAGAACTTCAAGAAAAGCAAATGCAAAGAAAAATACATGAATTACAGGATAAAGTCAGGGAATTATCTCAAATAGAATCTCAATTAGAAGAAAAAACACGGAGATTGCAAACATCCAACAAAGAGAGGGATATACTTGAAAAAGAACTCATCACTACACGATCGGAATTGGCAAGCCTTAAAAGGACATTAGGTAAAATTTAATAATAATTATATCTGAATTACATATAATTTACATAATATTAAATTCATGTTTGTGGAAAAAAGTTTATATTATCCGCAATTGTTCTAAATTTGACGTATCTTTTGGGTTAGAGTTAGAACGGCAGGAGAGAAGAGAGCTAGAGACTCGTGCGCTTGGACTAATAAGAGATGCAAAGCGCAAATGGGAAAACGCAGAAAAAGATAAAATTGCGCAATTAAATCAACATATTGCAGCGCAAACTATAAAAATTACATCGCTGTGTACAAGTAATAATGAAATAAGTTCGCAATTACAAAAAGCAGAATGCGATTTACAAACTGCAAATGCAGAATTGGACAAATTGCGTATATTTCAAGTGAGTAATATAATCATATATAATGTAATATAAAGATATGATATAACTGTGTGTAATCAATTAACATTAATTCCAATAAAGATGAATTATGAATTAGATAAATTAAAGCAATTACTAATTTAAGATTTCTAATATATTTAGACGCAATATAAAGAATCTTTGGCAAAAACACGGGAATTAAATCGACAAAGTGTTCAAGGTGTTGAAATTAAGTTAGAGGAGATATCTGCGCGTGCTCATAATCAGCTGGCTGATTTACGAGCGAAATTAGATTTTGAAACAGCAAAGAATACAGATCTAGAGACTAGATTACGCAATGAACAAGATTCGAACCATTGTCGCGAGTCAAGATTAAATGTTGCTTTAGAACTTGCTCAAAATGAATTAAAAGATTGTCAAGAACAATTGCGTACTATACAAGCTACATTACCAGCAAGAGATGCTGAGATTGAAACTTTGCGTAAACAACTGCAAGAGAAAGCAAAACAGATAGATGATCTGAAAACATCTGAACAAATGCTCACAAGTTTACAAGAACAATTGGAAAGAATGAATCTTGAAAACGAGCAGTTAAAACAGCAATTGGAAGTGAGTATCCCAACATTTTACAAACAATTAGTGGAATAACATTTTCCCAATTTAAACGATTATTTTTGTTAAAGGTTACTAAATCTGATCTAAATGAAACTATGATAAACTTGGAACAAAGCGAGGCACTCGCTTTAAATCTAGAACAAGCAGCACAAGATAAAGTTACATTACAAAAGAGATTACAAGACTCCTTGAACAAAGAAGGTAAACAATCTTACATTTCTCAATTTAATAATAACATTTCTCATTTTAATAATTTTTGTCTTATATTATCGTTTTGTTATTTAATTGCAGAGGAACAATTGCGCAAAGTTTACAATTTAGAAGAATTATTGAAACGTTTGGAACATAGTGTTACAAAACTAGAAACAGAAAATGCTAGTCTTAAAGAATTAGATCAAGCACAAGCTACAAATTGTGCAATTACTGATACAAAGTATGAAGTAAATGCAAAGATTGATCATTGGCAAGAAAAGATAGAGAAACTAGAACAACAACTTCAAGCTTTAAGAGAAGAAGTGACAATTGAAAAACAGACAGCAAAACAGGCTCAACTAGCTCTATGGAAGAAAGAAAAGGAATTATCAGATGCTAACTTGGATAAACGAATAGCTGTGAGGGAAAGTAAAAGAGCAGAAGATAGAATCAAAATATTGCAGGAAGAAAAACAGAAATTACAAGATAAATTAAGTAGTAAAATAAAGGAAGAAGAAGAAAATCTTAAAAAGCTGTTGAAAGAATTAGATATTGCAAAAATGTCATTAAATGATATTACAAAAGAAGCAACTAGGAATAAAATGCAGGCTGATTCAGCACAAAGGGTACATATGTGTATATACAGGGTGTCCGGAAAATTGCCTGCAGTACTTCGGGAAGTGATTCAGGACCCCAAAAAAAGGAAAAAAATATAAACATATCTCTGGAAATATTAGTCATTTCCGAGTTACAGTCACTTTTACGTTAAAAAAATCGTAATGTAAAGTCTGCTTGGCATCCCTCTTTTTTTAATTTAAATTTAAAATTTAAATTTAATTTAAATTTAATTTAAATTTAAATTTTAATTTAAAAAAGAAGGATGCTGACTACACATTACGATTTTTTTAACATAAAAGTGGCTGCAACTCGGAAACGACTAATTTCCAGAAGTATGTTTTTTTTTGTTTCTTTTTTTGTTTGTTTGTTTGTTTCAAATCACTTCCCGAAGTATTGAGGGCAACTTTCTATACCAGTCGCTATATATATATATATATATATATATATATATATATATATATATATTTATTTATTTATTTATTTATTTATTATTAATGTATTATATATTATACATTTCAAAATTATTATATTATTTTTTAAAAATATTGAAAATTTTGTTAAAAGTTCTTGCTCTAATATGAATTAATGCTCTCCCCTTTTCTCTTTTTTCTTTTTTCTGTACAGATAATTTTTATGGGAATAGCTTTATTTTTATTTTTCAAACATTTTTGCACATTTTTCAGGCTTTGACACAAAGTAATAGTCAGATTGAAGAACTTCAATCTTCGAGCGCATCATTACGTAGAGAGTTGGATGCGGTTCGTAAGCAAATGCGATCAAATCAAGATCGAATCGATACTCTGAATGCTGAGAATAGACGATTAACGCAAATAGTTGCTAGACATAACGGGGAAAAGACTGAACTCGAGTCTAAAGTCGCAAAATTAGAGCAAGATATTAAAGGCTATGAGTTAAATATCGAACTCTTAAAAGAAACTTGTACAGTCTTGGAGGAACAATTGACAGATTATGAGAGATTAACGAGCGATCACGAAACGCGCGAAAATATGCTGATTCAGGATAAAATGAAATTACAGAAAGATTTGGAAGCCGCTGAAACAAAAGTCCGCGAAGCACGTATCGCGCAAAACGAAGAGAAAACGCGAAGATTAGCCGCCGAACATAATTTCGAGCAATTAGAATCTGAAACAAGTGACATAGAAAGTGAAAGAAACAGCCTTATCGCTCAGCGGGATCAATATAAGAAACTCGCTCAAGAGCTTAGCGCGCAAATAGAAGAATTAACAACGAGATGTGGTGAAATGGAGTACAATCTCTCGGAAATGAGTCGCGCCTTAGAAGCCGCTAAAGCAGAATCGAGAATCGTGAAAGAAGAGAGCAGTGACTATTTGACGAGAGTGCATGAATTGAGAGAAGTAAATTCCGAGCTTATGGCCGATCTACAGATTAATGTGGATCAATCCCAGGAACTAAAGTCGAGAATAGTAGAATTAGAGAACGTCTTGGAAGAGATGAGACAGTTTTATCAAGAAAGAGAGGTAAAAGCCGAAGGTACTCGGCAACAGCAGACTAAATTAATCGATTATTTACAATCGAAATTGGAAGAATGCAGTAAAAAGAAGAAGACTATGTGTGACAAAATACTCGGCAAGCAGAAAGAAAATATGCCTCCCGTGAGTACAAGCATGCCCGTAGGATATCGTGAATTGGAGAATCAACTAGCTAGAGAACGGGCAAAGGTGAAAACATTGACAGATCAATTATTAATTCAGAAGGCTAAAAGTACTTCCATTTCTGCATCTGCACCTACTTCGCCTACGTCAATTACAGAATGCGAAAACAAGAGGATGAAAGATGTCACAGAGATTAGCAGTTCATTAATGAAACGATTATCTCCACAAAGGATAGGACACAACATTCCGCATAGATTCAATGTAGGCTTACCTATGCGCGCAGGAAAATGTGCAGCGTGTCCAAAAACTATACAATTTGGAAGGCGCGCTGCGACCTGCAGCAGATGTCAAATTATGACGCATTTAGAATGCGCAGTATCCGTACCTGTGACTTGTGATTTACCGAATGATTTTCCAAATTATTGTCATAAAGTTGTTGGAGACAGCAATGACAGCTTATCCTCAATAGGAGATAGTGTCCAGGCATTGGCGATAGATCAGCCGGACAAACCGGAAGATGTGGTAAGAAATTATACTTAATTCACATTAGTATTTATCATTACTTTTTAAATCGATTGTATATTTACTTATGTGTATGCTATATACAGAATTCGCAAAATGTAACAAAGCAAAACGAAAATGAAATTCCTATGGAAGGATGGGTGAAAGTGCCCGGTAGATCGAAATCTTGTTGGGAGAGAAAATACTTAAGGTTGGAAGGATCATGTTTGTGCGTTTACGAACATCAGCCGTGTGCAGGGATGATACCGATCAGCCGTTTAAATTTAACGGAAAACAATGATTTTAATGTTTCCGAGACGGTACAGCATCCAGACGTATCAGGAACGGCAAGATCCGATATCCCGTTCATCTTTAGAATCGAATCAAATTCCGCAACGACTTGTTGGCCTTCATCTAGATTGGACGTTATGGCTCTAAGTCAAATCGACAAGAGAAATTGGTCTAAAGCTTTAAAGGCTATTACCAATCAAAATTCACATGCTGTAACCAAATGTAAAAAATATCAAACTATGCTCAGATTAGAAAAACATCAGGTGAGTGGTAATGCTAAGATGACTGATAAATACATCATATTCATTTTACAAAGTGAAATAAATTTTTTTTTACTTTTCCTTTTATTATTTTTTTGTGGGTATGTATGTGAATATGTATTTTATATTTTTTCATACGTGCTGCATCAACTCCGTTCATTTTCAGTTGGATTTGAACTGCGTTGTTGATTTGGGTATGGAAAATATGCTTTTGTTGGGCGCAAAAGAGGGTCTATTTTCATATTGCGCTTCTAAATCTCAAACACTCACTACTATACGTGGAGTCAAACAGATACATCAGCTCTCTTTACATCACCATTTGGATTTGGCTCTAATGATCGCTGGTGAATATAGAGAATTAGTGTACTGCAACTTGCGACTATTAAAAAATAATGCATTAGCTGCCGATTGTTCTAAACCAGCGATTAATACGAAGAGCGTATTATCTACTTCCGATAGTTGCCATCTGTATCAATTACAGGGCGAGATATTGTGCGCCGCGACTGCATCTCATGTGATGTATGTAACTTTTAATTTACAAATGTATAATAATACAATTTTTTTAAACATTGTTTCATATATATATTGATTATTTTTATCATATATAGACTGTTTAAATGGAGAATCGAAGAAGATTCGGGAATGTTTGTCGGACTTCGTGAGCTTGAAACTCAGGAGCCTTGCAGTTGTGCCATATTTACATCAAATCTTCTTATTATAGGATGTCATAAATTCTTCCAGATTGATTTGCAAACTTATAGTGTAGATGGTAAGCACAAATGTATGAAATATATACGATATATTATAACATGACGATAAATCTAAAATTTTTATGTCTTATGAAATTCTTACAAGTAATATATTGTATAATCATGTAATATTTTTACTTTAAACGAAAAATATAATTCTGTAATAAAAAATACAAAATTAAATTAATTACATACATGTCATTTGCAGAATTCCCTGAAGAAGACAATAGTTCAATTAAAGCAGCTCTTACGGGTGCAGCTAAGCTTGGCATATTTCCAGTTTGCGTTTTGAATATTTCTAATACATGCGGCACGGCGGAGCTTCTATTATGTTACAATGAATTTGGTGTATTTGTGGACGAAAATGGCAGAAGAACTCGCGCCGTTGATCCAGTATGGAACCATTTACCGTTTGCTTTTGGTACTATTACAATTATATAATTATACGTGACATTACAATCCATAAATAATTTTATCTAATGAAATTTTTATTTTATTTTTCAGCATTTTGCAAGCCATATTTATTTATTATTCATTTCTCGTCTGTCGAAATTGTAAAACTCGATGCACAAGCGTACAATTCGTCGGAAGAAAGTCCTGAACGTATGTTAATCGAATTATCTAGTCCACGTTATCTAGGTACGGCGGGCTCGAAAGGAATTTATGTAGCGACTATAAACTCTTATCTTGAATTATTGAGGATTGATGGTTTTTCCAATGTGCAAACGTTGAATGGCAGTTTAACAAGTCTGGACACATTGTATGTCTTTTTTTTTTAAGATAAAATTATTAATACAGATAAATTGAAATTTTTCGATATATATATATATATATATATATATATATATATATGTATAAATAAATTATTATAATTATATATTATCTTTTTTTACAGACCTCAAGAAGATGAAAGTAGTTCGGAATTCAGTTTTACGTCGAGTTTAATGGAAACTTTAGATGGACAAGGAAGAAAAGTACATTTTGGCGGAGTGCACAAATATTGAAGTAGGTCTTTTATATGATTTAATTTCACAATACTATTTTTTGGTTTATTAGAAACTAGTAATTTGTGTGTATGAAAATGCATTCATAGCAATCATTATGAAAAAAATATTTGTATTCTATAGAGAAAGTAAGAATCGAGTAGAAAAATATTTAATTTTAAATTATATTCTCTCATCGTCTTTCTCTTTAATAGAGAATGTGAATACGTAAAAAAAATAGAGGCAAAATGTCATGATAACGATCTCAATCTCTTGCCACGTTATTAACTTTCTGATCAGTTAGTTGAGTTTATTTTCCATATGTGCAACTGCCAGCTTAATTAATATAATAATTTATTGATTCATAAATATATATATATATATATATATATATATATATATATATATAAGTTTATATGTGTAAAATTATTAAATGTACTTATTTACTTATTGAATAAACGCGTTCAAAGTATTTACAATATAAAAAAAAGAAAACAAACGAGCTAAATGATTTGACAAAGTTTGCGTTGACGCATTCATTGTATCATAAGCGCTCGAAAGGCTAAAGATCAAAAAACATGCGACATTAGTATTATAAAACCAAATTCCGCAATTGAGTTATATTTCTCGTAACTTCGAGAACTATTCTAATAAGTTTTGTTTCTTCGAGTATTCATATATACTATAAGAAGAGATGTACAGCTAAATTTTATTTACGTATATAAAAGTAAAAGAACTGTATACTTAAATGATATACTATATTATACTATATAAATTAATATTAATGATAGCAGGATACATAATATTATAATATATTCTCTTTATGTATATTATATAACTTGTGTATATTAAAACTTTTATATTTTTATACAAAAAAATATAAAAATAAAGAAATATATATGTATATATACACATATATGTACACACACACGCTCGCTCACACACACACACATACACACACACACACACACATACACATAAATACATACAGTTATGTGTGTATATGCATATACATAAAACAATAAATCGTATTTTTTGTCACACATATATTAAATATAATTTATGTATTTTACTAATTTGTTTCTGAAAAATTATTAAATATTATGCTTGTTTCTGAAAAATTATTAAATATAATGTCGCTTGATTTCAAAGAAACATTGATCAAAAAAAAGCTCACGTAATATCGCGTTACATTTTATATACGTCAATTTAGCTAACGGAAAGCAGTAACGGAGCAAACATTATGTATTCCACGATATATATTATGCGATATCCGGCAACCCTTGACTCTTTTGAGTCGAATATTCATTATTGATCGTTGGACTATACAGAGAAAAAAAATTATGTAAAAATCTCGATTTACTACATTCGAATCCAATGTCGTCAAACATTGATATACTTATTTGTTTGGGTTTTATTGGATCCATATTGTTGTAAGACATCTTTATATTTTTTATAATTTTTTTTTAGAAAAATTATTCCGCATACAAATAAATCTCATAATTGTAAACTTATCTCAGGTAACTCCATCAGTATTTATTATTCATGAATTGTATTAATAAGATTCTCGAAAAAATTCAGTTATACTGCAACTTAAAAAATTAAATTGTAACACTTATAAGATTATATTTGCAGTTACTGAAACACAATAGCGTATCCTATGCAAAATAGGCTATACAAACGGAGGAAGTTCAAAGTAATAATTAATGAAATTCATATTATGAGGTAGGGGTATTCTTCATTATAAAGAGTCGTTGTTCTGTCTGTCATTCCTGATTTGCCGTTCATAGTTTGTGTGGTTGACGTGTTTGTTAAGTTTTTCTCCAACAAACTAAATTATCAAATCTTTATGCGATGTACAATTAATCAGGATTAATAAAAAAATTAATTACAAATATTGCGTGCTCACATAATTATAAATTGGTGAGGATATTTCGATAACAAATCAACAGCGTTCTCTTCAAATTGAAATTTTGAAAATGCCCGAGATGTCTGTGACTAAATCGACGAAGAGAGTTTACAAGGTGCCTGAACCTGGAGAAGAGATTGTTATCTCTGGCATAGCCGGTAGATTTCCGGATTCCGACAACATGGAAGAACTCAAAAATAATCTATTGAATAAAGTAGACTTGGTCTCGGGCGATGCCCGGCGATGGAAATTAGGTGATTAATAGAATCAAATTTTAATTATCAAGTATAGATAGATATGTTACTATAAGCATAATTAGAGATATCTTATTCTACATTTTTTTCCATTTGAAATATAATGATTAAATGATATATTTATATTTTTATTATCATTGTTACAACATTGTACGATTAAAAATCTCCGAATATATAAGTATGGAAATGTATTATATTTTATATGTATTATTTTATTTTACAAATTTTATAATTGCGTTCCGACAGATCACCCGGAAATTCCCCAGCGAACCGGAAAGATTAACAATGTTGGTAAATTCGATGCGCTATTCTTTGGAGTCCATTTCAAACAGGCTCAAACAATGGACCCGATGTGCAGAATGTTACTGGAACACGCTTATGAAGCTATTATCGATGCAGGAATAAATCCGAAGCAGTTACGTGGATCGCGAACGGGTGTCTTTATAGGCGCGAGTTTTTCGGAGTCTGAGAAAACCTGGTTTTATGAAAAGTTACAGGTAAATATTTATTGCAATAGTGTTATGTAATATATACCTTACAAAAATATGCGAAGAAAAAAAATCGATAGAATTTATCTCACTAAATAAATATATTTTAATAATTTAATACAATTTTTTAAACCTTTTTTTTCCAAAAACTCTAGGATTTATAATCTGTTTCTTCATTTTCTTTCTACATATTTTTGTACATTTCAAGTTATTATTTTAAAAATGCGAGAAATTAAATTGTATGTTTGTATGAGAAACATTTGCAAATATTTTTAAATTATTTTCCAAGGTGAATTCTTTTGTATGCAATTAGATAAACGGTTTTGGAATTACCGGATGCAGCAGAGCCATGTTGGCGAATAGGATTTCCTATTGGCTGGGAGCAATTGGACCTTCTTATACTTTGGACTCTGCTTGTAGCTCGAGTTTGTACGCTCTGGAGCATGCTTATCGGTGCATGCAAGACGGTCAATGCGATGCCGCTATCGTGGGTGGATCGAATCTATGTCTACATCCCTATGTATCGCTGCAATTTTCTCGCCTTGGTATGATCTCTTCGTCATTTCACTTTTCAATACATAATTATACATTTGTATGAATCTCTATGGATATGGATAGATATATATATAGGATAAAAAAATTCTTGTCTTGCTTTCACTGTAAAGATTCGTTATAGAAACTAGAATTTTAGAATCAAGAAGAGATATGTGAATGTCAATCTAAATCTAATTTAACACTAATTTAGACTTGTTTTTTTTAACTTATATATGTAAAATTATGTATATAATCAAAATTGACTTGTCTGTATACAAACATTAATATAAATATCTTGCAAGAAATATATATATATATATATATATATATATATATATATATATATAAAGAAATGAAAGAAATAAAGTAATTTTTTTTAAACAATATAATTTTTTTATATCTATTATTGTACGTATTTTATATTATTTTGTATTAATTATAATAATAATTGCAGGGGTTTTGTCGCCCGACGGTCGCTGCAAAGTCTTTGACACCGACGCGGATGGTTACGCTCGCAGCGAGACGATCGCCGTTGTGTATCTGCAAAAGGCGAAAGACGCGAAACGAATATATGCCACGGTCGTTTATGGCAAGACAAATTGTGACGGTTACAAAAAGCAAGGCATCACGTTTCCGTCGAGCGAAATGCAAGGCATGCTAATGCGAGAATGCTACAATGATTGCGGTTTATCTCCATCCAGTCTATCTTATCTAGAATGTCACGGTACTGGTTCTAAAATCGGTGATCCTGAGGAGATTTATGCGATTGACTCTGTCTTCGGTAAAGACAGAAATACTCCTCTCCTGATTGGTTCCGTCAAGTCAAATCTGGGTCATTCTGAGCCCGCTAGCAGTCTTTGCCAAGTTGCCAAGGTAAGGTCAGGGTTTGTCAGAATTTTTAACTTGATATATTATAGCTAAGAATAAATTTAAACAAAATGTAAATAATAATTGCGAAATTATCATTAAAAATTAAAAAAATTGTAATAAATTTAGATTTTAAGATAATATATAATATAGTTTACAAAAGAATTACATTAAAATTAGATATTTAACTAAACATATGTCAAGTGTTGTTTAAAATTAAAGAAATTATTTGTATTATAATGTAATTATTGTAATTGTAAATATTCGAACATGTAAGATAATGAAACAATATTTCAACTGATTCGTGTTGCATAAATTTATCAAGTTGCAATATTCATCATAGGTATTAATAGCGATGGAAACTGGAACAATCCCGCCTAATTTGCATTATAATCGGCCACGAGAAGGTGTGAAAGCCCTTGAAGAAGGCAGATTCAAAGTCGTTACCGAAACAACACCTTGGGAAGGTGGTTATGTAGGAATTAATTCGTTTGGTTTCGGAGGTGCCAATTGTCATGTCATACTAAAATCCAATCCGAAGAAGAAAATCAATAACGGAGCTCCATCTGATGATTTACCGAGACTGGTAATAGTGTCTGGACGTACCGAGGAATCTGTCAAAGTATTCTTAGACGATGTAAGTAAAAGAAATAAGAGAATATGAGAGAAAGTAAGATGGTGAGAGACCGCATCGCAATAAAAAAATATAAATAATATAGATAATAAAAAATATATTATTTACATAAATGTTTCATTGATATAATTATATATTATACGATATGTTGAAGCATATTTTTGCATAATTCAGTAAAAATATTTTCTGCGAAAAAAATCAAAATTTTCATCAATTAGTTTCATTGTCTTTTATTTTTATCGTTTACAGATTGAGAGACATCCAGTAGACGTTGAATATATTCGCTTATTGCATGACATACACACTGATGATATTCAAGGACACTTGTATCGAGGATACACGATCGTCGGATCAAAGACGGCGGAACATCCTCCACGAGAAACGGAAAATTATTTGGGAACGAAGAGACCGATCTGGTTCGTGTTTTCTGGAATGGGATCACAATGGCCCGGCATGGGTGCGCATCATATAATTTTTTATCATACAAATACAGAAATAATATATTCTATTATATTTTATTTTATTTATATTAATTCTCGATTTCTATATTGAAATATAGGTATTGATTTAATGAGATTCCCTGTCTTTGCTAAAGCCGTTCAGAAATGTGACGATATCTTACGACCTCGCGGTGTAGATATTATTAATATTTTGACAAACAAGGACAAATCTACTTTTGACAATATCTTAAATTCGTTTGTGGGTATCGCGGCGGTACAGGTAAGCTAAATACAATGACAATTCCGACATTACTTCTCCCAGTAAATTATTACCGTAGATTACGGTATGATTGTGTAAAAGAGAAAAGAATTAAAAAGAAATTATTAAAATGCGTTTCTTTACTATTATTTTTTATCATATTCTGACATGATATGAATTTCATAGATTGGTTTAGTCGATCTACTCACCTCACTGGGTATCGTGCCGGATAACATTATCGGTCATTCGGTCGGAGAGCTCGGTTGCGCTTATGCAGACGGAACCATCACCGCCGAACAAATGATCCTATCATCGTACTCGAGAGGTTTAGCATCCATTGAAACCAAAGTAATTTATGGCTCGATGGCAGCGATTGGTCTTGGTTACGAAGATATCAAAGATATGTGTCCATCGGATATTGAAGTGGCATGTCATAATGCTTCAGACAGCAGCACTCTCAGCGGACCTGCAGAATCCATGAAGGAATTTGTTGCTGAATTACAGGTTAAATTTATCATTTTTTAATTCCCAAGAATAAAATCGATAAAAATTGTCAAAAAAATAAATTTTAATATTTAAACCAAAACAGGCACACACATACGTATACATATACATGCATACATATATACATATATACATAAATATATACATACACATATATATAATTAAAATAATATATAATTAAAATGTAAAACTGCCGAATAAGAGTTATTACAAGAGAAAGAATTAATTGACTAACATAATAATAATAATACATGCAATATTTATGCATATAAAATTTTTATTGCGATTTTTAATTGCTTTTTTAAAACATATCTGCTTTTGTTAAATTTATGTATATCTTAATTAGGGTAAGAAAATCTTCGCGAAGGAAGTGGCCTGTAGCAACATACCTTATCATAGTCGTTACATCGCGCCCGCTGGATCGAAACTGCTGGCTTACTTGAGCAAAATAATACCTCAGCCTAAACCGCGCAGCCGAAAATGGTTGAGCACGTCTGTGCCTCGCAGCAAATGGTCCACAGCAGCCGCCAAGTTATCATCCGCCGAGTACCATACTAATAATCTTTTGAATCCCGTACTGTTTGAAGAAACGGCTCGTATGATTCCGAAGGACGCAGTGACTATCGAGATCGCGCCCCATGGCCTCCTACAGGCGATCTTGAGGCGATCTCTCGGTAAGGGAGTCACAAATATTGCGCTCACTCAACGTGATCACAGGGACAACGCCGAGGTTGTTCTACAAGCGATCGGAAAACTCTACAACAATGGATTACAACCGGAGATCGCGAATCTTTACCCGCCTATTGAGTTTCCGGTTAGCTGTGGTACCCCGATGATCTCGCCTTCAGTTAGGTAAGTTTATTGTCACTTATTAATAAATTTATTGAAACTTTTTACTTGAATATACTTAACACTTTACGTGAAACACTTCACGTGAATTATTATATGTTCGATTATTTGAAATAAACTGGCATTGCGACAAGTGAAAATTTGTCCCAATTTTCTCGTTTTTGATGTATCAAAATGAATTAAATTGATACCTAATTGCTATCTCTAGAGTATTCGATGATAAAAGGACTAAGAAAAGCTGCATGAATTATTTTAGAATCTCGTTATTGTTCTATTTTGATATACATTAGAAGATAAATTGAATAATTTATCTCCAGATGGGAACATTCCGATGACTGGTATGTAACGACGTTTAAGATGCAAAAAAAAGTCATTTCCGGGGAGAGAAACGTTAATTTAACATTATTGGATGAAAACTATGAATATATGTCCGGCCATGTCATTAATGAAGAAAACTGGATACCTGCCATAGGATATCTTGCTCTAGCTTGGGAAACTCTAGGTTTACTGCAAGCAAAAACACATACAGAACTATCGGTCGTCTTTGAAGATATCATTTTCATGCGTGCTGTTCAGTTTCCAAAAGAAGGCGAAGTCAAGTTAACGGTGATGGTTCAGAAAGGTACCTTATTGTTTCCATTTTTTAAAACAACGCGTGCGCATTCATGTTGTAGAAAAATTCAAATTGCAGAATAAAATTTAACATTTTCTATTTAAATTATCACCAATGTAAAGTCAATTATGTAAGAATAATTTTATAAAAAAATTTACTATTACAAATTTAGTTATTTATTCTTAACGTTATATAATATTTTATTTAATTAGATAATAATTATTCCCGCAGGCACTGGAAGGTTTGAAGTATCAGAAGGCGGTAAAGCGGTTGCGAGCGGAGTAATTCGCGTTACAAAGAATCCCGCGCAGGAAAAGATAGCGGTCGCAATTTTGCCGCAAGATGAAGGCGAAGAGGAAGTGATGACCACTAAGGATATCTACAAAGAGCTAAGACTACGCGGTTATCAATATTCAGGTATTTTCCGCTCTTTGAGAAGTGCATCGATTTCAGGAACAAAGGGACACATTGCTTGGATGAGTAATTGGGTGACGTTCCTTGATAACATGCTGCAAATAATGATGTTGGGACTGGACACTAGAAATTTGTACATCCCAACGAAAATACGAAAGATCGTAATTGATACCAAGCTTCATCAGCAGGAGATCCGAAAGCTAGACGTGGAAGATAGACGTAAGCTTTTTTTTTATACATCTCTTTTCTCCAAGCATTTCGCTAATATTCTGATATAACTATTGTAATTATTACAAACACACTGCAACTCTGTATCGTTTTTCATCATAGAACTTCCGGTACACGTATATAAACAATGGGAGACTGTAATATCGGGTGGGGTCGAGATTCGTGGCGTCAAGTCCAAAGCCATATCTCGCCGACTGCCGGCGAGTGAACCGGTTCTCGAGGAGTACAAATTTGTGGCATATCGCGATAGAGCGCAGATATCCCTGCAAGAAGCGATCAGATTGGCCATACATATCGCAATTGAGTATCATCAGGCTATTCACGTGAAAACTATTGAACTGATCGATGATTCTGATAATGTGACAGCTAATGAATTGGCATCACCTATACTCACAAAGATTCTGGCTGACTTACCCTTGATTCAAGCGAATGTGCTTTTGTCAGCATCACCTAATCGATTCGATGATGACGTCTTATCACCAAATGTAACTTCTGTAGATTCTCTGTCTAATGAAGAAAACGCTTTGTTTGCTATTGGTATCGATCTTTTAACAAAAAATAAGAGCGAACAGCTGGAACAGATTCTATCAAAACTGCGAAACGACGGTTTTGTGTTGACACGAGAAAAATTACCCAAGCTCGAGAATCTTTCAGCACTCTCGAAATATAACTTGGATGTGATTCTAGAGAAAAACACCAGCACAGAGAGTATCATACTCTTGAAAAAGAAAGCTCAACCGATTAAAAAAACAGAGATTGTTCGTATTAACAACAACGAATTCACTTGGCTCGAGAAGCTAAATTCTATTATGAACATGGAAAACAAGACTGTTGATAATACGAAAATAATACTCGTCGGCGAGAAGGATTCCGATTCTGGCTTGCTGGGCTTTGTGAATTGTCTGAGAAAAGAACCAGGCGGAGAAATGATCAGAGGTATATTAATACAGGACACCGAAGCTCCTGAGTTTTCTCTACAGAACTCTTTGTACACAAAACAGCTTCAGCTAGATCTGCCTATTAACGTATTACGACCAGGAAAAATATGGGGGTCCTATAGACACGAACCAGTTTCTTTATCAAAATTAAAGCCTGTTTATCATGCATTTGTTAATCAAAAGGTATGTAACTTAATTGAAATTCTCGAAAGTTATCGTCTCTTGACTGGTTTGCCTAACAAGGATTTAAAAATAGAGAAGAAAAAGGTAGCCAGCTGCAAAACACAATAACTTTCGAATTTTAAATGTATATATTTATACTAGTTATATATATTGTATGTAATAACACCTATGTATGGAAAATAGATACGCGGCGATTTGAGTTCGCTTCATTGGATTGAAGGCCCTATACGTCCTAACACTAACCAAAAGGATTTGGTTCATGTAGTATATTCGCCTATCAATTTCAAAGATATCATGTTTACTACAGAAAAACTTACTCCAGATACAACTTCAATGCAAACTCGATTCAACGACTGCTTGATTGGCTTAGAGTACGCTGGTATCGATACCGCTGGCCGTCGTGTGATGGGATTATGTGAGAATAGGTAATTTTTTCCTTTTAAGTACATTCATCACACACACTTTCAAAGTTACACAACTATGTATAAAAGCATTGTTTAATTACTTACTTTTATTGTTTCAAAAATGATACGGCACAGTTATACAAAAAAGCATTATATTTCTTAATAATTAGAAACACATTTTTAAAAATTTATTAACTTTAATTATTATAGTTTATGTTAATTATTATTGATTAATGTCATATTTTTTCCTTGAAATATCATCGATGCATTGATTCTGAAACATGTTGGAAATAGTTTAGTATCGATGCGATTAATATGTACGTTTGTAATTTTAGAGGCCTATCAAATATAATCGTACCTGATAAAAACTTTACCTGGCCTGTGCCTGACAATTGGTCGCTGGAAGATGCGGCTACCGTACCATACGTATACGCGATATGCTACTATGCATTATACATAAATGCCGAAATGAAGAAAGGAGACAAGGTGCTTATTCATTGTGGCACTGGCGGCGTTGGTCAAGCAGCGATTCATCTCGCCCTTCATGAAGGTTGCGAGATCTTTACTACCGTGGGAACACCCGAAAAACGCAAATTTATCCATGAAATGTTTCCATCCATCCCAGATGATCATATCGGTAATTCGCGCAATACCACTTTCGAACAACTGGTACTTACACGAACAAAAGGCTCCGGTGTTGACATCGTTCTCAACTCATTGCCTGACGAAAAACTCCAAGCATCGGTTCGCTGTCTCGCACAAGGCGGTCGTTTCCTGGAGATTGGCAAGTGTGATCTTGTATCGAGCAATACCTTAGGAATGATGATTTTCTTAAAGGAAATCAGTTTTCATGGAGTTATGCTAGAAAATATGTTCGATCCTGATATTAACATGGAAGATAAATTAAATCTGAGAAACTGTTTGGCCGATGGTTTGAAAAACGGAGCTATTAAGCCGATCGTTAGAAAGATCTTTGAAAAGAATGAAGTGGAAGCGGCTTTCAGATACATGACGACTGGAGAACATATGGGCAAAGTAAGGAAAAAATTAATTAATAGGATCATAATTTTCTAGTTATTTTTTAATTCCCAATCGGATATTGTAAGATTAAATATATTTGAAGAAAAAAGTTCGAGTTAAATTTGTGATAGAAAACTAAAGTTTCTAGGAAATAAATATTGAAAATTAACAAATTTATCAAAATATTACATATTTTTTTATAGGTGATCTTAAAGATTTGCGACGAAAATCAGGTTGGAAAGATACCAATTCTTGCTCAGCCTCAATATTACTGCGACGGTAATAAAAGCTATCTTATCCTGGGCGGTCTAGGCGGTTTCGGATTGGAATTGGCCGATTGGCTAATACTTCGAGGTGCTAAAAATTTAGTGTTAACATCCAGAACAGGAATAAAGACCGGTTATCAGCGTATGAAGACCGATCTATGGAAGTCGTATGGCGTGAACGTGTTGATTATTCCAGACGTGGATGCTGCAAAACGTGAAGATTGCGAATTTATATTAAAATCCGCAGCAAAACAAGGTCCGGTAGACGCCATTTTCAATCTTGCCGTAGTACTGAAGGATAGCATTTGTAAAAATCAAAGGCCAGAATCGTTTAAAGAATCCTTCAAGGCGAAAGCCTGGTCTACCAAGATGTTAGATGAGTTATCCAGGAAATTGTGTCCGGGACTTCGGCAGTTTGTAGTATTCTCTTCGATTTCCTGTGGACGCGGAAACGCTGGGCAGACGTATCACGGTATGGCTAATTCTGTAATGGAGAGAATCTGCGAGCGCAGAGTGGCGGACGGCTTGCCGGGCTTGGCCATTCAATGGGGCGCGATCGGTGACGTTGGCCTCGTCGCCGAATGGCAAGACGACGACAAGAAATTAGTTGTTGCCGGTACCTCGCAGCAAAAGTTATCCTGTTGCCTCGAAAAGCTGGAAGACTTTTTATTGCAAAATCGTCCAATAGTATCCAGCATGGTAGTGGCTGAAAAACATGTGGATTCTTATAGTACTATTAATGTTGCTGAAACTGTGGCGAATATAATGGGTAAGATTATTGTTATATTAAGACAATTTTCGAAGGGCACAAATACTGTTGCATTTGCACTAGTTATGCGATATCAAATGAGGATGTTAAACTCTGCCTTCAAGCTATTAAATATCTTTGACAAAACATTAATATAAAACAATTAATTGGAAAAAAATCTTCTAAAATAAACTAAATAAGATCACCATCGATTTTACTTATGTTTTTCGGTACTTTTGTAGGTGTAAAAGATATCGAAACTGTATCTCAGGATATATCATTGACCGAATTGGGAATGAATTCGATGATGGCCATAGAAATCAAACAAATCTTAGAACGTGAGTTTGATGTTTTCCTCACTGCGTATGATATTCGAACTTTGACTTTTGCCAAACTGGCTGAGATACGCGATAAGAACGCAGAACAAGAGCAAGTGCAGATTGACGAAGAGAAGATCGATATATCTAAGCAATTGTTTATCCGAGTCACGAGTAATGAAGATATGATTTCCGATGTTTGTATGGTATTACCGACTAGGAAGGATTCGCGTAAAGTCGAATTATTCCTCTTGCCGGGCATAGAAGGTAGCGGACACGTATTTAATTCAATAGCGTCGAGAATCAGACCAATAGCGACGGCCTTGCAATATGGTACGAATAATATCGGGATCACTCATCAAAGTATACCAGAATACGCCGACCATCTTTTACCGGTACGTATAGAAGAGAATATAAATGATATAAATAAAATGAGATTTCGTTACATATTTCTTGTAAAGAATATATAACGTTGTATAGAAAAATGTTTGCGTGTTTTTGATTAATATGGACGCTTTGTTGAAATTTTTAGAATATTTTACCAAAGGCGGAGGAGGAAAGAACCTTCATTTTGATTGGATATTCATACGGCTCATTAATCGCTATTGAATTGGCGAGACGATTGGAACATCAAGGCTTGAACGGTCGATTAGTGTTGATTGACGGTGCGCCTGATTTAATGAAAGCGATGATAGAACAATATTTACCATCTCAAACGCAGGAGGAACTTCAGAATAATATTTTGCTCTACATCATGGATAATCTACAACCAGCTGCGAGCGGAAAGGTAGTATTTATCGTGCTAAAATATTTTCCGTCTCCTTATCTTCATGTTTTATTAACATTTCTTTCTATTTTGTAGTTAATTTTAGATTTCGATAAGTGCACGACTTGGGAACAGAAATTAGATAGCTTTGTTTCACATCTTGCTTCCGCTGACATATCACTTTCCATTGAAAATCAAAAAGCATTATGCACAACTTTATATAGTCGTGTCCTTGCTCTTCAAAAGTACGACGCATTGTCTTTGCCACGAATTCGAGCACCTATAACACTCTTGAAACCTACACAATCATCTACCTATATGGCTGAAAAAGATTATGGTTTGCGTAAGGTAATGTTTTCTTGATGTGTTTTTTTAAATATTTTTAAAATATAAATTTTTTCGTATTTTTGAAATTGAGACTTAATACAAAAATGTATGAAACAGTAAAAAATACAATTATGAACTATTTTTTAGATTACGCGAGACAAGGTGGAAGTGCATTACGTTGAAGGTAATCACGTTACAATGTTGAATAACGATAAAATTGTTCTCGCGATTAATGGAGAACCGCTGATTGATCCTCAAGAATTTAAGAAACTCTTAAACGAAGATCAGCCACTTGAATGCGAAGAGCAGGAACATATGAGAGAATAAATATAGCTAGAACGTGTTTCCTAATATATATCTGTTTAATATATATCAAAAAAGAGAAATAAATTAATAAATAAATAAATATATACATACACACATGATGTATGTATGTATATGGGTGTGTGTGTTTACCGTAAGTTTAAGAATTGCAAATGAACAGTTTAATTTAATTTAAAAATTATGAGTAATGGCTAAAATCTTTTAAAAATTATTTCAACGATATATCAAAATCATCTGCAGATGCTACTAAAGTAAACATTTACAATGAAATTCTTTAATTACTTAAACAAATCTAAAATCATTGAAAATGTCTAGTTGTTATAAATTTTTAAGATAAAATTCCTGATATAAATGATGTTTATTTATATAATTATTTGGATTAATTGTAATTTTTTATCTTGATGTCTCTCAATAAATATATAAGATTGCGCACAAGCATTAAATCTATTTTTTTGCCGAGATGTATCTATCAAAAATAAAAATATTGAATACAATTAATTATAAGCTAATAGTAAAAAATATGTTAGATCTGCCACGTAAATCATTATCAATTATTTGCAAAAAAAGACGAATAATACAAATATTGTTTGTTTTTAAAAAACAAAAATAAAACGCGTACTTAGATCGTATATTGGAGTTGTTTATAGAAACCTAGCAGATAAAATAGTTAAGGATGTAAAGACTTGTGATTTTTTTAACTATATTTTCTTAACACTCGAAAAAGAAATATTAAAATTTTGAATACAATGTTTTATTGTGTCATAATCATATTTTAATGTAAAACACTATGTATATGAGTATTCAGTTATTTACAGGATTCGCTTGTTATATCGTTTATCATTTAGTAATTAGTTTTTATTCAGCTCAACAATGTTGCACACAAAATATAAATCGTAAAAATGTTATTATATATCAGAAGTTTCTTAAAATTATATATAATTATTATATATTAGAAGTTTCTAAAAATTTCGTTTAATTAAAAGAAAAAAAAAATTCAGAAATAGTGGAGTTTGTCTTTGTTATTGTTAAATTATTTCTCGATTTCAATATACATTAATTTAACATATATAGTGGTTACATGTAAAAATATTCTCTTCCTAATAATAACTTATGACTACTGAAGATAAATTTTTTATATGCATATACTACTTAAATGTAATAAATAGAAACTGATGACACATATAAGAACATACATACAATAATAAAGAGAAATATTTTTCATGTATTTAAATAATAAAATTTAAACAAAATACACTGGTGACATCCAAAATAATGGAAAATAATAACATATTTCAAATTTGTTTTAAAAATTGAATTTCAATACACATTCAAATTCACACTCCAATTATCATTCAAACAATTATTATACAAATAGGAGATAAGTCATGTTACAAAGCTTGATAGTTTCATCCCTTATTCTAATCTACTTTATATCTTACATTATTATTGAAATGTTTTCAATTTAGAGTAATATAATATTTATATTTGTTATTTTTAATATATATGAAGATAAAATGTGTGCTGTACTAGTCTAAAGATTTTCACAATTCCATTGGCTCGAATGCTGATAGGGCACTAGATGTTACATTATTTAAGTCGGGAGTAGTTTCATTGTTGTTGTTGTTGTTGTTGTTGTTGTTATTATTATTGTCATTTGATGTACTCGGGATTGGCGTTGAAATAGCTCTTGTTGACAGGATACGAAGATGTCTATTTGGTGGTTTCCATAGAACTAAAGCCATGGAAGGCCTCTCTCTGAAGGAGAAAAACTAGTCATATTGAGCTTTGGAAGAAGAATATGTAATACATTTATTACACACACACACACACACACACACACACACACACACATATATATACTTGTACACTTTCTTCCTTCCATTAAAGTATAGTGCATTGTATTTTGGTAATGTCAAACGATTAATGGCAATTTGTGCTTACAATTTAGATAGAAGGGTCGTTGGCAAAATAGGTTCTTCTTGCATTCGCTTGAGTTCCTCTGAAAGGACTAACCTCGGATGTACACCTGTCAGTTGTTCACCATTTATTGTATTTCTTCCGTCAACATCCAAATCCATATCCAGTTGTCTCGAAGAGGAAGATGGTGTAGAAGTCGATGGCACTGAGCTTTCGGCTTCATGAATCGAACTAATGCGCAAACTTTTGAAGTGTGCAGTCATTTTTTCTTCTGTTATAAACTGCTTACTTTGATGCCTGTTTAAGAATATGAAACTTGCGAAACAATGCGAAACTTTATCATGTAAAAAATTGCATTTGAAGCAATACACATTTTACAATACTTACATATCTATAGCATCCGGTGTTTCCAATTTTCTTTTCTGGTGAAGAATTGGCCCAGAACTGGTATCTCCAGTAAATCTAATCAATTCTTGTTGTTGTAAGGCTGGTACGCTCCATGGAATGGTTATCGGTGGTACCTGTGGCATTTGCATCCAAGATCCAACTTGTTGTTGCTGCGGATTTTGCTGGTTCATCATCTGTTGAAAGATGGACTGTGGCGTACATAAGTGTGCTCCACCCATGGTATTCTGAGAGACAGGACACACATACAAATAACAAAGACATTACACTTAGCGAGATAAAATTATTTCCAACATCAAAAAACGGTATAATATCTTTGTCTATTTAAATTCACCCAAGATAAGTCAAATCCACTTACTGTCATTTGGGATGTACTCGGTTGTACTCGAAGTACGTTCCAATTTGAATGAGGGTTTTGTGGATCCAGGATATTGAAAGATTATCTGGAGGAATCATATATATTAACGTGATATTTGCTTTTTTTTTAATTTGCAGGAGCTACGAAGTCGACAACGAGTAAGTAAATACTTTGCTTTAACTGACGGTAAATCATGTTAATAGGACGCTAACCTATATGTCGTTTGGGAGACTTTGGATGACGAATGGCCACGAATGAGCATCTCACGACGTAACTTTAACACTGAGATTGGACCTTACCTCGTTCAATCGGTGCCAGTTAACAGAAGAAGAAGAAGCGATGCAACTTCCCTGTCACGAAAAATCAATTTTCACCGCATTTATCGTTTTATAAGCGCAATTGTATCAATATTGCAAGGTACGACACAATCAATTTTTATTTTATTTTATCGCCGAGTCACTAATTTAGCATGCCCTGATTCTTCTTCGCAAAGCATACAGCAGAGTTTTACGAGTTTTTCTCCGCTGATTTGTTTTGTTTGTTCTTAGTATCGTCCCAGTACCGTTTGTGTATAAAGTTTGTATACAGCCTATGACAGTCCGGTACGAAATCTCTGTTTATGCTATTTTTAACTATTTCCCCCCCTCCCGCTACTCTTGCGCTACATTGCATGATCACCATGTTTAAACTTGAGATCATTGTGCGCATGATTATTCTGAAATAATGCGTTCGGAAATCCTACTCGAGGAAAATAACGTTTAATTGACCAATCGGGACAAAGAAATCTTTGATTAGGGAATCTATTATGTATCTCGAAAGGAGTGGAAATGTGAAAAATGAGCAAATTTACTAGAATATTTATAATTTCATTAGTCAACATCTAGTAAATTTGCTCACTTTTCACATTTTCACTCCTTTCGAGGTTACATAATAGACCCCCCGTACTATTTTGATTTTACCTCACAAGTAGGATTTCCGAACGCATTCTAAATTGAATATGCGCTAACGATATATTCATTCTACGCATGCGTTTCGTGCGTTCTATTTTAAAAAATTAAACTTCCCTCGCAAGTAGGTTGACATTTAAACTCTTTATTTTTGAAAAAATTAAACTAACTTTCCACTTTAAGTAATTCTAATTTTTGAGTTCCATAATTTTCAAAGGACATAATTAGCGATTGATATTTACGATGTTTTACTAAACGATTTGACAATTAAAAGTTTCCATATCTATAAATTTCGGAATGAATTAATATCGGTCACGTAAAACAACAACGGCAATTGCGTTAAATTTAAATTTATACATACATACATACATACATACATACATACATACATATATATATATATATATATATATATATATATATATATATCATTAATGTACTAATATAAAAAATATGGTTTTTAAATTCTCATTATTAAAAAAAATCTTCATTTTTTCCCCTTTTTATCCTTGTAATAATTATTAACATTTTTTTACATTATTGTATATATAAATATTTCATATGATTGTAACAAGGATTAATAATATTTATTATTGGACACAATAATATGTCGCGCATCAAACGATGCGCAGTAACAGCGAAGCGAATTGTGCCTATGTGTGTATATGTATATTGAGATTTTTCTCTGCCTATGGAAACGCGTCGATGCTAAAGTCCTGAAAAAAAGAAAAATCATTTTCGTTAATAACTTTGATTATCTCCAATGTTTGAATTTTAATGACTAATGATGAAAAAAAAACGTATAAGCTGATCAACGATACGTAGAAAAACACTTCAATTTATTATCGTAATAAACAGCGTATCTAATAATGATTACTTTATTTAATTCTTTTTACCTCATATCAATCAATAATAAAGATAGAAATCCACAATTATAAGAGAAGATCATGATAACAATATAATATTCAAATAATATGATTTTAAAATAATATCAAACGTAAGAAAATATTAAAGTATTTGCCATGTTATTAATTTTGTATGTTAAATTTAATTCAATGTATGGTAAATTTCATTTCTACATGTCATTTTAATCTTTTATAAAAATCTTCTGTAAAAGAACTTTTTTCACTTATATTTCTAATAATGTTAAAAATATTTTCGCGATGCATACGCACAATTTCAATAAATACTATATTATTAGATTATGAAATTATTAAGAATATTCTCTTATAAAGGAATTTAAAAAAAAATAAGTATATTGGAAAATTACATCTTTTATTAAAAAAAAAAATATATGTATTCATATTTCATCTTTTATGTATTCTCACGTGCAACAGAAAATTCAATTCTAATTTTCGTGTTTCAGCTAGAACGCTTGTCACGCGTTTGTTACAGAATTTCGTCAGCATTTTGTCACGCGAGTAGCTACGTAACTTTTATTATACACGTGAAGAACATAAAGATTGCATAACTTGTTGTCCTCCATTTTATCTTCAATATTTTATATTATATTTGATTTATTATTAACTCGTCTATAAAGTATATATTGATATATGTAATGTATTACACGGATATACATACATGCACACATGTAGATTAAGATTTGCAATTAACGTATAAAAATTTTAGAAAATCAAGAAAAGAGAATATTTGAATTAATTTTGCAAACGTTCGATTTTATGTGTGGGAATTAATTGAATTAAGAAGCGGAACGTGAGTACGTGTTGTTTCAATGAGGATCGAAATGTAAACATCGATCATTGTGATAAAAAAAAAATTCATACATCAGATTTACAATGTACACTTTTATTCATGCTAATCGTTATGTTAAAACATGTCTTGGAAAAGATCGATACGTGAAAGACGGAAAATCGTTCTCTTCGCGAGATACGTTAGTTCAAAACTTTGCGCAATATCGAATTATTCATAAATATTGCAATATCGTATTGTTCGCTGCTGAATGAAATGATTCTCGCGTCAGTTTTATCAGCCAAGATATACATTTCAGCAAGAATATGCAATAAATGCAATTTATTTTCTATTTTTTTGTGAATGATAATTTATTTTAAACAGACTAATGTTATTATTTATTTTAAACAGACAAATGTTATTATGCAATTCCCAAGTAAATTCCAAGTTTAATCATTTTGTCTTAAAATTTTTGTTTAATAATACTTATACTTTAATACATGTACATAAAAAAATATCAGATTTTCCACATATTTGAAAATATCAAGATCAAATTATAATTTTTAATTATAAGTGAGAAATAAAAATTTTATCATAAATTAAACTTTGAAATGATAGATAAAAAATGGATAAAATTGATGAAATTTTTATAAGCGATTGTTGCTAAGAGAATCAAAAAACACTTTAGTTTCAATGAACAATTTCAAGAATCTTAAGATTGGAAGTTGTAGTATTATATTGAAGAAAAATTCCTTGTGCATTCTGATTAATATCCAGCTGTCTTGATCTGTCTTCACATTGTGAAGATAGCTATCGCTATAAATACGTTACACGTAGTTTATAATATATATATATATGTATATATATAAGTACGTGATTAGCTATTGGAATATCCTACGTTATATAAAGAGGCGCAAACTTTTTTATGCTGCTTGAATACACAATTACCGAAGCATCGCGAATTTTGACTTGAAGTTCGGTAATTCCCTCCTGCAAACGAAAAAAAAATAAAATAAAATAAAATGATCACTATTTTGCTTTAAAATTACGTTGTTATATCAGATCTTTGTGTATTCTAACACTTATAGGCATACAACGCAACGCGACACATACAAGCGATTAATTCCGCCTGTCAGGGAGAACGACTCTTTTTCATAAATAATGTAACATTAGTTTGTTCCGCACCTTATTTTTTATCGAGAAAATAGAAGATTAATTTTTTTATGATAATATATCAAGACGTGTTTAGAGTTAACATTGACATTAAAAAAATTTAATATCAGTATAATAAACAAGGACTCGAGATAAGGATTTACCGGTAGCTTGTATTTTCCTCGCTTTATCTCTTGAAAGATTTCTCGATCGACGATTCAAATCTATCGTTTAATATTTCAATATCATTTAACAAGCCGGAAGATCTCTTTCGTCTTATCACTGTTATAAAGACAAGGAGAATAAACGTCATTGGCCATATAACATTGTCTCTTGGCGAGAGCACGTGAGAGAGGCAAATCGCTATACAATCACAAATGCGCGCCGGGAGGCCACACAGTCGGTTATTATGCCGCAGATATGGCTCTCGAAGGTAATTAATACTATTGTTATGATTCAGACAGATACGTCATGTCCGCGTACCTTGACTATGCGATTCTTCAGTCTTTGCTTGGAGCTCGTGATGGACACAGCAGTGCGGTCTTCTCTCAGCGTCTTCCAAAAAATTCACACATGTATCCACCGACATCTTGAACTGTCATTTTAAGAAAATCATTTATCAGACGGGACACATCATCTAACGTTCCAGATTGTACAATTTTGAATTGGAACGATAAATCATCTCAGTATTGATGGCAATTAAAAATTTATAATCTCGCGCGAGATTATGCATGCGATAATATCAACAGTAAATAAGAGTGAATACGATGTAACGTACCTTGACATACCTGCATATCTTGACTCGCTTAATGTCTTTCGAAAGTGAACCGACGAACAAAAGAGTAAGGCGTAAACATTCGGAGGGACAAATGTGACATATCTTTTGTTGTATATACAACTAGCTAAGCCGCTATTTAAAGGAAATTAGTCCAAGATGAGCGTTCTCGTCGATGGTGTCCAGCACGAGAAGACAAATATCGGGGGACATGCGAGATCAAACTCAAATACCTACGCGCTCAGCGACACGGGGGAAGATATGATGAGAGGCAGGTTTAATAAATCGACTCAGAGCGATATCTCGTGGAAGTTCAGCAGATCCAGACCGGCATCTCTCGCGTATATGTCGACGAAACAAATTCAGATGAGCGAGTCGAGTTTTTCCACGCATAGCTCGAGGAGTACACTATATCCGGTTCAGAGCGAATTGGTCTTATCGCCTAGAAACAGATACAATAACAACAACAACAACAATAGATACGTATCTCTAGATATGAGATCGGTCAATAGTCTTCCGTATTCAACCTCGAACAATCACATCTTGGGTAGTAATAATATGCCGTACACGTGTTGCTGTACGTGTCCACAAATCCCGCCGGTGACACCATCCTCGCATCAAAGCGATGAGCATGACGGACCCGAGGGTCTCTCGTGGAGGAGACTCCACATGAGCAGGGCTAAACTGAAAGCAACTGCAACCACATCCGAGCTTCTTAGCGGATTCGCAATGGTAAATATAGTTGAATATAATTATTATATGTAAAAAAATAACGACATCGAGATGTTTAATTTATTATTCGCCATTCTTCTGAGGTCTTCTTCGAGATCTATATATATGAGAAATAATTTAAATTCATATTACATCTTGCGCTGGATTAGGTAAAATTTACAAGCATTTAGTATGATATATATAAAGTATTAGTATGATAAACCATAAAAAATAATAATGCAGAGAGCACATGTGGCAAGACGACAAAGAGAATTTGCTTTAAATGTTTTATCAAGTCTGCCACGTATTAATAGAAAATTAAGTTTAATGGTATTTCAAATTTTTTTTACATAAAATATCAAAAATATAAAATTCTTTTTAGATTTTTTAAAATTTCTAAACAAAAATTAAAAGCGTTTTATATTTTGTTAAATTATGGCGATTAATAAATTAATTTTCTTCGTCTACGTATAACTTCAGATGTATAACTTCAGATTTAAAAATCGTACACATCTATTTTTATTAATTCATTATTAATTGCCAATTAATTGACAATTAAATACATTTAAAGTAAATTGCTGCTACAAGATAAAATTGTTGCGATTCGAGAAAGAAAAACATAGTAATGCTTTCTCCAATAAGACTTACGAACGAAGAATATGTTTAGTAAATTATGATTTCTCAAGGATCACTTAAATAGAATTGTTTGTCTGGAAATCAAACTCAGAACGGGCTGTGTATGATTACACAACGTTTCCTGAAAATGGTTAAATTGACGTTGACGACAATTCTATGTAATCTTCATGCACATCTGTAGTTATATAAGACAGATATCACTTTCTTTAATCTGCTTCACTTCTTGAGATACCTGTAAACATCTTGTACGACATCTATTGCTGATAAATGCATCGAATTTTTTGTGTATTTTAATTTCCTTTTTTTCTTCTGGTCCGATTTAGGTGGCGATGGTAGAACTGCAAATCAATGAGCCGACAGCGGTACCGGAATGGCTATTTGTCATGTTTGCAGTTTGCACTACCTTCCTGGTATCGGTACACATCTTCGCGTTGATGATAAGCACGTATCTCTTACCAAATATCGAAGCCATAAGTAAACTCCAAGTCTCGCGTCTTATAACGGAGTCACCGCACGAGAGAATGCGCGGTTTCATCGAATTGGCTTGGGCATTTTCCACGATACTGGGACTGTTTCTCTTTTTAGTAGAGGTGGCTATTCTCTGTTGGGTCAAGTTCTGGGACTATTCTTTTACCGCCGCCACTGCCAGCACTGTGATAATCATTCCTGTGCTTATAGTATTTGTCGCTTTTGCCGTTCATTTTTATCATTCTCTAGTAGTTTACAAATGCGAAAGTGTAGTATCGGATATGAAGGATCTAGAGAGTATAAAAAGAAATCTGGACAATGTGACGATGGGGCAAACTAACGTATAAATTTCCGAGATGTGACGTGACAATTTGTAATCAATATTTTAATCGATTATCCTGAATATGAAAGGAGATACCTTAAACTTGAAAGATGACGAAAGTAAAAATTATATCATATAATTCATAGTGGAATACAAATCGATTTTCAAGCGCAAATGAATACTCGGGCTAATAATGGGAAATATTATCCGATGCAAAAAAACCAAGATATTTTTAGCGCGAGAATGTGACGTAAGAAAAAACACAAATACAAATTTATTATCAATAACTTTTACTTTTCAAACGCGACCATATACGAAAATGGTCAAGTTTTATTATATATAAAAAATGTACATAGCTGTACACATGCAAGTCAAGAATTGCAACAGTACAAGCAAGTGCTTTTTTTTAGTATGTTACCTCACTATAATATATCCAGCATTTAATAATATTCTGTGTATATACGATTTAACTCTTGATTTTTTATTTAAACCTGTTCCTTGATCATTTTGTTTCTATCATATGTCATGTTAATATATAGTATTTTTTTAAATCTCATCACTTAGTTTGTGGAAAAAATGAATTACAGTTGTGAGTATTCATTTTATATACACTTCCTGAAATTTACATAATGAGCATTTTTAGTACTTGTACAATTCTAGTCAATAAATAAATCATCAGACTTGAGAGATATATAACAAAATGTGTGATTTGTTACATATACTGAAACAAAAATAAAGGTATACATAATTAATGCTTTCATTCTTACCAGAAACTAAGTAAGTTGCAATATTACTATAAACACTTTCTATAGTATTATGTCTTAACTTCTTTTGTACAAAAACATTTATCGTTTGGAGGAGTCTCGTTGTGAAAACGAATCGACAAGTAGAATTATTTTAGTATAACTAAAGTGTTACGATTCTGTTGTGGTATAAATTATAAATTGTATTACGCTAATCTACATTTAAAAACTTGAACGTTTTCTTAAAGATACACTCTACATCGTACTAAAAAAATTCATTGCATTCGATTAATTTGCTTAATGAGTAAAATCTCTTCATAAGGGCATGACATAAGCAAATGTTACTAAGTCTGCACCTTCTCTGTCAAAGTTATTCGTATGTACATTGGAAGAAAAAATTTAAACATACGTTACAGAAATATAAACATTATATCATAATGTACGTAATTTGTTCAAAAAAGATCATATCAACAAATTGAGAATTAAAAAACAATTAAGCGTTCGTTAAAAAATATAATAAAGTATGTATAAAATAAATCATTTTATAAACGAGGCTTTAAGTTTTTTAATCAAATAACAAAAATAATTAAAATATATTTTATTACTTGTTATGTGTGTGTATATGTATGTACGTACGTATGTGTGTATGTACACACACACACATACATACATTGTATATATGGTAAGTGATTATATATAATAAAATGTAAAAAATAATTTATTTCATATATATATATATATATATATATATATATATATATATATATATATATATAAGATAACGATGAAAAATAAATTGCTTGTGCTATGGACAGGTAGTAAATAAAAAATGATGAAAATTAAAAACACACTACAAAATTAACGAGATATTGTTCAACAATATCAGAAATCTTTTCTTTATAAGATATAATTTAAATAAAACTTGAATTTTTTTAGTAGAGATTTCTCTATATTATCATATGAGCAAACAGATTTAAATTTGTTTGAATTATTCTTACTAATATATTTCTTTATCGCAGATACCTCAGACTTTTCTGAGGAAAAGTCTTTTCAAAAATTTAATGATATAATTTTTATCTAGAGAACATATAAATTGTAAACTATCTTTTTGATGTGTGTGTGTGTGTGTGTGTGTGTGTGTGCAATTTCATGTTTTTATATTATCGTATTTAGCAAATTATTAATCTATTTTATGTATGTATATATATATGTATGTATATAAAGTGTGTATGTGTGTATGCCTATATTAATTTGCTAAATACCATGAGATATAAAAATGAAATTCGGATCATTATTAAATATCTAATTAATTTGTGACTACGAATATTTTACAACTTATTTTAAAGCAAGGGACAATATGATAGAGCATATATTATTCTATCTTTCTTAGACGATGTAATATTATTATATTAGAATATATTATGTTATTTAATTTAATCTAAGATACTATAAATTGATCCAAGAGAAAGGTAGAATGGAAAAAAATTATTTATCTTTGAGAGAAATTACTTAATAAATTGGCTTTCATACATATTATCTTCAGTCTTGTCCTTAAATAAACATATAAAGTCTTTTCGATAGCCTATCCATAGCAAGAGCTCGTTTAGAAAGCCATTTTGTTTAAACAAATTTTTCTGTAATTATCTTTAACAATGCATAGTTTCATATTTTATTCTACTTACATGTTGAGAATGACAATGAATTAATCTCCTTCGAAGTAAAAGTAGCTTGATCAACAAACAAGCAGCAAAACAAAACATAGTATCGAAAAGCGTGCTATTGATTACTGCAAATCGCAAATTCGTGCCCAAGTTTATAAAAATTATGTAATAAATATTATACATAATTATTTTTAGCATTATTACTTTGTTTAATCAATCTTTAAACCAACTTTAAACCAAGTCACAACCTACACGCACATGTGTGTATCGGATTCTCATCCATTTCAAATAGTTTATAAATTATTCTATTCATAGCACTATACATATTTGCAAGTAATTTGATACTGATTGAGTGTAGTAAATAAAAAAAAGATATTTTGCAATAAATTTTATAATCATTTGTGAACTGAATTTTATAAGAGTTATTTATAGCTGTTTTAATATTTTCTGTTTGAAAGTAAATAATCTCGAAAATCTATCAATTGTTATAATGATAGTAAAAGTGAAAGACCATTTTTCATTTGTAAAATCAATCACATGAGTTATTACATAGTTTTTAACTATTATGTAATAGTTTGAAATGACAATTATTGATTGCATTATCTATTATATGCACAATATCTATCCATATACTCAACATCAAGTTAAGACACAGAAAGAATGCCAATAATATATGTGTCATTTGGCATTCCAGAAATATTCTGAGAGGATTCTTCGACCTCTATTATTTCGGTAAAAAGTTGCTTGCACTGCTAACATTATACTCATTGTGACATTATATTACATTTATAAATTATTTATGCAGTATATGTATTTTTACACTAGATAAGACTGCAAATAATTGCATTGACCCTTAAATCTGAACTGTCTCCCGTATTGACTTTAAAAAGAAGAATGTAAACGTGTATTGCGCGCGCACGCGCGCATGTATGTATGTATAGAAAAAATTACTTACATTAAATGACATTGATGAAAATAAGGATGTGAAATTATGTGGTAATGAATTTCACGCAAGAATTTTGCCTCCAATACAGCGCAATATACAGAAAGTCGTGACTCTTGTCAAACGTCCATATGTTTAGAAGGTTGTTGAGATATGAATGGTTCACTCCACATCCGACGTAAATCCCCCTGAAAGAAAAGATACACATGAAGTATAAACATACAAGTTTTATATATCTTGCTTATGTTTTGTGCAATTTAACTTTTAAAAAATCTGGTTTATAACACAATTTCGTTATGTAATTTTTTTATGTAAATTTATCAATATAAAATGTATTCCAGATCATGTTTTATTTTCTTGATAAATTTGGAATCGATTTTTTCTTAGAAGTAAGGATAATCTTTTTTCTACAAGTGTCTCATATTTTAACATGAATTTTTTAACATTAATTGAATAAATACACTTACATGCTTTTGTCATAAATTTATTAACGTTTGTCATAAATTTATTAACGTACTTTGTTTTTAAAAGAATCTCACTTTCAATTGTTTATAAATTGAAAATTAATTTTTTCGATATTTTTATAAAAAAAAATTTATTCCAATGATTGTCTTGAGAGAATACATAAAAGTAAAAGATGATTTGTTAAATTTAAAACACATCTTAATCACTATAGAACACATGTAAACAAAGAAATAAAAAAAGCGATACCTTCAAATATGCCATTGTGAGCAATGGTAACAAAGTGAAGGGCACAAGGTACAATAAGGCAGGCTGCGCAGCTTTGAACACCTCAGAGCTTACAGTGGCGGTAAGTAGACCAAGAAAATAACCAATCAAAGAGCAATGAAAGTAACTAATCCGGCTGAAGTGGCGCGGCGGTGGTACTCCAGTTTCACAGCCACCAGGCAATAACTGAGTCTTCTTGTATGCATCGTATCGCAAGACAAAACAGAGTAAAAGGCCCGGCATAACAACGTCGCCGAGACCTAACATCGAAAAGTGTCCAGCTTGATGCATCGACGGAAAAACAAGTTTTCCGGGTAAAGGTAGTTTTGGCGCGGCTCTCGCCACGCCGCCCAAATGTAATCTTCTAGCCACGAGACTTACTGGATTATCCGCAGGCCTAGTTGCCACCTGTTAATAATAAAATATAGTTTATAGTCGTGTGATATTATTTGATAATCTTTATGCATATTAGCTCTATATACAAGGACAGATATTAAATAGATACATTGTGCAATTGAATTTATTCTTATTTTACAATGTATCATTGTAAAAAAAATATTGCGCGCAGAGAATAGCATTATGAATTTTATGCAAAAATAATACATACAAGATGTTTCTTGCGTGTATACTTATACGATACAAGATTTGCAAAACTTACCTTAACCATTACGTTTGTGCTGAATATGTAGGACGAAAAGAAAACCCAGAAGACATCGTAGATCAGCAGCCCGGTTAATAACAACGTGGATACCTTGAGACTAGGTAGTCGAACAAATGCGATAAATGCCACACACAGGCCCATACCCATCGCATCCATGAGCAGCCAGTGTCCAGTCAAGACCCAGATGCATACTATACTCACACTGAGTGAAAACGAGAGTAGTTCTGCGCCCGTAAATCTCCCACAAACACCAAAGGATATTTTATTACCATCGGAACATGGTCTAATGATGTACTGACACATGGGCAATAAAAGAAACGCCAGTGCAACTGTGGCTATAACTGTAAAGGAACAACAATATAGCAAATATTTCATGTTAAATTGCGCCGTTATCATGGCACGATCTTATAATAGAACTGATTCCAAATTGAAAATTTGCTACTGAAAACTTACTGGCTGTACAAATTGCGAGAAGCATCTGCATACTGTCGAAAAAGAAGAACATGACGAGTAGAGAAATGGAAGCACCGAGAGGTAGACAGAGAGCATGCATCGTATCTAGAGTTTGAACTCTTCCGCCGTTAGCGCCGTCCGCATTGCCGGCGTTGCTGTTACTTGTAATTCCAGTCAATAGGTTGCTACGTTCCTTCTCCTTTTCTCTTTCTCTCGCCTCTTGCTCCATGTTGAGAGATCGGAAACTACCGTAGACTATCAGTAGAATTGATATTAGAAAAGTGGATATCCTAGATGAATCCATTATGGAATAAGCCCTGCAATGACAATGACCGACAGGTTGAACAAACGTTGCGAAAAAGGAAAAGACGCCGATGTAAACAAATATACACCAACCATTGGTAGTCGACTTGGTACGTGGCCATGTTTAAGAATGCTGGCCCTGCAGCACTCGGCGCTATGCAAAGACACCTCCAGACATTTAGATGTCTTTCGTCAAAGTGCTTTTCATTCGCACTAACCTATATCAGAGATCATCTGCTACTAGAAAAGAAGAGAAAAAAAGTAATAATTACGTAGAATGTTAATTTGGAGATTATACGCATGGTTATCAGCTGTGTGATGAAAAATGACAGAAGAATGATTGCGCGAAACATACCTAGCAGTGTTCTTCGAACTCGGCATTATTGGCAAATGGAATTAGGCCTGTGGAAGCTTCGGGTCACCCTCTTGATGCGATGCGATACAAGGAAACAGAAAGAGAGGATCCTATGATGAGTTTACAGTGTTGACAGTATTGTGGCTGGGAGACGAAGCTCGGCGCGCGACGAAACGATCGAATGACATGATGATTTTTTATGGAGATTTCATCTCGCATAAAATAGTCTACGAATACCGTTGTAGAGCTGTCATAAGATTGCAATGGGATCGCACGCGATCAACAGGAGGCGATCGTCGTACCGTGACCGTCGTGTCGGGTCGTGGCATCTCCCGCGATCGCATCCAAAATATGTTGGCTGGAAACGGTAGCGATCGCGATATCAGCGTCCACCGTGAGAACTTTCGGTCGCGCGAGGCGAGGAGGACGACGCGCGCGAGGTGGACGTCGAAAGAAACGGGGACGAGGCGCGAAACGTCGACTCGTCCGGGATGCGATGCGACGGAATGGGACGAGTTGGAACGGGACGGGACGGGACGGGACGAGACGGGATGGGACGCGATACGAGACGAGACGACGCGACGCGACGCGACGCGACGCTGGAGGATCGAAATCGGGACGCGTCGAAACGAGATGCGCACTGACATGTACACGCTAGAAACAGCTGATCTCGGGGCTATTTACACATTCGAGCGTCGTGCGGCCGTTTCTGCGCGACAGACGGAATCGCGTAGAGTCGCCCGTAACGCACGGACGTTCACCATTTTGGTAAACACACGGGTCACGTGACCTTGCTGGCCCCGAGAGATCGCTGCTCCCTTACCCTCGTAGATCGTACGCGAGATTTTCCTCGCGATTCGCACGCTCTCACCTGGGGGATCCGAAGTCTGAGGCCCTTATGCGAGACGTCGCATCACCTCATGAGGCTTCCCGAAACGAATCGTCCTGCGAACGAGAGACGCGGAGCCGTCCGCACGACACGACGACGACGATGACAACGACGACGAAGACGTCGACAACGACGACGACGACGGCGACGACGAATGTTGAATATTCTATCGGTGCACGAGAGAGCGGTCCACCATAATACGTACAGTACGTGTACAGTACGTACTACAATGAGAACTATTGTACGGGGGTTAACTGCTGCTTGACAGGCGCAGATGTGCCGCAAGCGCGTCTATTAGTCGTTCGAAAAATGCCTCGCCTACTTTTACGGTTGCACGACGGAAATAAATTTCTTCGATGTAAAGAGATGAAAACGTTTCCTTTGCCTAGAACGTAATCTAGAATTATACTCTTGCATTTTTCAGATTACTCTTGCTATTTTTTTCAGATTACTTAGTTTAAGTATACTATCAGGAATTTAGATATTTGTGAAAAAAACATTTACATACATTATTATACATTTTTGCATATAAGATCCTGAATATTTAAGTAAAATGAGTTAATGCAAGCAATATTTTATAATTTTGCAAGATTACAATATGATGCAATTTTTAAAGGATGCTACATAATACATGACTCAAATTACACATTATAGTTTGTATTATGTCTTCTAAATAAGTTTTATATAAAGTGCAAATGTATAAAAATATAATAAGAAATCTTTTTCAAAAGCATAAGACTATAAATGTTTCAAATTTTTTTAAGTCTATTTTATAAATCTATCAAATAAATTTTTAGATGGATAATGCACATAAAAACAATTGTCATATGTATGGTATATTGCTACTTTTTCCTTCGTAGTGAATGAATGGTTGATTTTTGCGTACATACGCATCTATATATTTTGCATACTCAATGTAGTATAAGCTCTTACCGATTGGTTGATTTTTGCACTAAATCGAGTATGGCGCTATATTCAAAGAGAAGTTCAAGATTTTTCTTGATTTTTTAATCACTCGCCAAATTATCTCTATTTTCATTTTAATTTTTCTACAAAATATTTTTCTATGTCCAAAGCAGCCGTTAGTATCTTTATGAATGCTTAATGATAAATTTATGCATATTTATGTGAAGAAATCTAATGAAAAAAAAAAACAAAAAACTATAAAAACACTAATCTAACAGTTGCTATAATACATACGTGGTTCAGTATCAGTTTGTATTTATTACACTCAAGGATTTATAAAATCATAGTTGTATCTATAATTTACCATTGTTGTATCTATTAATATTTCATATGTATATATGTGTACATCACTGGTGTGTCCAGCTAGAACAAGTCTTCTTCTTCTTTAATTTATTTAGTCAAAAATTAATAGATATATCCATATTATGACTTTTCCTACAGGAAAATAAAAAAGTAATTGAGTTAATTTCAATAAATTAACTAAAATCACATTGACTAATTAAATTATAATACAGAAATTAGATTAAATTTCCTTAAAGAGTATAAAAATCAAAATGATATAAATTAAAAAGAAGATAAAATTACCAAATAAAAGAGTGAGACTTATGAACCATAAGTAATGTTTTGATGACATTTCGGGCAGATTATTTTCACATGTTGTTGTCCATTTGTATATATTGAAATTGTTACTTCCATTGAGGATTTATTTTCAGGAGGCACATCTCGAATTAATGTAACATTAGTTTTACAATTGGGACATATCATATCGACTTGCGGAGTATCCATTCTTGACGACTTTTTCTCTCTCGTACGAGCAACTTGCGAGAGTGGAATATCTTATATCGCTGACAATGGTAGCAAACTTCTTCTGTTAAAACAAGTAATAATCGGTCCATGGTCCTGGAAAGAAACAAAACAGAAAAAATATAAGACGATCAAAGAACAAGTGCGTAAGGCTAGTATTACATTTGTCGTACGACAAATTTTTTAAGCACATTGATTGGTTGCGGGATAATAATTTTTTGAATCTTCAAAAATTTTCTATTCTGCAGCCAATCAGTGTGCTTAAAAAATTTGTCGTACGACAAATGTAATAGCCTAGCGCGGTATTGTCAAAGTGAAGGGGAGGCTCATGGCGAAGGAATCTGCATTATCCGGCATCGGTATTTCGCGTATACCATAAGAGCGGAATCGGTATCGGTGTTGCTAGATGATATCGCGTGTCGCGTCAGTCGCCTGTTTCGATTTTACATCATCGTGCGTGCGTAGACAGGTAGACAGGTGTATACAAGGACTGATAGCGGCTCTCGGAAGGCGGCTCTCGTCGCTCTCGCGGCCCCAGATCAGCAGCAGCGGTCATCAGCAGCGATCAGCGGCGCACGGCGTGAAGGGAAGATTCCCCTTCCACGAGGAACAATCAAAATGGTGGTTTCGTACAACGCGGGTGATGTGGTGCTGTAGACAGACCTCGGCTCGCATCGTCGTGATCGTTTGAGAGAGACGCGAAAGACGTGAGCGTTAATACGCGAAGCCGGATAACGCAACATGGGGGACCCGAAGAGCCAGCACGGCGGGCAGGAGATGAAAGGCTGGCTTTTCAAGTGGACCAACTACTTGAAAGGTTATCAACGGAGATGGTTCGTCCTGTCAAACGGGCTTCTGTCGTATTACAGGTAGTTTCCTACGTGTCATCGGATCTACCTCTACCTACCCACCTATCGCTGTATCTACCGCCCTTATATTAAATTCTTCAACTTGCGCGACCGTGTCTATGCGTCTCTAGACACGCTCGTTGTAACGTTTTATACGATCGATCTTGACGAGATCGCATGCCACGGCTTGGGTCTGCGTTTCTTATTTCCAACGACAGTCAACGTCAGCCCCCAGCCACGTGGAGAAAAGAAATCTAGAGACACGTCAAAATGCAATATGGAGCTGTTCTCTATTCGCGTTTAGGTTATGTGTGTGACAGTACTCTTTTTTTTTTTTTTCCCCCTGATTGCTCCCGGTCAAAAATAGCCTGGCAACAGCTGATCGAATATGTATTTATTTAGGAAAACGCGTACGCGGTATCGCCGAACGATAAGTGATGCCGCGTTTTATCTGCAGACAAAGTACCTTGTTAATTATTTATCAGAAGGATTAAAATTGAAATTGTTGCGTCATAAACAAAGAAATGACTGTAAAATTTTAGCACGGTTTCTTGCTTCTTCTCGCTATGTTAACGTGTTCAATTTGATGAAAAAAAAGGGGGAACAGCTCCCTATTATTCGTTTCTGAAAGTCGATCGTTGCGTTTTTTCGCGCCCTTTAAATTATAATCTTCCAAAGAGTTTGCGATAAGATGCATCGTAGCGAAAACATTAGAATGACAACTTGGATACGCATGTACGTATTCGGCTTTGCGATTCTCACTTCCAAATGCAAGCTAATTTTACGGGTCGATTTATTTAAGAAATATCGAATCTATTACTGTCCACTTGAATATCACTTGGCAATATTCATCTTCAATTTTAACTTGTTTGTAACGTATTAAAATACGCGTATCGTCGCGAATATACTTTCTGGAAAACAGCAAGTATCGTGACGATTACATAAAAGCGTGACAAAACTTCTTTCAGACGATATCGATGCAACATTTGCGTGAGTCGTCGCAAAATCAGTAGTAGAAAGTCAGTAGTAGGAATTTTTGAATTTATAATATTATTGTTTCGATCGTAGTCGATGTTATTTCAAGTCAAAAAATTGCGTAAATCTTAAGAGTTATTTATAATTGTTGAAATTAACAAACGTCATTTACACTTGCGTCATAAGCATTGTTTCGCATTATTGCGCCTTTGAAAGAATGCAGTTGAAAAAATAAATACTATTCTATTGTGCAGATGTTCGCATTTGACGATACATTTCGTTTATCCCAGATTGAAGAATTAATTATCTACATAGTTTCCTTACTTTTTTCATTAACTTGCGAGATTTCTCTTTAAAGAAATTCTCATTCAAATCGTTTAAGCTTCGTTATCTGGTTTGCAACATAGATTCGCAGCTTCTACAATTTTCGTCAGTTTTGTTCTGGCAATTTTGTTGCAAGATTAATAGCGGAACGAGATATTTGATTACGAGACGAGCGCACAAATAATGTAAGGATGCACGATCGTGTTATCCTTATTATTGTAGAGCAAAGCGCGTTTTCCGACGATTATTAGCACCGGCTTCCTGGGTTTTTTTTTCGTTTAACATTCCGCTTGGCACAGTTTGTATGATTTATGAGTTTGCAATGCCCTTTCCCGAAAATTGTTCTGGAATGTATTACGAGTTCTCTTGTTGTACGAATTAATTCTCGATTCTGTCGTAAGGCTTCTCGCACGGCAACACAGCGTGCACGCAAAATCACGCAGCTCGTATACAAAACTCGAGCGAACTTTATCACCCTCGATATTACCGATTTCTTTTTTTTTTCGACTTCTAATGCAAATTCGAGGAGCGATAAAAAGCAAAAACGCTACGCTTCGTCTAGAAAGAAAAAAAAACAGAAATAAAATTTCAAGTAATAAGCTTTGCAATATTATACAATATGAACGGGGTCTATTTATTTTATGGATTGTTTAGGGCCGAACCGACAGGGGGGCCAAAGATATCAACGCGACGCAAGCGGAGGACTGGCAGAGCCTCCGAGTAAGTAAAAAAAAAAAAAAAGAGAGAAAAAGATAACGATGTATACGAAATCGCCGAAATATCCCGACTTTTCCCTTAGCAAAATCTGTGATTAAAACCGGCTGAGGACGTTGAAGTCTCCAATTTTCATTTTTGTTTTATTCAATTATTCGTTATACGCAACACCCACCCACACATATACACGTATACCCCATTACATTTAGCTCTACATGTTTACATGTAGTTTTTAGCTTGTCCTTAATCACCTAGCTTTCTTTATTCTATTTAACATGCCATACATTTATGTGTAATCTGGACATTAAATGCCACCCTCTCATGTGCTAAATATGCTAAACGTACACTTGTATTCTCTCGTATGCCTTTCTTTCAGTTTTTCTCTCTATCTGTTTCTCCGTGAGGTGTATGTATGGTGTCTGTATGTGTACGTATCATAATGCAGCCACGTGCAATGAAACGTGCCGCTTCTTTATGTTATGTCTGGTGCCGTTTATTCCGATTGAATCTGTCTTGTTACATTTGTTCACGTAGTGATCTTTGAGCAGTACATAACGATCGTTATCGAGCTGATAACGAAAATATATAACTAATAAAATCTATAGATTAGTTTTACTTCTTTTTCGAGTGAACTCTCGAAAGTTGTATCAGCTGACAAAATTATCCGCAGACTAAATCTTTCCTTCCTGATGAACTGACAATGAGTGATGAAAGATTCAGTAATCTCTGCTAGACAATTTATTTCTTTCTTCTCGTCATCTCTCATCAATATATTTCTCTCCAGCATACTTCTCTCTTTCTCCCAATCCTTGTATTCGCCTAAATTATTTTACATAATATGTATTTTGAGATAACTCATTTAATATATGAAATTTATTATAATATAGTAAAGTACCGATTTTCGCCAATTATCTGGCGTATCCGAAAGTATTATCCGAAGTAGATCGACAAACTTTGGCAACGGATTCTATTTATCTTAAGTATAGGAAAAAGATTGTGTAAATATCAGATCCGCATTCTTTCCGAGCTATAAATGACTTGCATCTGCCGTGGAGTAAGAATCCCCAAGAGATTTATACTTTTGAACCGAATTTTGCTCTGTTTTTAAAGAAATTGTTGAAAATATTTTTTTTCCTACAATATATATATATATATATATATATATATATATATATATATATTGTAGGAAAAAAAATATTTTCAACAATTTCTTTAAAAACAGAGCAAAATTCGGTTGTAAATCTCATCGTATACATGTAACAATAAATCTCTAAAAGTAAATTTCTTTTCATTAATTTACATTTCAAGCTTTAAAATTGTGCTCTCAGTTTTATATATATATATATATATATATATATATATATATATATAAAACTGAGAGCATAATTTTAAAGCTTGAAATGTAAATTAATGAAAAGAAATTTACTTTTAGAGATTTATTGTTACATGTATACGATGAGATTTACACTTTTAATTTTACTAGACACGTTGTTTGCAAGATTCCGTCGTCGATAAAAATAATTATAATTTAAAAGAAAGAGTATTTTAAGATTTATAATTATCCTTTGTTTTCATTCTCAAGGTTGAAAAATTTGACGATCTACTTCAAAGACACCTTTTGTACAATTGTTTCAATTGTATTAGCATGACTTGTTCCTTTTTCTCACGCAGAATCGTGATTGTTGGCTGTTTGATTAACCCGACTGACCTCACGTGCATGATCCGATTGAGAGCTCCTACTCCGTTCTTTAAAGTGTTGTTTCGTACGACGGAATAACTCCTGAATTGTTGAATTATTCCAACGAAAGATGTTTATTTACGTAGACGTGGACACAGGAGCCGGATCGTTGCGGGACGGTAATGGGATCGCTTTTAACGAGTGTATTCTCGGCGATTACGCTAATAAACTCATATCTTTTAATTTGCCCTACCGCCCTTTCGCTCGACTCCTCCTCTCCCCCTTTTCCCGGCGAGTCAGTTACGGTGTCACAGATTAACGCAGACAATCAGTTGTTACGTTGACAAGTGTCAATTTTTGGGTGACAGAAGTCGCTCCTTCACCAAAAGGAAGCCAAAAGAAATCGAGTCTACGATTGCAAACTCATGTCTGTCTTTCTCTGTGTCATTCGGCAATTGCGAGGCGATTCCAAAGGAATGTGAGTACTCGAGACTGTCTCCATTTTTCCTATTTTTAGAAACCCTGCGGAGATGTCCCACACCTGCCGCGGCACGATTTCCTTACACGGGGCCTTAATACATACAGTGGACGCCTGTACTTTTGTCGTCAGCAACGGTGGCACGCAAACCTTTCACATCAAGGCATCGACCGAGGTGGAGCGACAGCAATGGGTTACGGCGCTCGAATTGGCAAAAGCCAAAGCGATTCAAGCAATGGAATCTGGTTTGTACTTGATTATTATTTGTACATCGTTTAACACATTGATCTTTCCTCTCTGCATTCTCTCCTCTTCATAAGGAATATTCTCTACAATGTCGATGCGACACAGTGTCTACGCATTTAACTAGTGTATCGTCTATCTTGAGTGTCTACGCATACAACTAGTGTATCGTCTATCTTTTTCATCTATTTTATCCAACTTTGGTATTTTATGCGAAATTTCTTTTAGAAGAAGAGGAGGAGGAATATCAAGATAACGACAATCAAAACGTAGAAACTGCGTCTGTGATTAAGGATTTAACGCGACGATTGGACGATCTGCAAGCATGCAACGATTTAATATCCAAGCAGGGAGCTGCGCTTCAACGAGCTTTATCCGACTTGGAAATGTTAGAGCCTCCGTCCCCCGATTTGGCGGCAAAATTCAAGACCGTCAGCGAGCGAGCTACGCTTTTTCGGATTGCGGCAAATGCTATGATTAGTGTAAGTTTTAGTACTCTTATAAATTTAAATCACATGAATATGATTAATTTAATAAATATCTAAGTATATATCAAGGAAAACAAGGTGTTTGCAAAACGTTACCATGTCAAATATCGTGAATTTTTAAAAATCTAGCAAAAGAGAAAAAAATAGCACCAATAAACGTATTGTTAAAACCGTTTGAATTTTACAATTTAAGAATCCACTTTATATTCTTTGAATTTTTGTTTCCCTATTTACAAGATATTAATTGTGGTTATAATTGCAATAATTTTTAATTTATTACATGTCCAATGTATACAATTTTTAATAAATTCTCATATAGGTTTAAGATGCACATTCAGACTATAATATCTTTGGAAAAATATAGAACATGTCGTTTTCACATGTAATTGAACAGTACAGATAGAGTACGGTACAGATTCAAATTTGACAAGCAAATTTTAAAAGTCTTTTGCATTAGAATCCAATAGATGACTGTTCTAATATTTTTACTTGCTAAATAAATTCCTTTCAGAATTTATAAAATATTTTTGAATATTTTGTAAATTTTATTAGAGATAAGAGTAATGAGATATACAGAGTACAAGAGTACTAAACAAATGACTCAATCTTAAAATAGTGTAAGGAAAAGAGGAAAGGTCGAGATTTCTCGAGTTATTTAGTAATTCGTTTCTTGTATGATTAATGCGTTCAAAGATTAAGTAGAAATGCAATTATAAAATTCCCTCAATACAGAATTTAATTTTATAATTAGACTCAAATCTAATCCTTAAATCTTATTCATAAGATTGTCCTTGGGAATGGCAGTTCTATCGATATAATCTAATCTATCAATGTAATAATGAGAGTTTCGGTAAAAGTTGATTGTTATATACATTGTTGCAGACGAGCAACGATTACTTGCAACTAGCCCAGCAACAAGAGCCTAAATGGAAAAAGATGCTACAGCATGAGCGAGACCAGAAGGTGCGGATAGAGAAGATGGTTGAACAACTAGCTAGGCAACATTCTCATTTGGAGGAAGCTGCACAACATGCGATTCCTTCAGTAACACTTGCAGGAGGACACCGGCCTTCACGTAAATAAATAAATAATCTTACAGTTGCATTTTTTGTTTCGTAGTACGCTCATTCGCATATCATATTTTTCGATTTTCTTAATACTTAACTAAGTATCATGTCTTATCAAGTGATAAGTTATACTCTAAAAAACGTACAACAAAACTTTCAATTTATTGAAATTTTATTTATTAATATTAATGCGGTATAAATTTCAAGTCAGTAATACACAAAAATATCTTTCGTCATTACACACACGCACACACACACACAAATTACTTATTAAATATTTCGGCAATTTTAAATTAATATTTTTCCAAAATAAAATACGCCTGAAATTCCCTGGATAATTTTTGAATTTTAAATTTTATATTTAGCACAAAATTCACATTATCCATTGGTGATGTAAAGTTCGTGATTTATAAAATATGGTGGAAAAAGATTAAGTATTTCAAATTTTGGCGCCTTTATTTATTTGCTCGTACGTGCGCTAGATGGCTTCGGGGAGGTACACATTGATGCAACACGTTATCGCGTGACTTACGTCGTCATCCGTGGTGTACTACGTACTCACGATCGCACATTGCAGCATATATATATATATATATATATATATATATATATATATATATATACATATAGCAAAAAATATATATAATTCGCGCATAGGCCGCGCGCGTACTCGTATATATGTCTTCGTACATTACGGACAGTGTTTTTGGGCTTCCTTCGAATTTGACGCTTACTCGGGCGATCTTTGGTACTATTTGACGCGGGTTTTCTTCGAAACTCGATTTCCGGAATTCAGAGCCACCCCCCCGAGTCTAACTGAAGAAAGACAGAATCGGGCCAAATTGTCAAAACAATCGGACGAGTCTAAAAGTGGTGTGTTTTCCTTATTTATATTTCATTCAACGACTCGCAACCTCGTCAAGTGTTTGCAAAAGTGGCAGAATTTGCATTGTTCTCGTCAAAATTGGTCTCGTCATTCATAAACGTGCACAATCATACAACAGGATGTATCGGACTATGTCCCATACATGTCTATTCGCTTCTCTCTCTGTCTCTCTCTTTCTGTCCTTCTCCCTCTCTCTCTGTCTGTCCTTTTCTCTCCTTCTCCTTTTAGTAGTCTTTATCTATGCCATGATACGCTTTCTGTATTTGAAACGAATGTAATTGCAAACGTGTATATGTACTTGCAATTACATTTATTTACATATATCTGAAAAAGAGAGAGACAGAAAAGCTGCAAGAAAGTACATCAAAGTGCAGTTAAAAAGAATAGATCTAATGTGTGTGTATAAAGTAGCTTTTTATAATTCACGATCGCGATTCTTTCATTAATTTTAATCAATTAAATATCGCAAATTTTGTAGAATTTTGCAGACGCAGGGTACACAATTAATTTGGTTGAAATGAAAAAGAAAACAATAGTAAAATGAGGGCAGACGAGAGAAATCGGACTTTGAACGAAATTAATTTGAAACAACGGCATACATAATCTTATGGCTCGCGGGATATCGTATCGATTCTTCATTAATGATACAATCTCGATTGAAGAAAGTACGATAAACGCAAACGACTACGTATACGCGTATCATGCTATTCCTCATTTCTCAATCTTATCGATATCGTCACGTCGTGCGATACAGATCATCGTATTTGTTTCTTATCTTAATCTTTATCTAAACTTTCGAACCGATAAAGAATCATGTTTTCGTTCTTTGTTCATGTTCAGTCTTCCGCTTCCGTCTCCCTCGATTCGAATCTCCACGTAATACGTTCCGTGTGTGACAAATGGACAAATTTTGACTTTGCAGATCCCGCAACTACGACATCACCGTCGGAAGATGAGGAAGATAATGCTGAATTTTATGATGCGCAAGAATCAGATACTTTCACTCTAAGCATACCCGGAGTGGCCACGAGCAATTCCATTTCCCACACGAGAGATCGCACCGATTCCCAAGGTAGTGACGATGGCTCCAGTTCAGAAGGGGATCCGACACCTTTGCCTGTTTCCGATTCCACTGGTGCAGAGTCGTTTCTCATTGTGACCGATTCTACAGCAGCACAGACTCCTTCACCCGTCGCGACCACAGACGACCTGGACAATGTAAATGAATTTTATTTTTTTAAATTTAAACTATTTGCAGAATAAGATGTAAATATGTTTTTTTGGTTTCCTTTTCGATATTATATAGACTTGGCAAGCCAACAATGGCGGTAGCGGCACCAGGGTGACCACAGTTTCCAAAAGGAAGCGAAGGATTAAGGTACCTGATAAACCAAATTATCCCTTGAATCTATGGAGTATCATGAAAAACTGTATTGGCAAGGATTTGTCAAAAATTCCTATGCCAGTTAATTTCTCCGAACCACTTAGTATGCTTCAACGGCTGACAGAAGACTATGAATATGCAGACATTCTGGATAGGTATAATATCTATATTATATTTTTATGTTTTTAACAAAAAAAAATATATGACAAGTATTTACACAAGACAAAATGTTATTTTAAATAGGGCTGCGGAATGTACAGATAGCTATGAACAGATGGCTTATGTAGCTGCGTTCACTATATCTAGTTATTCTACAACTGCTACCAGAACGGGAAAGCCTTTCAATCCTCTTTTGGGTGAAACTTACGAGTGTGATCGTACAGATGATCTTGGATGGCGCGCAATTTCGGAACAAGTATCTCATCATCCGCCTATGCTAGCACAGTATTGCGAAGGAAAGAAGTGGCGGTGTTGGCAAGAGTTTACAATGGCCTCCAAGTTTCGTGGAAAATATCTCCAGGTACAATATTTTATTTATTTATTGCAGAATATTAGCGCTGTACTTATCTTTTCTAAAATTTTAAGGAATAATATCTTTTGAAAAGTACAAGGTATTTTTTCAAATCTCCATGAACAAAATCTACATGGACAAAAGAATAAGAAAATGGACGAAATATATTTTATAAATGTGTAATTGATTATTTATTATTAAATAATATATTAATATAGCATTATACACAAACCAATTTATAAAATTATAAATATATTTGTTAATGTATGCGATTGATGTAGGTTTTGATTAATATGATAAAATTTATAAATTTATTGATTTTTTATAATAATGTGGAAGATTAAATTTGCAAGACGTTTTGTACATTTATAGATATGAGCATGATATCATCTCAATGTACTATTAGCTACATAAAACAAAAGAAACAATAGTGTGTGATTAGTTTTTGAAAAGTGCATATAATAGATTTAAGAATACATCAATTACATATCTGCACGGCAATTACTCTATGATTGCGCAATTATTGTGTCTTTTAAATGTAGCCATTGAGATAATTGATTTTTGCAATCAGGTAATTCCTTTGGGTACTGCTCATTTGGAATTTGACATTGGACAACAGCACTATACATGGCGTAAAGTTACTACTACGGTACATAATATTATAGTTGGAAAATTGTGGGTCGATCAGAGTGGTGATATGGATATCGTAAATCATAAGGAAGGTATCAAGTGCCATTTGAAATATATACCTTACTCGTATTTTTCGCGAGATAGTCAGCGTAAGGTGAAAGGAGTAGTAATGAATTCTAATAAGGAAGTCAAATGGGTAGTACAGGGTACATGGGATGCGAAAATAGAAATTGCTCCAGTAATCAGCACGTCTGGTACACCTGATAATCCAGTCTATAAGACTGGCCCCTACATATTGGCGTGGAAACGACGTATGCCTACGTAAGTATACAACTCCAATACTTATATAAAAATTCGGAGAAAATATCACTTTTTCCATTTTTTTTAGCCTTTCTTTTGATATATACAGGGTCTACCAAAAGTGTGGAAACCCCTAAATATCTCGGAAAATATACGTTTTACAGAAAAGTGTTTCCAACAAAAGTTGTAGGGTTTAAGAAGATCTATATACTGATTCTATCAGTTTGACCTTGGATGGCGTCGTCAAGGTCAGGTCAAGGTCACATTGACTTTTTTAAATGACACCCCCTACATTTGATTGCATATTCTTATAGCTTAATTCAAGAGCTTTCCAAAACACTATAATAATGTTCATTTTTATTAAGTACTTTGCGAGTTATGAGGGTTGAAATAATTTCTTAATTTTACATAAACCATAAAATATCTAGTAAACCATTCATTTTTCGATTATCTTACCTTCGTACTTTTATGTACAAAATAATGAAAGGAATCAATTGGTGTAAAGAAAACATACAGTTGTTTTTAAGAAAAAATATGGAATTGTTAATTGCAAATTACATATTTTTTCTTAGAAACAACTATGTGTTTTCTTTACACCAATTGATTCCTCTCATTAATTTGTACATAAAAGTATGAGGGTAAGATAATCGAAAAATGAATGGTTTACTAGATATTTTATGGTTTATGTAAAATTAAGAAATTATTTCAACCCTCATAACTCGCAAAGTACTTAATAAAAATGAACATTATTATAGTGTTTTGGAAAGCTCTTGAATTAAGCTATAAGAATATGCAATCAAATGTAGGGGGTGTCATTTAAAAAAGTCAATGTGACCTTGACCTGACCTTGACGACGCCATCCAAGGTCAAACTGATAGAATCAGTATATAGATCTTCTTAAACCCTACAACTTTTGTTGGAAACACTTTTCTGTAAAACGTATATTTTCCGAGATATTTAGGGGTTTCCACACTTTTGGTAGACCCTGTATATATCATTTTATTTAAATATAGTGATTCAATACCTTCTACTATAATTTTAATCATAAATAGAAAATAGTTTGTCATATAATGTAACAAAAATTATTCCAAATGTAGAATTATTTTCATAATGCAAAATACATAAAATATTTATTTCGAAAAAGATCAATTGAAAAGAAAACTATATTTATCACAGTAACATTTTTAATGCATGAGACAGATATTTTAATGTTTTAATTTTATTTTACAGTGATGACTGTGAAAAGTATTATTCATTCACCGAATTAGCGTGTCAATTGAATGAACCAGAAGAGGGCATAGCTCCGACAGATTCTCGATTGAGGCCCGATCAGCGATTAATGGAAAATGGACGGTGGGACGAAGCTAATGCTGAAAAATTGCGTTTAGAAGAAAAACAAAGAGCGTGCAGACGAGCACGCGAGCATGATGCCGAAAAGGCTGCCGCACAAGGTAAATTTATACATTAATATATATATAAAATCAGATTGCAAAAACACTAAAAATTTTTGCTCACTTGAAACTATTTCTTCTTCCGCAGGTTTACCTTATGAGGCATATGAACCATTGTGGTTCACGAAGAAACAGGATCCGTATACAGATAGTCGTTGTTACGTTTACAACGGCGAATATTGGGATTGTAAGAGTAAAGGTGATTGGTCACGATGTCCAAACATATTTTAGTTCATTATATAAATTATATATTCGATTATGATTATGAGACTCGTCACACATGTATATGCAGTGCAAACAGGTTTTGGATTACTCACAAGTGACGATAGTCGAGATTATAGTATAAGTCGCGACCGCTTGTGGTGAAAAAACTTGAATGCTTATAAAATAATGTTGACGTGATAATGGGATTGTTATAGGATATGGTGTAGCGAGTTTAATTCTTCCGAAATTGCTGGCACTTTGATATGTATAATATGCAGTTTGCGTATATGCATGTCACGTCATCTTTGTTATTTTTGATTCTCTTCCTCTGCAGCATTTTGTTTTTTTCTTTTCAAATACAATTAGGCGCATTTAATGCAGTGCTTATTCAATATACATTCGTATATTATTTTTTGTTGAAAGATTTTGTAAAATTAATGTAAATAAGTACTTTCAAATTTTTTAATATGATTACAAATGCATATTTAAATTTTGCTGTACGAATTGAAGAATCGATGCTGAAGCGAGAATCGATAAAACTAAGCCAATATTTTACTACATCAGCCTAAAACTGAGATAGCAATATTACGATCGTAGAGAGAGCTCGTAAAGAAGTACTATCACCTTAATCGGGAGGAGGGGATAATAATCAAGCTCAATGTTTCACTTTTATAATATATCCAGTATTTTCAATTTATTTTTAGACGAATACAAATTTAATTTTCTAGAAACTAATCCTTAAGTTTTATCAAAATTAGTTGTTAGTCCACTATATGTAGATGAAAATTTTGTGTATTTCATCATTGATCCATTGCTAAAAGTATTTGCAAATGCAATATGCAGATTTGCACAGCGAGAAATAAAACTGAGTTGTATTCGATATACATTGATATAAATCGAGATGCAATAATATTTTTGTTTCTCACACAGCTCGTTTTTATGAAGATAAACAGAAGATAGACATTTAGAAGTATCAAAAAATTCCAATTTATAATTTTAATATATATTAGAATATGTTTAGTAATCGTGTCGTAATATTTCTCTGCATTCTTGTGCAGTATGTATCTGAAATATTCGAAATGAAAATATAAAAATATCGGCAGTATTGTCTAAATTGAGAATGAATATAGATATTGTACATTAAGAGATTTATTCAATGATTTCGGATACACAAGTGCAACGATAATCTGATCGCTCTGTATTTTATGTAATATAAATCGACAACCATGATGCTTCCAAGTTTGGCCAGTGTTGTTATTGCGAAAACCACGCCATTATGCATTATACATGCTCACGCAAACTTTGAGCCCGTTAGATAGAAAGGATACTTTATTGAGCTAAAATGCGGTGCGGTATCATTATGGAAGTAGAATGATAAAGACCGGAAATACTTGAAATGCGAATCGCGAAGGCTCCTAAGTGCTGCTCCGCCTGATCAAGTGAATCTAAATCGGGCCCCGAGCTTAATTTCCGATTGCTTCTTTTTGAAAATTATAACATAGAAATACTCACACGTCTACAAGCAAGCGTGAATGATTTATAGCGAATGATTTGCGTTTGCATCTATATGTATGTATGTATGTATGTATGTATATGTATGCATGAAGTATGTATGCTGTTTGTCAATACACGCATACACACACGGTTAATTGATGAAACTTATTGTATATCCCCCTTGTGAGCGCATAGGCTGCTTCATTCGCGACGTTATCAGGTGTATAGTTGTATCCAGCCGTGTGCACGAATAATATATCTCGACGATAAGTCGAGCGGAATGGCTAGCTTACAGCCAATGTCTATAACGATTATTACACTAAGTCCTCTCTGGCTGTATTATAATTTTAATAGTTTATATAATATAATTGAGATGATTATATATATACAAACATCTGTATACATATAAATACAAATTAAATATAAAAATAAATAATTTAACAAGATGCGACGAGTGAGCCGAAAAGCTAAACTTTTTGGATCGTTAGTGCTTGTATGTACATACATTAGCTGTGACTCGTGTGAAAAGAGGCAAAAATATAAGCTTCGCTATGAAGAAACACTCATTTTGTAGCACACATTCGGGCGATCGCTTTTAATAGTCTCTTTTAATAATTTATCCATTATCGTCGATCGCAAAAGGCCGTAATTGTATCATAAGAGACCTTGTTCTTTCGAATAAATTATATTGAATCAAAGATAAAAGCTACATATAGACGCGATCTGAATTTAGCGATTAAGAGATTGTAGAATATTTTTACTAAAGATCTCTCTTATTCAAGGTTTCTAACGTCGTTCGCATCCGTTAACAGCGTCAATTTTTCTTCGTTTTTTTTTTCTGGGAATTATTTTTACCGGCGTTTACAAAAGACTTGAAATGCTCGTTGCTTTCTCGAGCAATTTAAAAAAAAATCAAAAAAATTGGATTTCGAGGAGAGGGAAAATTACGAGCCGTCGAATATTCTCGTCGTTTGGTTTTTCCCGGTTCGCGTTCCGCGCGTTCCTCGTTTTCGTCATTTGAAGAAGGAGCGGTCGAAAAGCGGAGACGAGAAAAACGACGACGACGCGGTACGTACGGTATCGGAGAAATTTATATTCGCGCAAAGAGAGAGCCGAGAGGTGCTCGTTCGCGAAACGTCAACGAGAAAGAGAGAGAGAGAGAGAGAGAGGCACGTCCAGAGCAGAATCCTGGCACGTTCGAATCGGTTCGGCGGGTTCTGCGCGCGCGCGCGACGGGACGGATGGCGGCAATGACGTCACGGGCGTAGTAATACACATGGCGAGCGGAGTTGATCCGCGGAGCTGCTGCGCGAGAGACAGGGAACTGCTTTCGATTGTTAGCGGGCGCCGCCATCTTGGTCAGTGAGCTTGCGAGTGGCTGTACGTCTCGAGGAGCGCGGTGCTTCGTGTGCGTATTTCGGGCGGTCGTGCCGACCAGGTATCTTTGGTGCGCGCGTTTTTTTCCCGACGAGCCTTCCTCGATATCATCGTACCTGTGAAATCCGCGTACATCCGAGATGTCGGAACGGGAGGACAACGTTTACAAGGCGAAACTGGCCGAGCAAGCGGAACGCTACGACGGTGAGTAGATATTTTTCCGGCCGGGACGGTACGCCACGGCATGGCCGATCCTCCGGCGATTTACAATCCCGACACCCCCTTCTCGCTCTCCGTCGTCGATTCCCTGCTGGACGTGGACCTCGCGCGGTCGCCAGGCTACGACGAGCCGCGACGAGGCCCACGTCCTGGCGTCCGTCGTCCTCCGAGAGACGAATTAACCTTTAACGCGCCGACATGTCGGCGTTAGTAACTGTCAAAATCGCGTCCGGCGATCACGCCGGATTCGAAACGCCGATCGTTACGGGGTAACCGGCGACGTTTCTTTGTGGCGGCGCCGGACGCGATATCGACTCGTGTCATTCGCGACGGTCGATCCGGCGAGGCCCGCCCGCCCGTACGTCCGTCCATCCGTCTATCCATCCATCCATCCATCCATCCATCCATCCATCCGTCCGTCCGTCCGTCCTCCCGCCCGTCCGCTCGCTCGCTCGTTCGCTCGCCCGCCCGATCGTCCGATCGTCCGATCCTCCGCTCGCTGGCTCGTTTGCCGGAGTTGGTGACCGTAAATCTCGCAAATCTCGAGATTCCGAGCGAGCGAGGAGGCGTCGATCGGCGTACGATGGGCGCGCGTTGCTAGGCGTGCTCTCGGCCAGCTCGATCCTCGTTCCTCCTCGCCTCGGTAGATAAGCGATGGGCGAGCGAGCGAGCGAGCGAGCGTCTTCGTCGTGACGGCATAGAAGACACGCACGACGCGCAACGCGACGCGACACGGCGAGGCACTTTCGTTAATCGCCGACGGCTCATTGCTGCGAGCAGCGGGCGAGCGGGCGCGTAGTGACTCGCGTGTTCCGCTCGTGGTATCTGGCCTTGAATGCGCGCGGAGAAATCACCGACCGGGTACGACCGACCGAGAAACGGAGACAACGGCCAATGTTCTCTTCTCCTCCTCCTTCTCCCTCTTCCCTTTATCCTTCCTCGCTCCTCTTCCTCTTTTAGGCTTCCTCCCGAACCGAAAGATTTACGAGATCAGGTAGGTCCGTGATCTGCGCGAGGCTTACGGTCCTGCTGCTTTTGGTCTCGCACAATGAGAGTAGATATGTTTCTTTTTTTCACGACGAAAGAGAGAGAGAGATGAAATCATCTCTGCAGGATTTTACGGATTTTAGAGCTTTGGATATTCATCGATCCCTCTCGCTTGTCTCGTCTCATGGGATCCTCCAGATATTCGTAAAGTCCAATTTACAATAAATTATTACAGACTCGGCATCCTTCTCCCGAATACTTGCTTTCCGGGCAACGATCCGACTGATCTCTATACATTTTCAATATATCGATGCCAAGACGCTCCTCTTGTCATCGAGGTAAAACTTTGACGATAAGAGCACATACGATTAGCGATCTTGCTCCTGGCGAAAGCAACGCGTGTACGCACGAGTGGGAAGAGGGAGGGGAGACAATCGAGCGGATCAAGAGGGAAGGGGGTCGCGGGGTGGCGTAACGTTGCGGGGGAAGAGGGGGAGGCGGTCAAATTTCTCCTTCCTCCGCTGCGCGTTTCGGTGCGCGCTTCTTTCTCGCGGGATTCTAAAGCACCGGCTAAATTTCATTGTCCTAGCCATTTCTTTTTCTCCCTCTCCACCCTTTTCGTACGTGGGAATGCCATGTGACTTACATTTGATGAAATGCGAAATGGCGAAATTACCGGCGTGATGAACCATAAGGGGTTGGGTAAAGAGGTAATGTTGATGAAAATTTGAGTAAAGGTGAAAAAAAGAATAACAAATGCGTTGGAAATATCTTGTAGCAAGATGATAAAAAATTACAAGGGTAAATTTACATCGAAATAATACATACGTGACATTTTATAGTTTTTTTTTTTGCGCGCAACTCTGTATAACGAGATATTTCGAGAATGACTCGGGGCGATGCTAATTAACAAATCTTTGTTTCTTTCGTAGGGCCACTCCAATTATGCCGAATCTCATTTTTCGTCTTTCTTTCAGAATCACTCCAATTAACCTTATCTTCAATTAACTAAATGTCAGGTTTATGATCCCGCAATTGGTCCAAATTGTATTTTAATATAGATTGCACCTATAATAAAATATTGCTACATTTTTCTCAAAATGTTTCTCGAGAAATAAAACATTTGAGATCTCAATATTGAATGTAATTATTGAAAACTTTCAAGTTTTAAATCAATAAATCAATTTGCCTCGTCATCCGGTGTTTTCCGCATGTTTTCAATGATTTTTTTTCTTGCGTTTCACAAGTCGTTATTATATCTCTTCAAAGCGTGAAAAATGCGCCTGGAGGAGAGGCAATTATCAAAGGTGATAATATGTATTGATTGTCGTGTGTGTTGATCAACTTTAAATATCGACAGCCCATTGCCCTTTTCATATCTCATATTATCTATAATATCTATATTTAAAATATCTATATCTGAGCAATACATAGTAGATTCGAAAATTTTGTCTATTGGTTAAGCAGATTTGACGACATAATCGATTTTGATAAGAAAATCAAAGTAGAAGCGACGTATAATGATGTGACTCTTCCAGGAGGACAAGGAGCGACAGTCAAATTTGAGGATACCTAGAGAAAGAGAAAAAGAAGGAAAACATGGAGGGAAATAAATGGATAGATAGAGAGGAAGGGTGGGGGAGGGGGTAGTCGTAGAACGGGCGGAGAGTGAGCAAAAGGGGTGAGAGAAGGTGACGAGAGCAGGAGGTAGAGGTGGAGGAGGAGGAGGAGGAAGAGGATGGGGAGAGGGATGGTTAGCAGAAGGAAAGTATTGATCTGGCCGCTATCCCACGTTGCTGCACACCTCGACTATGTATGTGTATAACGTGTGTTCATTGTAACGCCCTCTTCTCCTCATGAACTTGAAGTCACCACCGATACTTTGGTGCGTGCGACGCATTGATCCACATTATCGATCTACGCGTCCTTTCCGTTATTACGCCGTTATTATAGGTCTCCAGGTTTCACAGCTTCCTACATTCTTCTTCCTTTTCTTTTCTCTCTTTGAAAGCGCAGAGTACACTTGTGCCATTTTTAGCGCGCAAAATGCAAACGAGCTGGCCGAGTTAATCGAGAATGCGAAAAAGTTTCTTTCGAAAATTCAACTTTATAATATTTTTTTAAATGAAAACACTTTGAACAACTTTGATACCAAATTGGACAAACTGCGCCGATATTTTCCGATTCTTTAAGCTGAAGCTTTTTACAAGAAGACTTGACATCTTTTGCAATACTCGAAAAATGGAGATGTAGCATTCTATTTGATGTGCCTTTCTTATTTTTGTACTGAATTTTATTATTTGATTTGGCACATTTGATATTTTTTTTCTTCTTACCTGGAGATTCAACAATTAATTTTCTTCTGTAATCTTTTAATTTTAATTTTAGAATATTATGCATAACATTAGTATAAAGTCATTTCTCCATTAAACATGTAAATTTCCATTAAGAGATTAGTCAGTTGAACTTTTATGGAAAGCTTACGTACAAAAATCACAAAGAGACATTCCGTAAAAACATCTGGAGGCCAAAAGATCGGCGCCTTTCTCGGCAAATATCGCTCCAATATGCCGATAAATACGTATTAGTGACTTCCGTGCAAAGTTCAAGGGGCAGCGGATTAATATATACGATATATATATATGCGTTCATCCCTTTTACTCCAAAGGTACTTGGCGTTATCGTTTCATCCGCGATGGGCACGTAACATTTTATAGGCCAAACGTTCATATGCCATTTAAACCAACAAAAGTTCACGAGCGATACAAAGTTTATTTAACAATAATTTACGACAAATCTTTTGACAATCTGTACTTTGCAAGCCAATTGCAAAAAAGATTGCAAATGTAGAATATAGAAATATGGTGTTTAATTAACTAATTATCATCTGTTTTATAATTAATAGAAAATTTACAAAACTTTTCTTTTCATGCTACATGATAAAATTACTAATTACATTTCTTTTATAAAAATATTTTTGTTTTGTTTTTAAATAGAAAGAAATTATTATTTATGTTATAAGCCATTTTTTTATTATAAATCTTGTTATTTATATTGATTTTTGTATTTATAGTAATTTATAATTTTTTTTACAACAATTTTTATTTATATATTATACATTTTTTCTACATCTTTTATGTAACTTTTGTAACGTTTCATTTCCATTAATTTGTTTTTGTCGAAATTTACAGAGATGGTTGAAGCAATGAAGAAGGTGGCTTCGTTGGACGTGGAGCTTACTGTCGAGGAAAGGAACCTTCTCTCAGTGGCATACAAAAATGTCATTGGAGCAAGGAGAGCCTCCTGGAGAATAATCTCAAGTATCGAACAGAAAGAAGAGAACAAGGGAGCCGAGGGAAAACTAGAAATGATTCGTCAATACCGATCTCAAGTAGAAAAGGAGCTCAGGGATATTTGCGCCGACATTCTTGGCGTTTTGGATAAGCATTTGATACCGTGTGCCTCCACGGGAGAATCCAAAGTCTTCTATTATAAAATGTATAAGAATCTTTTTTACTATACATTTTCTATATAATTGCTTATTTTTTTTTTCTTACTAATTAATTGATTTATTGACGATTAATTTATACATGTAAATATAAATGTATGTATAGCCTTTGTATGTATGAGCTTTCCAGGCCAAAAAACGATTTAAATCACTTGTTAATACAATGATCCATATAGTTTTACTTTTATATTTATTGTTGAAGATAAATCTATCGTAAATGAATAATGAACGTTAATTGATTTTTTCATTACTTCTCTTTTATTTTTATTTAACAAAATTGTATAGAATATTTTTTTTATTAAATTACTGCATTGTATCGTGTTGCCATACAATATATGAACTATATTAATCTTGTAATTTACATTTTCAGGAAGGGCGATTACCATCGTTATTTGGCAGAATTCGCTATCGGTAATGATAGGAAGGAAGCGGCGGAGAACTCTCTAGTGGCATACAAAGCGGCGAGCGATATCGCCATGACGGAATTGCCGCCGACCCATCCCATTCGTTTGGGATTAGCGCTCAACTTTTCCGTGTTCTATTATGAGATTCTTAATAGTCCTGATAGAGCGTGCCGTTTAGCAAAGGCGGCCTTCGACGACGCGATCGCCGAATTGGATACATTGTCCGAGGAAAGCTACAAAGATTCCACCCTTATAATGCAGCTCCTCAGGGACAACCTCACTCTATGGACATCGGATATGCAAGGCGACGGTTAGTAGTGTCCCACTTACTTACGAGGGCGAAAATCGCTATAAGGATGTTTTGATTACGCTAGAATGCGTTGCACGATATATCTCGTCCGCCCGATCGATACGCAAATACCGTACATTATAATACAAGATCTTATCTTAAATATTCTAATTTAATGCGTCTTTTTATTATTGAGATAAATTTGATGACTGAATCTTTAGTCAAAAACTAGAAATGTGCACGATTTGAAAGTGTCGAAAGAAAGAGACTCTTCAGGCTTCGGATTTAATGATCGAACATCAAATTAGCATCTTGTGGTTCCCGATCATTCAAGAGCGTGATTAACTATCGTTAACTATTGTTAAATTTATTGAGAATTATATATTCTTTAAAAGTTTATAAAATACGTGACAAAATAATGATCTATAGATACAAATCTTTTGATACAACTTGTGTACAAGATCCTATATAAGCAACTAATTATAATATAGAAAAGTGTTTCTTACGTTTTAAAATTAGTAATCTTTTGAAAGAATATTATAAATATTATGGTGCTCTCTTTATTTCGTAAACTTTTATTTTTATTTCTTCATTTCTATATTTATTTCTGTATTTTAATTAATTTAATTAATTAGATTAAATTTAATAATAAGATATTTAAGATTTTATTTTAAACTTTTTTCGATATATATAAAAAATCAAATGCTGCATGCAATTTCCGAACGCAGAATCATTATTTTGTAATTCAGAATCCGAGCCTGATCAGCAAGGCGATAGTGCTGTCGATACCCACGATGCCTGAACGTAAATACACCCTTTTCCTAACATCCCCGAAGCCCGTCTATTCGGTGAGCGACACGATATATACACAATCGTTACCGCGTTAAAATGAATAGAAAAAAAAAATAAAAGAAGCAAGTCACAAATTAATTTATTTAAAACTAGTTCCTCCAATTATTTTATTATTTATTTATTATTAAATTTGATTAAACATTTGCCTTTAGTTGCATTAATTATAATAATGTAATGTATCCACATTTGTTATGCAGGTGAAGCCGAACAAAAGGAGCAACTGCAAGATGTGGAAGATCAGGATGTATCGTAACTCTAGCTGTAGTGAGTGTTATCTTACGCATATAAAACTGAGACACAAGAAAAAACTCTTAATAACTCGTAAGCAAAAGAAAAATAAACCAATTCAGCAGATGGCAGTTCGGGGTGGGAAGGGGAGAGAGATCATTAGAAATTTGCGTGACCTTTAAAAGTACGCGCCGTTATTTTAAAACAGAGCGGCAGCAGTGACAACAACATAGCGATAACAAAATTAATTAATAATCATTTGATTGCATTATTACGTACACATATAATACATGATTGAATTTCGGAGCACGCAGAAACAAAAGGACACGCACTCTGCGATAAATAGAGACTGCAAAGCATTTAGAAAGGAGAGGCACTTTTTAAGTTGCCCCGTTTTTGCGTATCGAGAGGAAAAGTTGTCGTATATTTGCATTTTGCATGCCATCCGTTTAAAATTGACGACGCCGACGACTTAGACGCCGTTTCTGTTAGTCTCAGGCTGTTCGGATTACACCAATTTCATCTGGGATTGAATTTTGTCTCAGTGAGTGAAACGAATTATGTGTATCGTACATACTTTACAATAGCGGAAAAAAAAGAAAGCACGATCGTTGATCTACCGAGACACATTTGTGTGTTGATCTGTCCTTACTCTGATCTAATCTCCGCCACACACACAACTCTTTTCCTTTCTCTCCTTTCCAAATCTTCTCCTTTTTCCGTCCCGCTACTCTGAACCTTGCTTTTTTTTATAGCGCGCACGATTGTCTCGTGTATACTACAATTGCTACGATGTTAACGTATGCGTGTAAATCGATTTATTTAGAGATAAACATACGCTCATATTTTTCTTTCTCTCTCTTTACGGAAATAACGGCGGCGTCCTCACATTGCCAATTGTTAAGACGGACCTCGCTTTCGAGCTTGTAACTCTGTGTAATAAGATATGTACTTCTGATAAAAGATCCGAGTGTAATATTATAGATGAGATAGTTGAGAAAGAAAAACATAAAATTTATGGATTTTTGGCATAGCCGAGCTGAGAAGACGAGAATATGCTTACTTCGGTTGCCCCTCCTCTTCCCTCCCCCACCCCTCCCCGTCTGTATCTCGTCAAATGCAATAATATCGTTCGGCTGATTGTGAGCTTTCGTAAAAAGATCGTCGCGAAGGGCTTAATAATGTGAATGAAAAAAAGCAAAAGTGTGTCGTCGAAATTCTTTCCGATTTCGTTGATCTTTACGCATCTTTCCGAAGCGAGCGTCTCATCGCGTCAGCTCGACAGCGTGCAGCGTCGTTGATTGAAAAAAAAAAAAAAATGAAAGAGAAAAAGAAAGAAGGGAAAAAAAAATGAAAAGATTACGTTAGTGAGCCTTTTTAGCGTTATTACGTTACTCACAGCAAACAAGCAACTATCTAGCTAGTCTGTAATGTGGTTGTACGTTTTCATACGCCCGTTGTGTAAACTAAATATCGATTGCTGTGGTATAAGAACAGAATAAATGACTGTACCCCCGACTTTTTCCACCCGCGCACATACACATTCTTACGCTATGCATACATATGTATATATATATATGTATGTGTATATATATGTACGTGTATGTATATATACATGTGTATGTATATATATACACACAATATCTATGCATATGTATGTATATATACATTATACCTATATATACACACACACCTATACGTATGATGTATATATGTATCCACATCTTTTCCATCCGAATAATCGATTCGTGTTTATATAATTATCCATTCATCGACGAGTCATTCCATCAACTTTTACGTTGAGACATTCCATTGTTCTTCTTGTACTAAGGAATCATAGGTTTACAGTGAAAATACCCCTTTTCTTCAGATCGACGAGGTAAGCTTAGCTAGTTACTGACCATTTTACGCATTAAAATTTACCTACTTATTATAGAGCTAGAATTACCAAAATCCATTTTTAAGCTCGCTCAGTTTTTTCGCTAATAACGCGACGGGGAGGAGACGATGATACCGAAGGAGACGCCGAATAAGCAGCGAGGAAAAGCGAGGCGGTCAAACATCGAGAAAAGAAATACAATCCGGCGAGAGAAGAGCGGATCGCGAGGGATCCGCACGGAAGAAACAAAAAATTGGTGTCCATCGTGCCCCTGTATTTAGCTATTGTAACGATAAAGACGATAATCATGTTACACACACAAATGATACGTTATGAATACGAGGAATAATTCTCAAAGTAATATCAACCGGCTCTCGTAAAGTAAGTAAGTATATTTGCGAATGTAATATTATAAGAGCGTAATAAGTAGGGTAAAAGAGAAAAAGAAAAAAAACCAAGAAAAACGAAGAAGTAACAATCTTGACGCGAGAAATCATCCGAGCGACGGGGTAAGATCAACTCGAGTATATGATGATCGAGGAGATTAAATCGCGCGAAAAATTGTATGCAAGGTAAACAGAGCTCTAAATTAAGAACTGCGGAGCGAGGCGGAAGCCGTCGTAGGCTGTTGAAACAACACACGCGTATATACATATATATAAATATATTTCAATTACATTAGCATGTATCTGTGCTGCGGGCAAAAAGTGTTTTAAGAAATTTAGATACGTATAAAAATGCGTCAGGTGGCAACGAAATGGTGGTAGTAGCGATCTCTGGATGCCGATGAATTATCCGATCCGATTATTCGTTCATAGAGTGTTTACATTTTTTTTTTTTTAAATCAATTTTATTGCACATTCGTCGAAAGAGATTCTTGTTCAATCGGTTTATTGTGTGTGAGCGTTTAAAAATTAATTTAAAAAATGATTCTTCATATATACGTTTAAATTTGATTCAATTTAAGAAATTTAGATTTAGAGGAATTTAGATTTTTTATAAAATTAAATCTCGGTCGCACGTTCTTAGAACATAATCTAAGATCGCGCTATGAACGAATAATAGAGCAACGCGATTCATCATTGTTCGGAAGAACTAATTTTTGCGTTTCTGGATCCGCATGCGTTCTTACGCTCTGTATTACAATCGATGCGATTACACCGGATACAATCTTTTTTTCTGTAAAACCACACACGTGAAAGCTACAAATAAAGTAATTACGAATCTATGTTTCAGATCACAGTTTCATTAAGAGTGTCGATTTATATTTTTGGCCACACAGCTAGCGTCATAACAGAAATTATTCAGCTTTAAGCTTACAATTTTCAATTTATAATATATTAAATTTATATTACATAAGTGTAATACGTCTCTGTTTAATATTTTTTATCTCTAATTAATTTTAATTTTTTAATACATTTTATTTAAATTTTAGGTTTTCCGCTTCTTACTGCAACTATTGGATTATGACATCAGAAGTGAGAAATAATGTGGATTTTTTCTTTGCATTATACATCGAAATAAATATTTTTCTCGCATGTGTATCATTCGCGTTTAATAGTCTATTACATAGAATATATATCAAATTAAACAAAATATATATCGAGATTTTTTTTTCAATTGTCCGTTAGTAAATAAATGTACGATTCAACTTGTATAAATCTTGCATTTTCGGTAACAAAAATATATTTTGTTGTTGATCAAATGTATCAACATATGAATTGATGAAAAAGAGTTTGTGACATAAAATTTCATAAAAATCTATCCTATCCAATACGAACTATATGCAAAATAATTTACTTTGGTTTATTTCGATGTATGACGCAAGAAAAAGATTCACACACGATGCTTCGTTCTTCTGGTGTTATCCAATTCAATTTTAGCTACAGCAAAAGATGCAGGAGAGCTAATACGATTATTCAAGCGCGGATTGCGATTGGATAAGCGACTGAGATTGCATCTCTTTCGCAAAGTCGCGATCACGAAAGCTATTCGAGTTGGATATAAGTCTCCTCGGTCTGGCCAAATTTACTTGTCGCAGGATTCGTTCTAAATTACCTTCTGATCCGGTCAGAATGGGTGAAAGATTGATGTTCGACGCGATTCGATTTTTAACAATTCGGCCACTTCTGGGCGATTTTCCAGTCTGATCGCTAGGTTTACGTTTCGCAGACTTTAGTTTTACGTTGCGCAGCATTTCTAGGGACACAACTGGTCCTCTCGGACCTGGTACGGTATTTCGCCTGCTATCCTGAAATAAAATGAAAAAAGTTACATTTTTTGTGTACTTTTAGAATCGCGTTAAAGTAAAATTAACTCTTTTAATTTAAGTCGCGTTAACTTTTTATATGATAAATTTTTTTATTATATAATAAAATGTGTAATACTTTTTTTTTCGATTATGTTTAGTATTCAAAAACGACTTTAGATTTCATAACTTCTTTTAAAAACAAAAGATTACAATTTATGTTCATTTGATTTATTTTTATGCATTTACCGGTTTAACTGGTTTTCAACCTAATATTTTGAGAGAACTTAATTTAAATCTGACAATTCAAAAATTAAAAATTTCAAAGAATTTACAAGACACATTCGTCTAAAAAGATTAATCCGCAGAAATTATACGATTTTATTTATAATAGAAGTGTTTTGTTAAATCTTGTTAAAATTTTAACAATACTTTGATATTTTGTGGCGCCTTCTTTAATGTGACTTTTAATAAATCTTCGACTGTGATGGTGGGCCTGTTGAATAACGGCGTGGAGCATTTTCTAGGTGTCCTTCTCTTGTTACTTTTACTACTGTTGGGGGTTGTCGGAGATTGTATGATCCGTGGCTTCGAAGATTGTAAGGAAGTTAAAGGGAGAGGTGGAGGAGGAGGTGGAATCGATGGTGCCGATTCCGAGGTGTGCACTTTTGAAGAAGACGGCGACTGTGGAAGTATTAAGGAGGATGGCGGTGGCGGAGGAGGAAGAGGAGGAGGAGGAGGTGGAGGCAAACGAGAAGGAGAAAACGAAGAGGAACACGAAGAGAAGAGAACCGGTTGCAAGAATTTCGATCGAATTTCCTCTAGCGTTTCGCGCAACTTTTTTAGTTCCTGCATTAGCGTTACATTGTCCTCTGTCATCTTTCTACTGGCTTCGCGGACGATATTTATTTCAGTTGTGAGGGCCTTAAGGGTAGCTTCGGTGCTCGTTCGTACCTGCGATCAAAATCAAGAAAGTATATTATTAACATCAAAATAGATTATTTTTAGATTATCAATCTTCAGATTTATATTGAGATGTAAATACTTTGTGTGTCAATATATTAAATTGTATATTGATCGTGAATGCAAAACTATATTTAATCTTTTTCAAGGTTCAAAATGATTCTCACCTGGTCGAAATCTATCGAGAGTTGCGTCACTTTTTTCGATAATAATTGTAACGTCTTTTCGTTTTCAAAACGCAATGTCGCTATTAAATCGTTAAATTTTTCCGTTCGAGGACTCTTTGTTGACGAAGATGGAATAATCACCTCTCGCAGTTTCTTGTAACTCTGAAAAATAAAATTATCTAATATAAACAAATTCGTATATAATATTAGATAATATTATAAATAATAAATAATATATATTAAAATGTGATATATATATTTATTTAAAGTGAACAATTTTCATTCGTTGCGATATGATTCGACTTTAATCAGTTGCAAGAAATTTACACCATTTAGCGGACGCAGTTTTTTTTTCAACCAAATGCAGAGAGCAATCACCCATGTAATTAATGCGCAGCAGATGTTTTTTTGTTGAGATACGTGGGAGTCTTGCAGAGTCGCGCTGTTTTGTGACATCTGATGTTTATAAGCGTCATCCTGATGAGATTTTACCTTATTATTCACAAACAGAGCAAAGTTATTAGAGATGTAGTGAATAAATACAAAGAGAATATATTTAGAATAGAATATATTTCAAGATGTTAAATATATTCTCAAAGAGAATATATTTAACGTGTTCGAGATAAAGAAAAAAGAGAAATTAAACAGAAAAATATTTTTTGTTAAAATTGTGCTTTTGATATAAGCAATATTGCATATATTTTTTTAAACTCTAAAGATACACGAATAAAACATTACTTTTTGCAGGTAATTATTGCGATCGTCGTAATTAGCTGTAGCTAGATGAAATGTCGATTTCGGAGTGTTATCCCAGTATTTTTTATCGCACGAAAGTGAATCCAATAATGAGTGTTCTTCGCTTTTATTGAAAAGTGAATCTGTAATTTCCGTGCGAATCTCCGATTGCTTCTGCTTTTTCACTTCCCCTTCGTAATCGAACATCAACTTTGCGTTTCGGAAGCATTTCGTCGGCGATTCCCCCCAAGAATTTGCTTCCGATCGAGTCTTGAATTTCGAGTCTTGGATCTTCTCCGTTTTTTCTCCGTCCTTTGTGAATTTGTGCCCTACGTTGTCCGGCGATGACAAAGGCGTGCAACTTGAAGAAAACGTCGAAACTGAGGTATAAGGAAATATTTTATACAACAAGCACGCGCGTTCCGAGTTCTCGGCACAAATTTGCCTGCCTACTCGTTGCAAATACGTAAACCTCTTGCGAAACTCGCTCCAATTCGCGGTCAAACGTTCACCGATCTTCTCGAGTATCAAGTCGAATCTGTTATTGTCATTTGGAATTCCATTTCTTCCCTTCTTATCGTTTCGCGAACTATGGTCGTCATCTTCGATAGATGCGTCGACCGACAATCCAGCCAATTCGTCGGACGATAATCGCCCGACATCATCAGTGAATCCAGATCGTTTCTCGATCTCCTGAAAGATTGCGAAGCGTGCGGATTCTTCCTGTAATTTGCGAGTCATTTCCATGTTGGATTGATCGGCGATCGTTGATGACTGTCCCTCTAGATAATTATTCATCTCGCGAATCAAATTATCATTCATCGAAAACGTCTTGTCTAACGAGTAACAATTTTCCCTCGTTCCGGGTATATTTTCGCAATTTTCCCGTTGATTCGAATTTTTCTCCAGAGATCGTTTGTCATGTTTGTCGTAAAAATTCGCGGATCCCAGAACTGAGTCGTTGGACGACTGAGATTCCAAGTTGGAAGGAAATTTCGCCGATTGAGAGATTCCTTGGCGAGTCGTTTCTTCGAGAACCGCTAAAGATTGTCCACCATGCATTACGTTGATCGTTTCATTCGCATCGCTATTTAACACATTATTCAGGGAAGGTAAACTGCATAAATAAATTGAATCCGTCAAATCGAGCGGATCGTCCACGCAGTGTCGCGTATCACCTTTAGGATAGTACTTTTCCAAGTTGATGAAATCATCTCTAGATTCGATATTAAAATCGCACATTAGAAGATTCGAGTCATGATACTCCTCGGACGAGTTGGATCCTTCGATAGCATCCTCGATCGCGTCTTTCCCGATCTCCGTTTGCGATCTTATTTTAGATCGGTTGAGAATAATCTCAGGACTAAGTTTTTCGATACAGAGACATGAATCTGATTCGTATAGAACCGATTCCGGTGAATGTTGATTAGATGCACCGCTCGCTTTCTCCGCATTGTTGTTCTTCGAATCTTCGGAAGATCGCAAACGAATGTTTTCTCGAAATGACTCCTGAATCTCGTGAAACTTTTGCCTCGATCGTTTGTACAATCTACGCTTCATCATCGAGTTGTGAAATATTAATATTGGGATATCACTATATTACATATACACTGCACTGTATAATCTATTAAATAAGACTATAATTGTTGCAATTAACTATAAACATCTTATTGCACATTCTTCGTTAAAGTTGCATGAATTAGGTAGACTTCAAAAAGTGTTATATTACGTTACTTTATCACGACTTTCTGAAATAAAGGAATAATATAGACCGTGAGAGAGCTTTTATATATATACCTCAAGGTTATCTGCTTGTGTATTATTTGTTTTGGTATTTGCACGATGCCGACACGCTTAGCTTCCTATCTTTCCTGATTAAATTCGTTATTTCTTAGACTAAACTTGCCTTTTCGTTTAAATTAATTTAAAAGAAAATGTTAAGTTTATTTGTTTGAAATTGAATATAATTTTAATTTTTAAGAGAAAATTAAATTTAAATTTACACTCACACACATACATGCAAATATTTGAGTAAACAAATTTTATTTGTAAGAGCGTTTATTGAAATCTTTGTTATATTGTATATTTTTCTCAAGAGAATGTTTGAATCATGATTTGTGTGTATAATTCTATTATTTTATTTATATATTTTTTATTCCCTATTTTACATACTAAATGTATATATAAATCTGCTCGGCAGTTTATTTTTCATTTACAATTTCAATATTATAAATACACTTCATAATCTGTTCCAACATTTCAAATACTACACACTTATGCATATGTATCGGCAGGTCAGAGAGAAACAAAAAATATATTTGTGGATTTTCACGCTCATCACAGTTGAAAAATGATAATTTACTGTGATCACTATAATTACAAGATGAGCAACAAAAGTCAGTAATTTTCACGCTCTGTTTAGTTCGACAGATTTCACTTCTTATTTACAAAGTCTTCTCCTTTTTGAATATTTTTTTTGAGTTCAGGAATAGCAGCATCTAACAGTTTTTGCTCAAAGCTGCTTAGTTTACCCAGGCCCAAATTTTTCTCAATTCCATTTTTCTGAAATTCACAATATGTCAATATATATTATGAAACATAATATATACAATAATGGTTAAAAACTGAAATATGTATTATATTCTATATTTTAAAAACAAATAGCTTAATAAGAAAATAATTTCTTATATCGATCAGAAAACAAATCGTATAGATTAAGCATTTTTCTATTTGCAGTTTTTCTAAGATATGTGAGAGCAACAAACAGCATAGAGTCATGTGATTTATTTCTATATTACTTACGCCCAAAAGTATCGGTGTAGAGAAGTATTTGGCATCAGTGACATTTGACTTGACGTACGAGCACTCAATAATACCAGTCTCCCCGTTGAGCGCTCTGATTAACGACAAACCAAATCGTGCGCCGGCATAAGCCATAGACAAAGTTGCAGATCCGGTACCTGCTTTGGCTTTAACAACTTCGGTACCGGCCTCTTGAATTCTCTCGGTGAGTGCTTTCAATTGAGCATCTGGGAAAGAAACTGACGGCGTGCACTGCGAGATTAGAGGAATAATAGTGATGCCACTGTGCCCACCAATGACAGGGACGGATGTTTTCTGTGGATCCAGGTTCTGAAAAATCATAATTATTTATCACTAGTAATTACTAATCTTAATCACCTCAATTCTATGAGATTAATTTAGTAAGAGTTTGGAAAAAAAATAATGTAATATATTCTTGTGGCTTATTTTATGTGCCATGTCTTAATTATTCATTATTGGATTACAATGCCAAAAATGAGAAATAATGATTCTTTTTGCATTATGATAAATAGTTCAGATAAATAATTTATTTTACATATTTTAATTCATACTTGATATTTACAGTAAAATTGGATACCCTAAATTTTTGTATATGTGATAGTTTATATTATATTTTTATGCCATATTTAAAATACCTTTGCTTCTGCGATGAATGTGTTTGCTCTGACAATATCCAGAGTGGTCACTCCAAACACACGATTAGGATCGTAGACAGAAGCTTTTTGCAATACTTCGCTCGCTATTGGTACTGTACTGTTGACAGGATTCGAGATGATTGCAACAAAAGCTTTCGGTGCGACTTCCGCCATCGCGACAACGAGATCCCGAACGATAGAAGCGTTCGTGTTGAAGAGGTCATCACGGGTCATGCCTGGTTTGCGCGGGACTCCAGCAGGTATAATAATGACCTAAAAAAAAATACATCAAATAATAATTTAAGAATATATGAAAACGAGATTGATCTATTCCGATTTCTTAAGTTAAATTATATATAATCATAAGAATAACATTTAAATACAAATACTAAATATTTATAGTATAATTTGTATATCTAGCAAATATTTCTGGCATAATCATCAACATGACATACCTGAGCGCCTTTCAAAGAATCCTTGAGTTGTTCCGGACCATTGTAAGCTTTAACTTTTGCTGGCGTATCTATATGTGAGAGATCGGCGGCGACACCTGGTGTATTTACGATATCATACAGCGACAATTCGGTGACAAGAGGTGATTGTTTGAGAAGTAAGGATAGCGGCTGGCCAATGCCGCCACTTGCTCCCATAACAGCAACCTTGGCATCGCACTAGAAAGAATCGACATGTTAGCATTTTTAAAAATAGAAACACCTGTAAATGTGCAGAATGCAAATTAAAGAGAATTTTTTCTCTCTAATTGTGTTTATGCAATTAACAAAATTAATGTTTAAAGATTCTTCGAAATGTCAAATTTGCAATGTTATTTCATAGTTTGCTTTTTCAGATATTGGGAGATACAAGAAACGATTAATATGGTAGAAAATATATATTGGGACCTCAAAATCATTCTGCAGTTGGTTCGAAAGTATCTTGATACGTCAATTTAATACGCCAGCGTTTTGAGATCGAATAATTCGAGATTGCATAACGGCGCTCCGATTACAGCATCGCGATCTTCGTGACGTACGATGCAGAGTTCCCACGTAACTGATAGAGGTTTGGCAAGCGATATCTCTCCCGTGATACTCGTCGTCGAACGTGGACGAAGATTCTCATATGGGTGGCGTTTTCGTAGCGGACTAATGAGTCCACGGGACATACAATGAACGTGAAATAATCGGCGGCTTTATGTTAATATACGAACATATGTGTGCATATATGTATGCGCGCATGAGACAGATGATATATATATTTAAATAGGCAAATGTGTATAAAAAGATCCTTTTAAACGTAATTGCGATCTTGTCAAAAAATATGGTATATTTATTAAATACATATTTCAACTAATCACATAAGTAGGGAAAATTTTATATTTCTTATTATCATGCACATTAATGGCGATTCGGGATATGATAACAATTAAACGATTAAAATCATTAAACTTATCTCAGATTTCAAAATATATTGAATCATGATTTTTTACGATACCTTGGTACTGGTCGATAATCGTTTTGCTCCTTGCTGAGCGATGTTTACGGTAGGCCTGAGGAATCGCGGTAGCATGTTGACGATAATGAATGTTACGTTAAATTATTCGAAATAATTTTTCCAGGAAAAAAATGATATGTTCTTAATAACCCTTCAAAGACACTCGCGTGACCTCTGAAGATTCGACTGTGACACTGTCAATGGCGCTGCAAGTGACGTTCTTCGAGATAAATTCATCTCGGAGACCTCATACGGCGAAAGTGCAAAGTTCCAGATTCAAGGCTACCAACATTGAAAAATAAATTTTCTATAAAGGTGCAATTTCATTGACGCTAGAAACCAGCGGCAAATTAAAATCACTAGACTTTCTCTAGATATGGCGTCAATAAAATAAAGTTCAAACAGTTTCAACTTTTTCAGTGTGTAAAGCGGCCTTTTCATTGACGCTACTTTTTAGCGTCAATGAAATTGCACCTTACAGTTGGCAGCCCTACGAGATAGGCTGTGCAGCACTGCGCGTATATAAAATAAATTTGAAATCGCTTCTAGCCTAACCATCTTCACGCGATCGACTTTATTTGAATTGCACGACATCGCATCGAATTATGATGCAGCGCCGATTTGATCGAACGTAATTCGGGACATCGCGATGCTGTATAAGCGTCGAATGAGCACGAATTGTCACGCAAATATGATAAATCACATCTACTCACCGTTCACCGGCTGTTCCACAGGCCACTCCACTCGCTCGCCTCGGGACGTTCCATTCCGATCTTGATGCACACGATATCATCAACGCGAACGCGCGACACTTTATTCGGCACTCCCGATATTCGCTCGCATCCGATAATCATCATCAAGGGCGCAAATAACGCGACGCGACTTCGCTCCATCTTCGCGATCGCGCTATCACTGAACTGTGAAAAATAGCTGTCGCGCACTTTCACCGACATATTATGAAAGTCGCGCGATCATCCTTGGACACTTTCGACGCTCTTTCACTCGCGATATTCGTTTAAAAACGGTTAAAAGACGCGAAAAATGCGGACGTACGACGATCCGTGTAACTGCGTATGACTCCGATTCACGAATGACGCGTATGACGTAGCAGTGACGCGTATGACGTGCGATCACGCGCTAACATGGCGGCCGAACCACTGCGCATTCGTTTCTGCGTACTGGTTCGGCCGCCATGTTAGCGCGTGATCGCACGTCATACGCGTCACTGCTACGTCATACGCGTCATTCGTGAATCGGAGTCATACGCAGTTACACGGATCGTTGTACGTCCGCATTTTTCGCGTGTTTTAACCGTTTTTAAACGAATATCGCGAGTGAAAGAGCGTCGAAAGTGTCCAAGGATGATCGCGCGACTTTCATAATATGTCGATGAAAGTGCGCGACAGCTATTTTTCATAGTTCAGTGATAGCGCGATCGCGAAGATGGAGCGAAGTCGCGTCGCGTTATTTGCGCCCTTGATGATGATTATCGGATGCGAGCGAATATCGGGAGTGCCGAATAAAGTGTCGCGCGTTCGCGTTGATGATATCGTGTGCATCAAGATCGGAATGGGACGTCCCGAGGCGAGCGAGTGGAGCGGCCTGTGGAACAGCCGGTGAACGGTGAGTAGATGTGATTTATCATATTTGCGTGACAATTCGTGCTCATTCGACGCTTATATAGCATCGCGATGTCCCGAATTACGTTCGATCAAATCGGCGCTGCATCATAATTCGATGTCGTGCAATTCAAATAAAGTCGATCGCGTGAAGATGGTTAGGCTAGAAGCGATTTCAAATTTATTTTATATACGCGCAGTGCTGCACAGCCTATCTCGTAGGGCTGCCAACTGTAAGGTACAATTTCATTGACGCTAAAAAGTAGCGTCAATGAAAAGGCCGCTTTACACACTGAAAAAGTTGAAACTGTTTGAACTTTATTTTATTGACGCCATATCTAGAGAAAGTCTAGTGATTTTAATTTGCCGCTGGTTTCTAGCGTCAATGAAATTGCACCTTAAAGATGCGGCCTCATTGACGCTAAAAAGTAGCGTCAACCATTGGTTGAACAATGAAGCAACTATACTTACCTCCTTGTTCAACCAATGGTTGACGCTACTTTTTAGCGTCAATGAGGCCGCATCTTAAAAGTGAAGAAATTTGATCTTTGACGCTACGAAAGTTTCCAAGCATTTGATTGGATCAATCAGAAGAATTTTTCATCTCTTTCGTTCTGATTGATCAATTAACCAATTCGAAATATTTGTACGCATCCCTGGCGAAGTAATGAAAATGCTGCATGTGTGAATCGCAATCTGTGAATCTGCCATTATCGTCTCTTTGATCATGATATTCGCTGTAGATTGTAGTGGATCGTGGCTAATATTGTGACTGCAGTGATAAACGTTCGGTACAAAATGCTGTCGAGATTAGCTCTTCGCAATGGTAAATGTCAATTATTTCTCCCATTGCATTTTCATAAATTATTTCGACACGAGAGGCAAATTCGATCAATACCCGAGACGACAAATGAATTTGTTACAAAGTTGATACTTTCTATTATGTAATGGCATTCGGCAATACGTTCATATTTTTTCTCAAAAACTATGGTATAATGTATTATAAGCATGCATATATATAAAATTATGTGACACATTTAAGTCTGCAACATTTTTTTCTAGAAAGTAAAATCTAAGTTTTTTCACAGTCAATTTATTTGTTACATTGCCATATTTTTTCTGTGAAAAGATATTGAGATCTGTTCTATTCATTTCTTTAACATTTTGTATTTTTAATACCGTTATATGCGCTTTTTCTTTTTTATTTCTGTATCTATATATATTGCACAAAAATCTTTATATTTGAAATAAAAAAAGTATAACAACTTATAAATAGAACGAGTATATACTTCTTGTGACAAATTTATAATTTATTGCGATAATATTGTTCTTTTCTCTTACTTCTTCAAATTTAGCCCAATTATTGCCAATGGCTATGCGTGGAGCACAAAGTGCTTCTTCGGTAGCGACAGAATATACTCGTCCCAAACGTTTGATTGATCCTGCTCCAGTTAGACATGGATTCATACCTGAAGAATGGTTTCAAGCTTTCTATTCAAAAACTGGTGCATCAGGTATATAAATGTTCTTATTATATAATGATGATTAAATATCTGATTTGAAGTAATTCATATATAAACTTTCATATTAGGTATATAATAGTTCCTTTATAACCAAAATGAATAATTTCTCTTTCTATATAAGTTACATATTTTGAAAATATATAAAGTAACATTTGTCTTTATATAAAGCTTTATATTTGCAATAAAATAATCAGAAATGATCTAAAATGATTATAAGAGTATCAGAAGAGTATTATATAATCTATATTTTCAAAATTCAAAGTTAATTATTTTTTTTTTATTAAAAATTGCGAGTAAACTCTTTCCTTTGACTTATTTTTGTAAATCATGAAACTTGTTTTACTATTATGCAAAAATTTAAGATATTATTAAAAATAATAAAGATAAGCTTAATATTTTATATGTAATTTTCATAACCTAGATTATTCTCATATAATTCATCATTCTCAATTAATTTTTTTTTAAAGAAGCATGTGTTCTAATTTTTTTTTAGTAATAATATAATAAATATTGTTAAAATATAATTCATGATAGTGTACAAGATTGTTGAAGAGATTATCCAAACTTATAGGATATAAAAGATAATATCAATTTTTATTTCTAATTCTTGAATCATTTCTTTTTATAAAATAAACATGTATGAATAACTTTATTTTTTATACTAATTATTTTGTTCCCCTTTTTTTTTATATTTGCTACATATCACATCTTGCATAAAATGATATGATATATTTTTGTTATTGCTAATTATTTTTGGATGGTTTATTTTCAGGGCCATATGTATTTGCTATAACTGTGAGCACTTATTTATGTTCAAAAGAAATTTATATTCTGGAGCATGAATATTATAATGGACTGTCTCTGTTCGTAATATGTGTAGCAAGTGTAAAATTATTTGGTCCAAAAGTAGCTCAGTTTTTGGACAAGGAAATAGATAAGTACAATGATGAACTTGATGAGAATAGAACCTCTCAAATAACTGACTATGAAAATATAATTGCACATGAAAAAAAAGAACAATATAATCTGGATGGTCAGAAAATGATAATGGAAATTAAAAAAGAGAATATTAAAATGCAACTGGAAGCAACTTATAGGGAACGCTTGGCACAAGTCTATCAAGAGGTATAAATGTTTTCATGTATAACATACAATAAAAAAATGATAAAATTATTATAGAAAAAAATATAACAATAGATGTAGATTTTATAATTAGAGTAAAGAGCAACTGAAAGATATCACTTTCATCTTTGCTTTTTAATATATATTTTACACTTAAAATATTCTTGATATTTTTTCTTGATATTTTTTTATGTGCACTGATTTATTTAAAAGAAGAAAATAGTAATAAAATCATAAAATTAAAAATGAATTAAATAAACCTGGACAATAGAATTAATTGCAAATTTAAAATCACAATTGTTTTTTAAATGGCTCACTGGTTTCATTTCACTGGTTGCTTAAGCATTATAATTGTTAAATTAAATCTAAATTCATCAATTTTTCGAAAATTTAATATAGTATAACAATACATCTCTATGCTAAATTTCTACAAGAAGAAAATTAATGTAAGATATTTTATTTGCTCGCTGTTTACAGGTAAAGAAGCGTCTCGACTATCAAGTGCAACTACAAAATCTCGAACGTCGAATTGCACAGAAGCATATGGTTCAATGGATTGTAAATGGAGTATTGAAAGCCATAACTCCTGATCAAGAAAAAGCAACTCTTCAACAGTGTATCAAAGATCTCGAAGCTCTCGCTGCAAAAGCGTAAAATATCGCTAAAAAATAATTTAGATAAAATAGAAATATGTTAGCAGGTAAGAGAAGGCGTCTATCATCCGATAAAATATTTATCTCTATCGAATGTTGTTTCCGAATCGTCGGAATCGTTAAATGTGAATAAATAAACGCCATCTTGCAACATTTAAGGTGTAAATTAATTTTTGTTAACAATATTTCAGAAAATTGTAAATTTGACTAAACATCAATTATTAAAATAATTGTAAGTTTTATTACTTCTTGTTTTATCTCTATCCATGCAAGTAAAATATTTCATAAATTAATATATTCATAAATTTTATATAAATTTCAATTGATTTCACTTATATAAGTAATGACAATATTATGTACAAAGTGAGATTTATTTTTAATTCAATAGTAATGATAAGAATATAACATTTTATCGTATGTTTATATCATATGTGAGATATTTCTTTATATAAGCAAATAAAAAAATTATACAGTTTCAAAATAATCTAAAGTTTCAATAGAATAAAAGAGCACAGAAGTAGAATAAATTTATATATTAATACTCTTAGTTTGTTGTTATACAATAGCTATAATTCAATCATTTTTATCAATCTCAATGTTGGAAAGTTTAAATGCATATTTACAGTGAATTTAGCTATTCATTGAAGAAATCAAATAAAATCAATAGAATTCCATAATATACTCACATCATTATGATTTTTTTACAATATTGTAATATAATTATTTTGATAATTGCATATCACAATCACAGTACAGGATAACGCTTGTTTTGTCCAAGCATTATCTTTTTCAAGTTATAAAACTTGTGATCTTGTGATTTGAATTATTTAAAATATAACTGTTCATAAACAAATCAGGAATTATGAAACTAAATTTTTGGTTGCAAGAAAAGAAAAAGATCATAAATATACTAGATCTAGGAAATATTAGAAAATAAAACAAGAAGTATATATATAATGGCAATAAACACAAAATAAGCAAAACATTTTATGGAATTTCTAATTATTATAATTATTTGTTTTTATGATTCATAATTATGTTGTGACATTTTATACTTATTAAGCCTTTACATATATGTATGTTGATGCATTTTCAGACTATCTTACAATAATTAAATGTCACAATATGTACACAACACAGTACATGACAAATTTGTGCAATGCAAATTTAACAAATCTATCATTTAGCCCTTTTTATTTATTTTTTTAATATTCTCAAAGATGTATAGATTTATAGACAACTGTTACATTTTAGATATTTAATGTAGGGAGAAAAAGAGAAAAATGAATTAATTTTAAAAGGGCTATTGTGTGATTTTCCAATAAAGAGGATTTGCATCAAAATAAGTGGAGAGACGGAGAGATTCATGCATCTAGACTACAAACAAATTCATCATTTGAAAATTTGGAAAAGTTTAAATATGAAAGTTTTGAATAAATCAATATTCAGTCTAAGAGGTGCTTGCATTAGTAATATATACATTGCTATCACTAAAAAAACTTTTGCTAAAATTTAAAATGCAAAGTTAAAATAGCAATGATATTATTTGAAATTAAATATTATTAACACTATTTTTGAAAAAAATCTTTTTGTAACCTTTTTCATAGCTTTTTAAATGAAACATATATGTCATTTTATAGTTGATTTTCTCTTAATATTTAAATTTCAATAAAAGTTTGAAAAATGTCTAATAATCAGTATTCTTCGATTTTTCTGGATAAAATAGATTCAAAAATATAAAATTTATTTCTAGTATTATTTCCGTAAATTATTTATAATTAACACAAGTTTACACATTTTGTTAAAACAATCTTATTAATGATATATAATTTAAAGAATTTGATAAATTTTTTCTTAATTATAGATAATAATCTTTTTTATTAGGATAATTAAGTTCTTTATTAGGGAAAGAAAAAAATTTCAAATTTTGTATATAAGTTAATTTAAATTTTAATTATGATAAAATTATATTTTTATCCGTATGTGTTTATGTTAAAAAGAAAATAGAGAGAGAGAGAGAGACAAAGAATGAGATATATTTAAATAACTTACTCTTTCTCTTTTTTCTTTCTTTCTCTCCATATTGAAATTGATTAGAGATAATTCTTGTAACAATTAGCTACAATTAATATTGCTACTATAAACTCTTCATGAAGGAAATATGTTTTTGCAATCAGACATTATCATTTTGAAAAGTCACCAAAATGGTATTGATACTATAATAAATATGCATTGAGCGTTTTTCAGCAAGCGACAGAGAGGACACAGTGTATTCGTTTCCTTGTTGATTGCCGAATGTAAACAAGGATGAAATGACTGTTACATTGTCCTTATATCCTCTGTGTCGCTTGTTGAAAAACGCCCATTGTCATAAATAATTTCTACGATCGTACATAATACTCATCTAATCGATAAAAAAAAATCAAAAGTGTTAATATACGATCAAATAGATTTCGTTTTTCGTACTTCATCATTTTCTGAAAGCTTGTATCAATTGAATCATGTACATTATATCTAGATATTTATTATTGTAGTTAAACAATCAAATGTAAACTATTTTTAATTGATTAATTTTTTTATATGTAAGTTAATTTTTATATCTTTTAACATCACGCATGTGCTGGAGGAATAAAAATTAAATACCAAAAAAAAGGTAGGTGATTGATATTTTGTTTGAAATATATTAATTGTCTGATTAATATAAATTGATCATTTAAAGAATTGAGTTTTTTTTTTTTTTAAGTTGATTAATTGGATATCTTTGAACCTCGTGCGTGTACATTATAGATATATACTTTATCAATGTCTACATAGCGTTTGTCTACCTTTAATTGTCTACCTTCGTCAATATTTTTATATTAATTTGTTAAAATATTATTTCATCTGTAATTCAAGATAAAATGTTAATGTGCGCGATATATTATACATGTATTCTAATTCTTTAAATGTTTTTCATAATTGATAGATGGCTTGATCATAATTTAATTGAAAAAAATATAAATAAAATTAAAGTTTTAATAAAAAAAAATTTAAAGAGAAACTGATGAATTAATTACGTCAAAAATTAATAAATTTAACATATTTCGAGATTCATGAATTTGATATTGCGCAAAGCATTTTAAAATATAAAATTAATAATTAATTTTTAAAAGTTAAATATTTACTTTATCCAGCTATTTATAATGACCGCAAAAATTTTACTTTTACAGGACAAATCCTTATTTTCTAACTCATAAATAAATTATTAATTTCATATTTTAAGAGGCTAAAAGTATATATTCGCGCAATGTCAAAAATTCATAAATGTCAAAATGTATTAAATTTATAAATCTTTGACATTCATTCTAGCTGACCAGTTTCTTCTCTAATCGAAACTAAAGTTTGAATGTGGAATTTTAATCGACAGAAGAGTCATCAATACATAATCGGCGACTCGCGTGACAACGCGAGATGAGATGCGACTCGGCGTCGTGCGGCAACCGTCCGTTTCCATGCGCGAATCTTTGGACGAATCGAACGCGTCGGGTCGCGTGACGTCGCGTCGCGTCGCGTCGTTCGGCCATTAGCGTTCGGGCGCGGTCGGGCGCGTTCGGCCGCGCTCGGCCAGTGACGACGCCATCGGGCGGCGCGCGCGAGTTGCTCGGGCGGCCGGGGGCCGCCATTTTCCTCCAGCAAGGGAGAGCAGTCCGGAGCGTAGGTAGCGAGGGTCTGTGCGCGTTGCTAGCGAATCGAGTAGAAAATAGTGAATCGGGAGACGCGAGAAGTTCTCTTCGCGTACGTCGCGAACCGTGTGCGATCCATACGCGCGTACGGTCGTACGGGGACCGCAGTGTGCCTGGTGGCCAGCGTATCCGCGCGACATTGTGCCGACTGCGGCGGTCACCCGGTAGACGGACGCCGCCACCGCCACCGCCGCCGCCGCTGCCGCTGCCGCTGCCGCCACCGCGTACCGTTGTGCAAAATTCGCGACACCAAGCAAGGATACATCTCCGAAAAGGACGCGGCGAGATAACGCGTAATAAACGGTCGAGTGAGAGAGAGAGAGAGGGAGCCAGCGGGGAAGGAGGAGAGCAAGAGAGAAGATTGCGCGCGAGCGCGAAGAAAAGAGAAAGAAAGAGACAAGGAGCAGCGAGTGGAGAGAGAGAGAGAGAAAAAAAACGACAGAGACACATACACATGCACACATAATTGAGACAGAAGCGGAGTGTGAATAGTTTGGTGATCGCATTGTGGCCGCGCAGTGAAAAAGACTCGACTAGCCAACTCGGGGTATTACAACGCCGAACGGGATACCAAGAGGAGAGTGAGTCGCCTCCGACAGGTTAGTGCGGTGTATGATTATGGCTTCTTCCCGTGCATGTGTACGCGAGCACCCGCGCGCGCGCGCGCGCGCGAGCGCGAGCGAGCCAGCGAGCCGAGATAGTTGGCGCGCCTCGCGTATTCGCGTTACGCGGGTACGCGTACGAGTTCTTTTCGAAGCGGCGGTGGCGTCGGCGTTGCATGCGCGCGGCTGAGAATTCCTCGTCTCGTCTGGTCTCGTCCCGTCTCGTCTCGTGCGAGCGTGCGAGCGTGCGTGCGTGCGCGCGTGCCTGCGTGCGTACGCTTTCTTTGTGTCGCAGCGGGAGATGTATGTGCTTTGCTCTTTTCGCGCCGCTTCCCACACGTACAGAGTCGCTCCCCGATTTATTTTCCTCCTCTTATTCAATCTTTGTCTAGCTGTTAATTTTTCTCTTTGAAACAATTTTCCGAATGTGCCTTCTCGATTTGAGCGAGACGATATTAATAATCTCGCGCCAAATATACATGTGTACATGATGAAATACTCTCGCGAGAAGCATATTGTATTCTAGTCGATTGTATTTTTCAATAATAATTTTTTTTACGAGATAAAGATGAGATTAAAGCACGTGCGTACGTGCATGCGTGTTATAAGCATAACGTTAGCCGATAATTTTCAAAAGCTTCGATGACACGTGCGTGCATTTTTTACAAACTATAGAGCGAGTGAACAAGTACGCGTAGATATCGGGGAAGAAATACGTGGAAGGAGAGAGAAAGGGAGAGAGAGAGAGAGAGAGAGAGAGAGAGAGAGAGAGGAGGGAAAGAAAGAGCGAGCACGCGCCTTTCTTTTTGCTTGCGCGTTCAGCCGAACTGGCCCGATTATTGCTTTCCCCCTCTTCTACCGACTGCGCCTTCACTCTGCCTTTGCGTGAGTGCGTGCGTGCGTAACTACATTGTATAAATATCTAGAGATATTTGTGCATCAGAATCGTGCTCAACATTTTGACAGTTTCACTCGTTTGACACTTGTGAAAAAAATTAATAAATTATGGTAATATTAAATAATAGATATATAGTTTCATTTGTCGACTAATGATGCATCTGACAAATATTTAGAGACGATGCGTTCGATTGCCTAAACCGGAAATTGAAGGTATCATATGATGTCAAATTTATATTTTATTTGCAATAAAACACGAATATCTGTTTAATTGAAGGGGGAGGAAACATGAAAAGATCGCGTAGAAGTGTGGAAAAATGCAGTGAAGAAAACGGGCTTGCATCTACTCGTGCGCGCGCGCTCGTTTTCGTTTCCAACGGATGCGCTTCGCGCGCGTTGACCTTCGATAATGTCTCTGCTCGACGACGGTTCTCTATCGTTTACGCGCAAGAGAGATTCATATTTGCGAACGAAGAAAAAAAAAGAGAAAAGAGAGGGAAAGCAATGCGGCTAACGTATGTCGGGAGATATTACGCATTTTTTTTTTAAACATCTTTTTCGAGTGAAAGGATCGAGAATGATACTAAAGTGGCAGGAGCGAATCATGTGTTAAAAAGAAGTAGGGAATTTGACGTAATATATTGAGAAGTAAACTGACAATGGAAAGGCAATATATGATACGAATTACATCAAATAAATAAAATTTGAAGTACAATGTTATTGTTAAAATTATAAAAAAGACACAGGTATTTTGTTTACGTATTATAAATGACTTACTTGATTTCTCGTTCTTTGCGAGATTAGTGATAACATTTTGATTGAAGAAAAATGCGAGAAAAAAGAGGAGGGACTAACGCTACATTAAGTAGACATATCGCGAAACAGATAGACGGAAAAGATCGTAGGAGGAAGAGGAGCAAAGGGACGAAAATATAAATGAATGGTATCCTAGAAGCGTCCAAATGGCGATCTCGCCCAGCACAATAAGTGATTTATGGCATCGTGCCTCCCTTGAACGCGGCGCGTCGCTTCCTCCCCCATTTTTCCGCGACATTGCAACGTCGTTATTGTGTCATAATTTGGTCGCTAATAGATACATAGAAAGAGAGAAAGAGAGAGAAAATCCATCGTCAGTAACGAAATTTCGATATTTCGATTTCGTATATTTGCGAAAATTTTAAGAACAAGATAATTGTTATAGTTAAAATTTAAAACAAATGATTGAAAGATAATAAATGAGATTACCAAATCGATAAATACATGTGGGATATGTAAGAAATAAAATTATGATTTATATTTCACATGATTTTTTTTTTAAATTAATTTCTGATTTTTTACTTCGATTTTTTACTCCGACTTTTTAAACTCCGTTAAAACTTAATTTACATTAATTTATTCACTATATATTTTATATTAATTTAATCTACAACGAAATTACACACAATTTGCATGTTTAATAATTTGTTGTGCGATTTTTCTATACATATAAAGATCCTTACTTTTTTGCATATAATATCAAATTATGTAATTTTATATATATAATTTTTGTAATGCTTTATAATATTCGCAGTTAATTTTAAATTGTAAATTTTGACTAAGGTAGCAAGAGAGAGTCGTACAGTTATCAGAATGAAAACGCTAAACTTTTCTTACTCAACATATATGTATGTGCGTGAGCAGTACACGATAAACTTCAAAAGCATTGATATACACATGCGTTCGACTCGGAATGCCACAAGCGTTGCATAACCTTCGCCGAATTTTCAGCGAATATGGAACAACCTTGATTGTTCGCGCGTTGCCTTTCTTTCTTCCTTCGGACGTCGTAAAAATTGACTTGTAAAAAATCAAACAGAATCGTGACGAAAATCGTTGTTCATCTTTACAATTCTCACAATTACACGCTAGCGTCACGTTAGAAAACACGCCAGGTAGAAAACAGATGACATATTAGTCAAATAACGTGACGTGTCCTTCCTGAAATAAAAAATGTTGGTATTATTATATTAACTAAATTGAATTCTAAATTAAATCTTCCTAGTATATTTTTATCTTTTCAGAATATAAATTAACGGAAAGCAATTCGACAGCTGTGAAGAGAAATAGGAATTTGCATGTTTGTATCTAAAAATAGCAAAATGAATGTTTTTTTAAATCGATGAGAGATAAATTTAGCATCGGTGTAAACTTGCCCGCGCGTTTGTACGGTAGATTTGTCGTAAGAGAAAAAAAAGTAAGGAAACTAAAGTATATGTATATCGTGGTAAGGAATACGGGTCACAGCGTCGCTGAATAAGCAACCAACCAACCAACCAACCGACCGACCGACCGACCAGCCGCGTCGCTTGCTGCTCTCCGCAAGCGAGCGTTCAGCAAATTACGTAAGGCCAGAAACGAGAGCTCGCGTTTAAATGCCGGTTCGCCAACGACAACGAATGACACATTGCGCTCTATGATAGAGTATTTTTTCCTCGAGAAAAAGGACGCTCGTTTTCCTGCAATTTTCAGTCGCGTGGAATCTACACAATCGTAAGAGACGCGAGTATTTTTCTCGAATCAAAAGATATAAAAATGTAAATTATTATCAAAAGTAAAAATATACAAATAATTAAAATACTAATAATAAGGAGTAATGATAAGCTATATATAAAAGTAGTAATTATTAATAAAAGTATACAAAAAATAATTACAAATATAATAATATAAAAATGACATCCAAAACATGTATAATTCGATGTGTATTTTACACGTTAACTTTGCTCTGGCAAAAACTTTTAACTTTTGAAAATTGCTGATTTATTAAAAAGTTTACACAAGGAAACCTAATTAATCCGTTGATACTTGGCACATTCTTACTAATTAAAATTTGAAATTGTTTATTTAATTGATACAAGTGGTGAAATTTCTTTTAAATTTGATTATATGATTGTTTTAATACACATTAATGTACATTATAAACATTGCACTTGTCAAAATTTTGTTTTGCACGATATAAAACGCGCATCGTCAGAATCTTGCTACGCGTACGCACGCATGCACAATCTTTCGTAAACGACGAGTTTATTACTGGTAACTGTGACGAGCGGGGGGGCAGGCGGCGTTATCGTCGTAATTGCGAATTAACTTTGGAACGCGATAGCGCATTCACGGGCATCATCGTCGTTTTTCGAAGCGAGTGTCGAAATATTTCACCTCGTTTTCTTCCGATAACGCGTCGACAATCTCGCGCCATCAAAGTCAAACTTTTCCAAATTAATATTTATCTTTTTCGAATTTATCCGCGGATGTGTAAATGAATTTACATTACGTTCGCATTCGTTCGTCTGCTTGAAAAGATTTGATGGGAAATAAAATTTTCTCGTCGAGAGATTTTCTTCTCCGGAAGCGGAAAAAAATTTGAAAAAATTGTAAAATTGAAAATGAAATACAATATATTATGATGTCGATTCTTAGTATTCGATCGATGAATTTTCAAAGTACCTTATAGTGGAAACATCACTCGAAATACGAGTTGTACGTACATCTGGATACGGCAGTCTCGAAATAACGTTGGTTCGATAACTCGCATAACGTGCAACAACAAAGTCGTCTTCGGACTCGGGTTTGCTCGCTGTGTAACGAGGTCGAATATCAGGTTCGCTTAATCCGAAAGCGTCACGAAACTCGTGAAGATTTAGAGAGAACATCATCACACGCCAGTGAGAGACCAATATACCGTTTGTGGTGTGTAATTATATGCAAGATGGCTCAAACCGTGCAATAACGTCGAAATAGTATTAGCTCGTTATACAAAGTATTTAAAAAAAGTTGGGCATTCGCTCCTAAAGTTGAGCCATCCATTTCTCAGATGCTTCCGCAAATTAAATTTTTTCACTGAAAATTTGTGTTCTAAAACTTGTTTGTTTTTAATATCGAATACATATTTATATACATATATGTATAAAAAGATGCGAAAATATATATAATATAAAGTTTGATAGAAAAATACATACGTCACATATTTCGTATAACATTGTTACTTTGAAATATGTACGACGTGTCTTATTTGTGATTCTTCACGCATAAATAACGATGTAATAACTACATTTACATATATACAA